GGAAAACACATGTTCTCTCTTTACTTACTTGTATATTGAAGCATTAATTGAAGGCATGAAGTAAATTCAAGTAATTATAAAATAGTTTGGCAAGATGGATGCATGTTTTCAACTGTTTTTTCCTTCATTTATAGATAAACTTGAAATTATGGAATAGAGCTGTCTTTTTTTTTGCTTTTTCACAAAAGTAATTATAAAAAAGCTGTTTATTTCCAATTTAACATTTGAATCAAAATTAAAATTGCATATTTATATGGATTAGGTAAATGATAAGAGTTTTGAAAAGAAAAATGGGCACCCTCTACAATTTCAATTACAAAGATGGCGGAACATTAACAAACATCGCAAAATCGAGTTCATTTCTTGCTTATAGTTGCGTTGGAGTTAATAAGACCGCGGACAATTCAATTACGTTTTTTATTTCGTCGAATATCAGATCATTTGCGTTTGGATCAAGAATTTTTCAAATATCAATTGGGGTATTTTACTGATTTTGAGGGCGACATAAACTTCTCCCTGTGAGCTTCGCTAGAGCGAAGTGGGTAGTCCTAGGGCGACATATTTGGTCACTTTGCCTGGTGTGGTGACCCCTGGGTTCATGGATTTAATTGAAAACTTTAGTTCTTTGTAAATTTATAGGAAGCCTTGATACTTTTTCCAGAAAAGGCACATTTATTGCACAGTATTAAAATAATTTATGGTACTATGTTAACTTGACAAGTACAATGTATGATGTTCTAGTTTGTCCTTCAAATTATGTGACCACTGAGTGAAGAATTATCTGGGATTCAGAAATATGGACATGATGGAATTCTCTTGTCAGTAAAATCCTAGCTAAAGTGGGGCATTTATTTGCCTGTGCATATGTGTAAATACAATATCAGAATTGGGATGTTATATCTGAAGACTCGTATAGACTGAGTACCATACTGTCTACATGTTAAGAAACTTTACATTTTACAACATCTTTCTAATGAAGAAGTAGGTTTGCAAGTCTAAATTCTGCCCCTATTAAACACAACCCCATTTTCCAGTGGCAGTCTGAATTCCCCACTCTTCATTTGAGTTCTCCTACCTATTGTATTAGTTGTTAATTTATTTTCGTCCTGAATATGCATTAGATATTTGCCACTGGACAACAAGCAACAATCAATCAATCAAATTAGATGTATGTACATACATGACATATTATTAAGATTGACAAAACAAACTTCCCATTTGGGCAAACTTTTTTATTTCCAATTGATCAAGTTTTAGTTTGCAAAATATGGATAATTAATTTTTGCCCTTGTTTTACATGTACATGTACAAATGTTTATACAAATGCATATTTTGTTGTTGAGAATGTATCAACTGATTCAGTTTTCACCATTCCAGAAATGCATTGAGTTCAGACTATTTTGTTTTTCTTAACTGAAGTAGCAGATGCTTTAAGACGAATTACAGAACAGAATAGATACATTATGTAAGAAATAGTTTCATACAGAATTCCAGAAAGCAATACTAACTGTGTTGGCAGAATGTAAATGTAAAACCATTCTGGTAGCAACTTAACACAATTACTGGATAAGATAAAAGGTTGATCTTAGTAAGAAAAACACTTAGTTATATCTATAATCTTATCTACAATTACTTATCATTGGCATTAAAATACCTTAAACACTTGAATAAAAACAAATATTGAATAAGGCCTGAGAATAATGTATTGTTATATTCATAAAGACAAATACTATTTGTCAGGATTGATGTTGAGATATTAGATGTTATTATAGATCATCACTAAGATAAGATTTGGTTTAGATTTACATTAATGGATATTGTTATGATGTCAATCTTGTTGTAACAAATCACAACATATTTTGTGGTGAATAAGAAAAGGGGGGATGAAGGTTATAATATATGAACACTATTTATAAAGTGTATAACTTGACTATATTTTGGATTTTTCAAGAAAAACATATATAAGTCTTGCCGCATTAGAAATTTTCTTATTTTAGCAAGTTAACTTATATTTTGCAAAATTGGCAGTTGATATTGCTACTGTCACTTTATCATGATTTTCTTGATGTTTCAGTTCATGTCAAATGGGGAAAAAAACATAATTATTTTTTCTCATTGTTGTAGCTTTTTATGTAAAAAAAAATTCTTGAGGTTTGACACAATGATTCACATCTATTAATTCTGAGCTGATGAAACATTTATAAATTAGGAGTGTACGCCAGTTGAAATTGAAACAATTAAAACAAAGAGAGAAAAAGAGAAAAAAAATCATTTGAATGAAAATAAAGCAATCAGAATGGGGCAATTGCATTTTTTTATGAAACAAATAATTAATGAAGAACAATTTCTTCATGGATTTCTAAGTAAGTTGACATTGAGAAATGGATCAACTTTCTGTAGTTTGATTAGAGTGCGAACTAATTCATACAGTATAATTAATGAATTGTTTATCTCTTGGATATTTTCATGCTGTTTGTTTACAAGAAATCTTCCTTGATCTAACATGTTAATTATTTCTAGAGAATATATTTTCCATATGGAACAATTCTTTCATGTTATTGTAGGAATGTAGTTAAGATATCTTTGATTCACTGATTGTAGAGCTATAGCATTTCTGATTCTGTGCATTCTTTTTACATGTAGACTTCTGGTTTTGAAATTTTTACAGATCCACATATATTGTAAATTCAGAATTTTGCATGGTTTTTATAATTGCAAACATTGCAATGAGATAGGTGTCACAAAAATTCAAACTGACATTTTACATTTTGATGGCATTTATTGATTATTTGCATGCAGCCTTTCCTAATATGGCAATGGTAGTTAAACTTGCATGTGTGTCAGTTGACCAACAATTACAATAATGAATGTGCAAAATAATTTATAAATTTATAAAATTTACAACTTTTCATTGCATTTGAAAAGCTATACATACAAATTTACATAATATACTACATAGTATGAAACTCCAAACATTTTCAAATCCCTTACTCATATACCTCCTGTTTATTAACAACTTTAAAAATAATATGTAGATGTGAGGTTGTATTTTTTATGTACATAACAGTAACATGAGACAACAGTTTTATAAAATACCAGGAAATAACAGTATTTTAAAAGAATAGTTGTTACTCTTTACAGTTTCTTAGAAAAAAAAGTCATAACAATGAGCTGAATCTTAAGATCAAAACAACCTCTTTAACTTTGACTTATTTTGGTGCTGTGATTTTTTCGTTAATAACCACAGGTTTGCCAAATGTTGCTCTACATGTACAGTACATTGTATGTCTTATAAGTCAAAAGTTAAAGCAATGAATAGTGAGAGGAAGGACACAGGACATTTTTTTTAATATTAGTTCAGGTCTTTGATAATCTTAGTTCAAAATTGACCCAGAAAAATAACAAAGTCAAGTTTAAGAGATTGCACATGGAGAAACAGGAATTAGAAGTTCAATAACAATTTTGCACTGATCTTTGAGTAAAATAAAGTGAGAGGTAACAACCCCTTAAAGCTCTTCCTCTGGCATGGGAAACACAACTGTAGCTGCTGTATGGGGTCAAAAGTGTTTTTTTATTGAAAATTATCAGTAGATATAATTATAAACATGTATGACCTACATGTATATTATACGTAACAAGTGTTCCATTAAATAAAGTTGACATATATATATATATATATATATATATATATATATACATCTGTGAATTGGAATGATTTGAATATTATTAACATATAATCTAGCCTAGTTTCATTCTAATATTGTAATAGAATTTGTGATATTTTAAGAATGCTACAATAATTAAGCATCAAATATCCTTCCTGTTGAGCAGTTTTAACTAATTAGAAATGGAAGTGGTGTATAGACAGCTGACTGATGTACTGATTAATGTATAGGGTGAAGAAGGTATCTATACATTTCCATCAGGTTTAGAAGTAGTAGTAGTAGTATAAGCAGTTCTACTTATACATGTTATACATGTCAGGACTGTCAGAGGAGTATTTGAAAATTAATATTGAAGTTTTCCTGAGGTTTGAAGTACATGCATTTGTGAAATAATTTTAAACATGTACTATATATGCATATAAAAATGGTATAATTACTTGAGTAATTGAGACTATTAAGATCTGACACTTCATCTAATTTTCCATGACAATGAGTCTGGATTTTGTTTTTGAGAATTCTGCCCTTATTTAATACATTAAATGAAATGCAGATTTATATACTAGTGTATTTAACTTATGAATATACACAGTGAAACTATCTACTTTTTATGAACTTAAAGGATTTGTGTCCAAACAATTTATATAAATAGGGTATGCTCCGTTTATTATGTTTATACGTTGCAATTCTGTCTCTCTTTTCCTCATCTGTGATTTTATTTAAATTTGTTTCAAGGTTTTAATTACCATCTTCGTAATTCTAATATTTACATATATATATATAAATTTTCACTAAGCCTAATTCAAAATTATTGTCACAGTCAACATTGATGCTAAGTTCATTTTACAAGTTGTTTTAAGTTCATGTTATTCAGAGTATTTTTCTATTTATGTATATATCTGTCATTATATAGAATTATGTTATTCTACAAAAATAATATTTACGAATACCTCAACTGGCTTGTAAAAACTTACTTGAAGTCTTAACATAATGCAAGTTTTTTTTTAGCTCACCTGGGCCAAAGGACCAATGTGGGCTTTTCCCATCACTTGGTGTCCATCTGTAGTAGTTGTTATTGTCCTTTAATGACGACTTTTGCCCTTATTTGTGTTTTGGGAAAACTATAGAAGATAGAGAGAAACTTAAAACAATAGCAATACAAGTATAACAAAAAATGATTTTATTCATGAATTATGTTCTAGTTTACAATGTTGGACAGTTACCATTGTTGAAGATGCACATAGACCTAGGTTAGCAACACAGGCCCTTTAGAGTCTCTAGTTAGCTGCGTGACAAGTATACATTGATTTGCTTCTAACATTGTATTTATATCTGCAGGAGGTGGGCAAAGCGTAGGAAAGATTATACAGAGATTTCCTGAGAAAGAATGGGATGACTGTCCATTTACACAGGGTATAGAACTGGTAAGTGCATTGACATACTTAAGCTTGGAAGATTGTCCATTTACATAGGGTAGAAAACTGGTGAGTACATTGATGTACAGAGTAGATAGATTGTCAATTAACACAGGGTTTATATATAACTTGTGAGTATAATGACATGCTTGGATCACTGTCCATTTACACATGGTATAGAAGTGGTGAGTACAATGACATGTACTAGGATGGCTGTCCATTTACACATGGTATAGAACTGGTGAGTACAATGCACTACTAGTAAAGATTTCCATTCACACATGGCATAGAACTGTGAGTATAATGACATACTGGAAAGATTTTCATTTACACAGGGTATAGAAGTGGTGAGTACAATGACATACTGGAAGGATTGTCCATTTACACAGGGTATAGAAGTGTTGAGTACAATGACATACTGGAAAGATTGTCCATTTACACATACCGGTAGTATAGAACTGGTGAGTTCAATGACATACTGGAAAGAATGTCAATTTACACAGGGTATAGAAGTTGTGATTTCAATGACATATAAATGGGACAGTTGTCAATTTTCACTGGGTATAAAACTGGTTAGTGCAATGTCATAATGAGAAGATTGTCAATTTACACCGAGTATAGAATTGGTGAGTTCAATGACATAATGTAACAGATTGTTCATTTACATGGTATATACATGTAAATGGTGAGTACAAGAACATATGGAAAGAAACATGTAGTCCAGGAAATTAACATACAGTATCTATTCCATGTGGATCAGTTAGATATCATTCTTGCTGATTTTGAGTTATTCACGGTGAAAAACAGGTTATTGCTGGTGATTTTGAGTGATAAAACTGTTATTAACAACCCTGTCATCTATTACCTATGAAGTATTTTAACAGAGATATTTAAAAGAGTTATTCACCATCAATCAACAGAATTCAATTTGAAATCAACCAAGAGTGATTTTAAACATTCACTATGTGTGATCTGTACTGGGAAGACTCTTAATTAACATAGGACATAAAATTTGTAATTAAAAAGACATTCTGGGAAGATTGTCAATACACACTGGATATACTTATGATGAGTACATGGGTTTTCAAAAAGGAGGCAGGGGGAGGGTCCTGCCAACAATAAGGGGGGATGTCAGGTGTCAAAAATCAGACAAGTTACTAAACAATGCCCCTCCTGAATCTGCCCCCGAGAGTTTCACTTTAAATTTCTACTGATGAGTAATTATCAGGCATCTTATATTGTTCCAACCCTTCACACCATAATCTTGTATTGTGATAAAACTGTGTTTTTATGTACCACCCCTCTAAACCCTAACAATGTAATGATGGTAATTATCACTAATTGGTTGTGAAGAAATATGGCTATCAGCCATTACCCTAGAGTTTACTTACCTACAATATACAGGTGTTTAGTTTAAATTGTCTGTTACAAAAGTTCTGCCAATTTAAATGATTGTTTAGTTTCCATGTAGAATTATTTTAGGTAAAGATGTACGAATATGTTTAGGACAATGAAATAGAATATGTAAATTTTAAGTCATACATTTTTTAAATGTTTGGGGTAGTTGTACAATTTTCTTAAAAAAAAATTTTTTGCATCAAATATTAGTGTTTATCTATTGCCTATGAAACCACATTGGTTTACTGAAGCCACAACTCTGTTAAAGATGATTACCATGCTGACCACTGAAAATGTAAACTTATAAACTTCTTACTTTCAGAGTATTTGGTGATATCTCGTCATCTTTTGTTTTTTTTGCCATGACGTTGTCAGTATCTCTTCCACTTATAAACTTCTTACTTTCAGAGTATTTGGTGATATTTCGTCATCTTTTGTTTTTTGCCATGACGTTGTCAGTGTCTCTTCCACTGATAAACTTCTTACTTTCAGAGTATTTGGTGATATTTTGTCATCTTTTGTTTTTTGCCATGACGTTGTCTGTCTCTTCCACTTATAAAAACTTATATAACTATGAAAATCTTGTTGTTATCTTCTACATATTTTTTATACGCCCGTTTACGGGACGTATTATGGTATACCGTTGTCTGTCTGTCCGTCTGTCTGTCCGTCGTCAACATGTCGGACATTAGCTCAAAAAGACTTTCACCAATTTGCATAAAACTTTGGTGAATTGTTTATATCTATTGACGTGAGCTCCCTTTCGTTTTTTATAAAATTTAGATTTTACGTTTCCGAGTTATGGGGTTTTATTCATTAAAAAAAGGGGGATTTTCCAGTTTTCAGACAATAAGTCAAGAATGCTTTCACCAACTTGCAAGAAATTGTGGTGAATTGTTTATATCTATTGACATGAGCTCCCTTTCGATTTTTATAAATTTTAGATTTTACGTTTCCGAGTTACAGGGTTTTATTCATAAAAAAAAGGGGGGGGGGGGGGTTTCCAGTATTCGGACAAAAACTCAAAAATGCTTTCAGCAATTCTTATGAAACTTTATTGAATTGTTTGTATGTATTGATGTAAGCTCCTTTTAGAATTTTATAAATTTTACATTTTACATTTCTGAGTTATGGGGTTTTATTCATTAAAAAAAGGGGTGATTTTCCAGTTTTCGGACAATAACTCAAAAATGCTGTCACCAATTCTCAGGAAACTTTGGTGAATTGTTTATATCTATTGATGTAAGCTCCCTTTTTATTTTCATAAATTTCTAATATGACATTGAGAATTAATTGAACTTTATTTGTTTATAGTCTGACAACAGATTTACTAAGTATTGCACAACAGCAAGAAATCTTTAATTGAATATAAATTCAATTCATATAACCAATTTCAAGTTCTTTGACTACATTTATTCAGAAACCTATAATATGTCAAATAGTTAATTACAATCCAAATTCAGACCTGAATCAAGCTTGAATATTGTGTCCAATTTTGCCCCAACTGTTCAGGGTTGGACCTCTGCGGGCGCTCAGCGAAGCAGTTTATTCAGGAAATGGATACATTTCTTTAAATCATTATTTGGCCTGACTTTCACAGAAATTTGTTCTTTTCATATAGAAATTATTCGAATGTCTGTATTTAAGAATTTTAAGTTGAGATTATTCTAAATGTAGACTTTGGTTGATTTCCCATAATGTTTTGAAAGATTGTGGCTGAATTGTCTGTGTAAATATATAAAATTTAAATATTTATTGATTTTTGAAAAGAAAAGTGCAATATATAATAACCAACTTAACCACTTCACCATAGCATCTGTCTATATGAAACTGAACAACACCTGTCACGAGTAATTACTTGATTCTTGTTTTGCTACTGTAGATGAAGATGTTTCGATTGATTTAATTATAGTATTTCAGAAATACTGGTAAACATTTGGTCATCTTATTTTTGTCCATTTCTAATATAAAATCTTATAAAAAATATTCATGATATCTTAGTAATCTTACTTTAAGGACTTTGAACGAAAAACTTCATAGGATTTGGTAATACTTCACATTGTTCACTAAATAAGGCTTTTACTGCACCTAATGTTTAAGTGATGGAAAAAGGCACTTAAAATTAAAGTGATAATGATAGTAATTTCCTTGAAGTCCCTGTCATATTCATTGTTTGAAAGGACATAGTATTGTTACTGATGTTGAAATTTATTTCAATTAAAATGTTATCGCTCTAAGACATGAAAAAGTATACTAAGAGCTGATTGATGCTAGGAATTAAAAGATTTCTGATGAAAATAGAGGCCCAAATGAGTAATTTTATCCCTGGGTATAGATGTTAATTAAGCACAGATATATTAATACAGGCTCATGTTGGCGCAGATAGAAACTGTCCTATATAGCTTAAAATTCACAATTGAAGTGTGAATTAACAGCATGAACATGTACAGCCAGTTTAATAAATCTGATTGAAAGTTTTAGTATATGCTTGATTCCATTTATTATAGAAACAGCAAGACTGCTGGGTTGTTGGTTACCCATGAATATAGACATATCATTTTTCTATAAAATATAGTGTCTAAGGAGAGTCTTTTTTAATGAATATTTAAAAAAAAGTATAATTATTTCTTCTATCATGTGCAAATTTGGCACATATTCTGCTCATGTATCTGTGAGTTACCTACTTACATAAGGACATTTTAAAGTATGGAAGGAAATTTTGTCGTATGGTTCAAGTGAATCTATAATTTGATTTAGTTACTTATCAGATAAAATAATATCGGTGCTTTACCTAAATAAAGATCTGATCAATTGAAAAATCATAGATGAACCCATCCATGTGGTCACTATTTATATTTGAAAGGTACCTTTTACTGATAAAATTTCTAGCTTATCTATGGATTTATTTATGGAGATATATAATGTAGAATTCTTAACCAGTTGATATATGAAATGATATATTGTATAAACATAGATGTAGATGAATGGATACAGTATTTGTTTTTATATCCCTGCCTCTAAAGTGGGTAAGGGGAATAGTGAAGCATGTGTTCATCTTTATGTCATAGATTTGGTTTTTTGGTGATAATTAAAGTACAACATGACCAAACCTTTTGAAATTTTAATGCAATGTTATATACCATAAACTACAGGTCTATCTCAATTTTGATGGTTTTGACATTTACGGTCTAAGTCATATTTTGTTTCTTACAAATTAAGCTTTCTTTGGTGTCTGGAGGATATAAAGTACCTTTTACAATATCTTTTGAAATTTTAAGACACTATATATTGGACCATAGAATACAAGTCAAGTTCAATTTTCATGGTTTTGACATTTTTAGTTGAAGAGTTATACTGTTTAAGTTAACTGAAACATTGGGATTTCTTAGTTTTCAGGATGAGATGTTAAGTACAGCTTGACCAAATCTTTTGAAATTTGAATAAAATACAATGGACCATACAATACAGGTGTAGTTTGATTTTGATTGTTTTAATTTTTTCCATTCAAGAGTTATACCCCTTAGTTATCTTTGATAAAACACAATGTTTTGAAACATTAAATACAGGTCATGGTTGCTTTTGGCATTTACAGTTCAATAGTTATGCCCCGTAATTGTCTTAAAAATTTGGGATTTTTTTCTTGGTTTCCTGATGATAAGTAAAGTACCACTTGACGAAATCTTTTTAGATTTTAGCCATTTAATACAGGTCAAATTTAATTTAATGGTTTTGGCACTAGATCATCTTATTCTAATTTCTTTATAAATGTACAAGAAAAATTCACCAAATTTGTTACATGTAGATTGTTCATATATATGACAACAGATTATTTGATGTATGCTGAGTAAATGAAAACAAGAAATGAAGCTTGCTACATGAAATTAACGGTAAAAAAGGACCAAAAAATTGTAGGAATCATAAGCACACACACAACACCACAAATTCAGGAACACGCCAACCTGTTGTATGACAGAATTGAAAGTTTAAAAGATATCTATAGCAGACGCAGTATGATCTATATACAATTTTAATGAGAAATTTTGATTGCTTTGCTTCTTTATAAGAAAGTTACAAAAATTATTGTGCAAGACCTTCATGGGTAGTTAAGGTCTTTAAGCACCCATGTGGTCATGGTAGTAGTGTATTCTGCAACTTTTGAGCAATTTTATATGAAGTGAAAATTTTGTAACAACTGGATTTTGACAAAGTTGTCTTGGAATGGTCCCATTTCTAATTTTGATTATTAATTAATCATAATGAGTTGACAGCAGACATAATGGCGTAAAAGATATCAGGTTGGATTAATATTTTCAGTCTGCTGTACTTGTTACATTATGTGAGAAGTTATACATTTGAATTTTTTGTCTATATATAGAAATAATATGACTATCTTAAATGTGTTATCTAAAGAGATATTTTGTATTTTATGGCAGTGAAATGATTTATCTAAAAATATATGCAACAAATCTATTACAGGTATATGCCATGTATTTATAAACGTATAACAATGGGTTTTATGGCAGTGATGTAATTTATCTAGAAATGTAGACAGTACTCTATATTTACTCCATGTATTTATAAATATAACAATGTGTTTCTCTTGTAGTTTTGTCAGCCATCAGGATGGAAGCTGTCACCACAAAGATGTCCCCCAGAGTTCTTTATAGCTGTTCTGACAGACATGGATGCAGACCGCCATTACTGTGCATGTCTGTCATTTTCAGAGTCTGTCTCCATTACACTACCACGACCAGATGATGACGGAGACCCAGATGAAACAGAAAATGCAATAACTCCTCAATCATTAATGTTCTCACCAAAATGTCTGGTTCTAGTATCAAGATTGGATTACTTTGAAACATTTAGGGTGAGGTTTCTGAATATTACCTTGAAAATGATGTTTATTAAGGGGTAATACTTAATAAGCAGTCATTTACTCACAGTCAGTTATAAAATATATTACAAAAAAGGAATTATTTCAATCTGCAATATTTTTTAATTCTGGAAAATTAATAAAGAAATGTATAATAAAAACTAACCAAACTATTGAGGGTTAGCCATGCACGCACGCATGGCTTAGGTTCAAGTTACTTACACTGATATTTCAATATGAACAAAGTAACCCTCTTTAGCGATGCATGCATGGCTAACCCTCCTTAATTGGGTTAGTTTTCATTATACATTTCTTACACACCATACACATTCCTTAGATAACAATATTCCGGGTACAAGAGAAGCTAACTCACTTTTAGTTGAAAATTATGCTTTAAGACAATTAAAGTTCAATATAGACCTTAGTACTAGTGTTGTCAGAGAGGAATGTCTTGGCATGTTCATTTCTCAGAATTCTGTTCTCTTTGCTTAGACAAAAAGGGTTTTTGATTGATTTTCAACCCTTGCTTTACGACACATGTACAACTGTTCTGTTTTAAAATCATTACTAAATTTTGTACATGTTTTCTACAAATCGAGAATTCAAAACTGCCTGAATTAAGATTCAGTTAGTAAATCGCGTAATAAAGACAGTGCGAAAATTTTTCTGTTAACAGTAATCATATTCACATTTTCACAAATTGTCATAAATTAACATCAGCTCAAATTTTTTAAGACATATCTCATGACATTTTAGTTTTCTTTCCTCAGAACTGCCTAGGAATCATTTACACGGCATATGTAGACAGACTTGATGCTCAGTTGGAGGTTTTGGTGGGGAACATTATAGGCAGTGTTTATGTCCCTCCCCCAGGTATGTTATAAGGAGTGTTTATGTCCCTCCCCCAGGTATGTTATAGGGAGTGTTTATGTCCCTCCCCCAGGTATGTTATAGGGAGTGTTTATGTCCCTCCCCCAGGTATGTTATAGGGAGTGTTTATGTCCCTCCCCCAGGTATGTTATAGGGAGTGTTTATGTCCCTCCCCCCAGGTATGTTATAGGGAGTGTTTATGTCCCTCCCCCAGGTATGTTATAGGGAGTGTTTATGTCCCTCCCCCAGGTATGTTATAGGGAGTGTTTATGTCCCTCCCCCAGGTATATTATAGGGAGTGTTTATGTCCCTCCCCCAGGTATGTTATAGGGAGTGTTTATGTCCCTCCCCCCAGGTATGTTATAGGCAGTGTTTATGTCCCTCCCCCAGGTATGTTATAGGCAGTGTTTATGTCCCTCCCCCAGGTATGTTATAGGCAGTGTTTATGTCCCTCCCCCAGGTAAGTTATAGGCAGAAATTATTCCATTTAAAAATAAAGGAGATGTGGAATTTTTACCAATGAGACAACTTTTCATAAGCAAAACAATGTATGGCCTTTAATAATGAGCAAAACCCATACCATACAAGATGTAAAATCATACAAAAGAGAAAACCAACAACTTATACTACAACAAAAAAAAAAACAATAATGGTATTAAGCAACCTATGACAATCACTAGATTACAGGCTCTTGGCTACCCATAATAGACATTATATATGCTCTCACATTTGATTGAAATTCATTGATGACTGCTAAAATGGCTGTTTTGAAATATTTGTCATGACATTAGGGAAATACTATAAATCAGCTTATTCTCACAACAATTTATTAACAGACTTTGATAAGAAGAAAATATCACATGTTCATCCCTGCAAATATGTCAATTTTTTTTATATTTTCTTATAATGTATGTACATCAACAAATTTTTAAAATTCAAAATTGCAAAAATAAATCACAAGGACTTCAGGTTGATAAAACTAAACACAAAAATAGCATATCACATTACATTATTAATTCTCCCAGTAAGTATGAAAAGAGCAGAAAGATGAGATGAATTCTCAGTAACTTTTTATACTGGTGTATTTTACAGGTGGACCACAGATAAGATTTTCAATAGGTGCTGGAGACAGACAAGCTTTACAACCTAAACTCAACAGTGGTTTACCTTCATCTAGAAATTGTGTAGCCTTGTTATTTCAACAATTAGGTAAAACTTTTATCATAAACTTAGAATTTATCAGGACAGTTTGGACAGATAGTTTAAAATTTATATAATTGACGAAACACAGTCATTAAGATTTTTTAGAAGTGTCACAATTTTAAAACACCTCATTTTTCATCATATACTACATCTTACTTGCTTGAAACATATTAAAAAAATTTTCATGTTGTATGTGACATCACAAATACATTTTATAACAGAATCTATCTAATTTGTGAATGTTTCAATTATGAGACTTATTTTTTTGTAAAAAAATATGTGATAAATTATTAAACATTCTGTTTACATTTTAACTGAAGTTACCCCCTAATAATTTGTAATCTATTTTCTTCTTGCAGGGATCCAGAACACACTGGTGTTATTTTGTGCTGCTTTGACTGACCACAAGATTTTATTTCATTCCCAGAGTTTTTCTCGATTAACAGATTCTTGTCAAGCAATAGTAGTACTTCATTATCCACTCAGATTTAGGTAAATACCAATACAGGGAATCGACATCAATGACTGATTAAAGATTAGGCAAATCTAATTTATATTTAATTTAGTGCTTTTGTATGTATGTGCATGCACTTGACATCTTAATCAAAATTTGAAACAATTGTTTTGGATATTGTCAAGTAAATCTTCATAATGGAGAAGTAAAACAAAAGGACTTTCTACAATCCAAAAAGTGATTTGATCAAATGTTTTTATGCCCCCGCCATACGTCCCAAAATTGGTTTTCGTTCTCTAACTTTAGTTTGCCTCAACCAAATGTTATGAAACTTATAAACTATGCTTATTACCACAAATGACAGATCAAGTTTGAATTTTGGTGGTGTCACTTTTACCGTTGTAGAGTTATGCCCCTTTACAAACAGAAAAATTGCTGAATTTTTCATTTCCGTTCTCTTACTTTAGTTTGCCTCAACCAAATGTTATGAAACTTAAACACTATGCTTATTACCACAAAAGACAGATCAAGTTTGAATTTTGGTGGCGTCACGTTTACCGTTCTTGAGTTATGCCCCTTTACAAATGTTCTCTAATTTTGTGTTGTACTGAGCAGAGCCAAAATTAAATAATTGTTACTTGAGGAGGCCTGGAGTTTCCATTCCAAATACAAAAATTTCAAATAACAATTGAAATAATTTTTGTCTGCCATAAGTTTAGATTTTTACAAGGACAATGTTGTTTTTTAATGTATAACTTTGCAAATTTTCTATGTTGCAAAATCCAAGCATCATGTAATTGTTTCAAACTTAACTCATGTACTGTTAACTTAACTTAGCGCTGTTGCCATGTAACAAAATAAAAAAAGTGTTGTGTACATGTTAACAAAATTAGCTAAGTGTTTTGGACATGTTACAAAATTAACTAAGTGTTGTGGACATGTTACAAAATTAACTAAGTGTTGTGTACATGTTACAAAATTAACTAAGTGTTGTGGACATGTTACAAAATTAACTAAGTATTGTGGACATGTTACAAAATTAACTAATTGTTGTGTACATGTTACAAAATTAACTAAGTATTGTGGGCATGTAACAAAATTAATCAAGTGTTGTGGACGTGTTACAAATATAATTAACATGTTACAAAATTAACTAAGTGTCATGTGTGCGTAATCTTAGAACTTGGAATTACATAAATTCTTCAGTCTTATATGAAAAAAAAAAATTACGATACATTTCATGATGACAATAACACATTAGAAACAGAACTTCAAAAGTATTAGATGATGAAATATATGTTCTGTTTTATTGACTACTTTATTGCTTATGTGTTTCAGTTATGTATATATACCAATACTACCAGCTCATCTCGTGGAAGTATTAAGTTCACCAACACCATTCATGGCAGGCATTCATTCATCATTAGCTGATGAAACTGATGAATTTGTAAGTTTTTACCCTATATATTGTATAATATAGTTTACATGGTAGATGACGCTTCCAACTAAACTAATTTGAATAATGGTTAAATGAGATTTGACCTGCATTTCAGTTTTTTCATGTGGATTATGATCAGGTTGGAGGAAATCTGTAGTATATTTATCTTACTAAGCCTTTCCTTAAGGAATCCTCACTGACAGGGACCATCTGGTTGCTTGAATGTCTGGGATGGGAATACAAAAGTAGTGTGCAGTTCTAGGTATGGACAACCTTCAGAAAGATCATATAATTAGTATATGTCAGTAGAATGTCTAAATTTATTGACTTGTTCAAATAATTATTGTACTAGTGGTGTTAACAATTCTAGGGACTCTCTTAGATTTTGAGTTTAAATATTACAATGTTATGAAATGCTGTATACAAATAATGCTCTTATAAGTTTTTCTTTTTGCAAAACCTGCCCAGACCCAATTTTTCACAATAATAAAAATATCGCCAACATTTCTGAATTTACAGTACATGTACTTATTTCTTTTGTATTTTTCAGTTGGATGTGATCATTGTCGATTTAGATGGGGGAAGTATAAAGATTCCAGAATGTGTAAATATTCCCATGATTCCTGAACCAATACTCAGTCGGACCAAGAAATCACTTCATTTGGTAATGTTTTATTGAATGTTAGCAGACTCAACTTTCCTGTACTCAGTTGACTCATAACTTTATTCTATCTTGTTATCATCAAAATGTTTCACATAAACCCATTTTCTGTTAACGTTTTTGGCTTTGTTAGCAGGATCTTGGGGTTATCTAGTTTATGTCTCACCTCAACAAAGTTGTGGAGACAAGATTTGGGCTTTCTGTTTCTATCGTCTCTAGCATCAACTAGTGTTAAAGTTTGTAATTAAGATTATGTGGCACCACTGTTGTATAAGTATTCCCACTGAGGTTATTTGACCTTGCCCCTTCCACCATGGTTCATTAACTTTTAAACTTTTGCATAGTTTATACGTTAAAGAGTTGCCATTTAAATTTCATTTTGTATGGTACTATAAAAATGACTAACAGGCAAGACATATCTCTATGTCAACAATTTATTCTAATACAAAGTGTTTTAGGTAACATTTTTAGATATACATATTAACAAATGTACACTACAATTTCTGTGAAATCAAAAGATAAAAAAAAGATAAAGAAAAAATTGAATGATAGGTTTATTTTATTATGAGGTAAAATCTATTTAAATTCTACAAATTCTTAGAATTTCTTGAATTTTTTTTTTGATTTTTCATATTTTATATAAAAAGGAAATAAATTTTCAAAATCACAGTTGCATAATTTATCAATTATATTTTAGTTGTTAAATGTTTTATTTAGGCTTTTCCCTCATTCTAAAGAATCTGTTTCTTATGAAAAAGCAGAACACAATACAGAGATTTGGCCTTGAAAAAATATATTTATATATATTTTCATGCCAGACATTTCTAGAATAATTCATTTGAAACCAATAAACAGGTTTCTGCGAATGATAATTGTATACCAGAAACTGAGGTAAATATTGTTTTAATAAATGTTTTAAAGAATAAAAGGCACCCAATTAACATAAATCGGCATGTATTGTCAAAAGACTTCTATGCATTACAATATGAACTCTTTGTTTATTCTGTGAATTTTTAAACAGATTTTGAATTATTTCTCAGCTTTATGTGAATTATAAAACAATCTGCTGTCTATTAGTATAGTGTCTCTGAATGGTCTTCATTAGAATTCAATGTGTGCTTGAAATGAATGGAAATTTGAAATTGAAACTTTTGATATTATAAAGCTTTTGATGAATGCGGTATAATGCATATTTCTTCTATATAAGTCTGCTGTTTTCTCAAATCAGTATTTGCCATGTATCTATTATAGATGTTTTTTATGTGTTAAAAAAATCTGCAACATCTGGGCATCTATACCTGGGCATACTATGGTTGGGTTTGTTTATATGAATCAACTTGTCAATCTCCATCCATCCAACCATGAATCTTGTAGGACAATTCCTGCTCAGATTAACTTCTGCGATGGATTTAAATGAAACTTTACACTAACATAGTACATCATATAAAGGTAGATATATACAAAGTTAGTCAGATATGAAAAATGGAAGAAAGTAGAAGTTGACAGTTAAAAGTAGAAGGAATTGGTTGATTGATTTTTGTTTACTTTTCTTACAGTGGCAAATATTTCATGCATGAACAGGATGAGAACAAATTATTGATTAATACAATAGGTAATGTCCTGCAATAAGGAGTCAACCAGAATGAAGATCAGGAAATTTGGACTGTCACTGGAAAATGAGGGTGTATTAGAAAGGGATAGAAATTATACCTTCCAACATGCCACTTACAGACCCAGAATAGGAGAATGAATTCGCTGTTTGAAAGTTCAAATTTACAATTTTAAAAAAATGCGCAAATAAACATATTTACTCTTAACCTAATCCACAGAGAGAGAGTCCATTCATATAAGAAAAGTTTGTAAAACAGACAGGAAATCAATCTTTACTGTCCAATTAATTCATCTCTAAAGCTTGTCATAAACAGCTTAATCTAATGTCTTGCTAAAATGATAATAAATTCAACTTTATCTTTCCAAGTATGTCATCTCAAATGCCTTATCATAAAAGCTTGAGCTCTTTATTTGTAAAAAGCAAAGGAGTACACATGTTAAAAAATTATGCATTTTAAAAAATGTAATCTGACTATTTGTAAATTTCATGATAGCATCAATTAATATCTATCTTGTATGCTTCAGATATTTTTGTAGTCTGTTATAATGGGATCTGATAATTCTCTGTATTCTATTTTATGTATCCTAAAATCTGTGTTTATGTCTACTTTTACAAAGTATACTTCAACATCTTAAAGTGCAGCTTTTTTTGACATAGTCAGTACCTTATACCTTATATACTTCTGTGATATTAAGAGATGATTTTTACTTTATGTCTTATATACTTCTGTTATATTAAGAGATGATTTTTACTTTATGCCTTATATACTTCTGTGATATTAAGAGATGATTTAATCTCTTGTTCCCTGTAAACCATTAATATTACGGATTATTCAAGCTATTTCACTACTGTATAATATATATATATATATATTTGATTTCAGATTTTAAACATGGATTTATTTAATTCTGACAAGGCGTTTCCTCCATCCCCTCCCAAGAAACAGATTAGTAGTGACATGAAGGTATGGCTTATAGCTTAGGATAAGTTTGTTGTTTAATAACAAAAATCAAGACAGATTTAGTGTCAAGAAAAGTGTACAACATTTTAATGAGGTTACTTGAAACACAGTCCATTGAAGCTAAAAACTCGTACTTGAGTAGGATATTTTTAGATTTAGAAGAAAATGTGCATGGACCAAGATTTAAACCGTTGAAGTTACAAAAAGATAAAAATGAATTTATAAGCAGTCCCTAAGAATTACCCATTTTAAAGGAGAAATTCTTCCAAAAATACTGAAATTGGTTCATAAGAAAATTTTTCTATCCAAACTCTGCAATGATATGCAGGTGAAAAAATATTAAAAATACTGTAAATTCAGCGCTTTTTGCAATTCGCTTACCTGCTTACTGTTTGAAAAAAAAATGCAAAGGGATAGGTTTAGCAGAAATAAGCACTTACATTTTAAATTTAGAAAGCATTATTTATATGAAGCAGTTCCTAAGATTGTAATAATTTATCTCTCATAATTGTCCATTATTCAACAATTGCAGTAATCAATGGACTCATTGACAGTAACATAACAAAACTGCTGTGGGAATCTGTTATAGAAATAGCTGAATAAAAAAAAAAGATTAACTAGATCAAAGACAAAATATTGCAAAATTTAATTTTGTGGATGACATGAACCTGTATAAGCTATTTTGAAAAAGCATTAACTTTCTGTACTAGTAAAAGAATATCCATCTTAGCGTTGTAATGAACTATACAGAGATAAATGCCATTCAGGATCAGACTTCAGATTTTCTTTCAAATACAATTATTACAAGGATTTAATCTGGTAAAGTTGACCACCACTTTCGTCTCAGTGAAAATATAAATATTTCTAGTAGATATAGAGTAAATGAAGAAGTTTTTTTATTATTTAGTTGTTTTATATTTTTAATAATATTATTTTATTTTCAGGACAAGGAAATTCGTGCAGTATTTATTCGTCTATTTGCCGAATTATTGACAGGGTACAGAACATGTCTTACTGTGATAAGGATACATCCAGAACCATTCATCACTTTTCATAAGGTCAGATAATAATCAATTATGAAAAGTCAAATTCATATCATATTTGCATGGGTATTGCTGAATAAAATTTACCTAACAATGATGATTTTCCATTTACAACAGCCTTTTTATACCAGAGGCCAATTATTTCTAAAGATACTTTACTGTGCAATTTGTCTTACCAGATGCTATCTTTTTGCCACATCCCACTGTAAAATTTCTATGTGCTCCCCATTATATTAATGTTCTTAAATGTTGTTTTGACAAGTCCAGGAAAAAAATTCCCTGTAAGTTCCTACTTTTGTTTGTTTTTTTTCTGTATAGTTTCCATTCTCAATTTTATTATATCCTGTACTTTTTCTATTTTGAAATATAAGTAAAAGTTGAAAGGATTGTTATAAAGTTCAGTTGTTTGTCTAACATATCATATAAAGAACAATAAGTAAACAATAAAAACTGCAAAATACGTGGCAGGTGTGTTCCACTCCAATCTTAATTGACTAGGATTGTCAGTTTTCCTGCCAAAGGTCCTTGTTCTCTCTGGGCACTCTGGCTTCCACCACCAATAAAAAGTGATCACCATGATGTAGCGAATAGTTCTGAAAGTGGCATTTACAAACACCAACAATTAATCAATCAGAATATTTTAAGATATCAAATATTCCTTAAGTTAGCCTGTAAACTCCTTGTTTTGATTTAGATGTCTGAAAAGTTATAATTAATCATCATTGGATTACAAAATGAAATTATTTCTCAAAAATAACGTGCTTATATCCAAAGATCTATTGTATATTTTCAAACTGATTCAAATGTTGATAACTTTAGTGAACACGTCAAAACGCTAATTTGATTTCGAAGAATTAATTTTTTGCCAAATTTTAGCATTGATATATTTCTTTCTTTCAGGCCAATTTCCTGTGTCACAGAGGTTTTATAGAAGATGATTTTCTAGTTAGAGTTTTAGATTGTATGGCTTTCGGTGGATTTGTGCAAGAAAGAGGTCCCCCATATCGTGTCTGTGATATTTTTGATGAGGTAAGTATTTCAAGAGAGACATTATAACTTGTCCAGAAAAAAACATAGTGACCATTTGACCATTTTTTATCAGGAAAATTAGCTTTCTTAACCATAATGTAAAGCTTAAATCTTATTTGTACTTGTAAATAGTATAAAAAAATAGACTACTTCATAGAAATATTACACCTGAAAAATAATTTAAACAGTGTAATGCTAAAACAGACATCATGGAAGCCAACCTCTAATAAAGACATGATATGCCAAAAAACCCCAAACAATTTAAACATATGATTTTCTTTTTTTCTCTGAAAATCATACAGATTAAATACATGTACCTATATGATCATGACTTCTTTTTCTCTCTTCTCAACATCCCTAGATAAAGACTTTTAAGGTTGTCGTCATCTTCGTTGTCCGAAGACAGTTGGTTTCCGGACAATAACTTTAGTATAATTAAACAGAAATCTATGAAATTTTAAGACAAGGCTCCATACCACAAAAGGAAGGTTGGGATTGCTTTTGGGGGTTATGATCCTAACAGTTTAGGAATTAGGGGCCAAAAAGGGGCCCGAATAAGCATTTTTCTAGTTTCCAGACAATTACTTGTGGAAAGGTGTATGGATCTCTCTGAAATTATACCACAAGTTTCCATACCACTAAGGGATGGTTAGGATTGGCTTTGGGGGGTTATGGCCCAAACCATTTAGGAATTAGGGGCAAAAAAGTAGGACAATTTAAAAGCAGTGTAAGGGAGGTAATCCAAACACAACGTTTTGATTACCTCCCTTACACTGCTTTTAAATATGTATAAAGAAAGAAACTCAATTTTCCAAAGAAAAAAATTGGGGGTCACAATTTATTTTGCTAAGTCTTTGTATATAGTCTGAAAACAGATTTACCAAGTATTGCACAACAGCACAGTGTATTGGACAACAGCAAGAAATCTTCAATTGAATATAAATTCAAATCATACATTTGGATTCCAGCCAATAACTTTAGTTTAAGTGTATGGATCTCTCTGAAATATAACCAAAAGGTTCAATACCACAAAAGGAAGGTTGAGATTGTTTTTGGGGGTGATGGTCCCAACTGTTTAGGAAGTAGGGGCCAAAACAAGCATTTTTCTAGTTTCAGGACAAAAACTTGTGTATAAGTAATTTAATTGCTCTGAAATTGTACCAAAAGGTTCAATACCACAAGTAGAAGGTTGGCATTCATTTGGGGGGGGGGGGGGGGGGGGGGGGGGGTAACTGCCCAAACCATTCAGGAATTAGGGGCCAAAAAGGGTCTAAAACAAGCATTTTTCTAGTTTTCAGAAAATAACTTGTGTTTAAGTGTATGGATGTCTCTTAATTTGTACCACATTCAATTTTTTTTTCCTCAAGATTTAAGAAATTGTCAATTTTCCAAAGAAAAAAATTGGGGGTCACAATTTATTTTACTAATTCTTTGTATATAGTCTGCAAACAGATTTACTAAGTATTGCGCAACAGCACAGTGTATTGCACAACAGCAAGAAATCTTCAATTGAATATAAATTCAAATCATACAACCAATTTCAAGTTCTTTGACTACATTTATTCTGTGTCAGAAATCTATATTGTGTCCATTCTTGCCCCAACTGTTCAGGGTTGGACCTCTGCTGCCGTATCCATGTAAGTTTAATTATTGAATGTGGGTCATGGGTCTTTTTTCAGTATGCGTCTATTACCATTATGCAAAATTATCTAAAAAATGGTTCTTGGTTGTAGGGATATTTTGAAAGTCCTTTCCTACCCTCCCACATACATTTTAATGGAATAGCCCTTAGATTTTTTTTATTCTGGCAAATTGCAAAAACTGCCATATAGAAGGAATTTAATTTCAATTTTAGATCTATGCAAATATACAAGATTTGTTAACAGAAGAAAGATCTGATCCAAACAAAATGTTAGAAAACATTAAAGATTTAGCTAAACAGCTGTATAATAATGTGAGTATTTTATAAATTAGTGGTATGTTTAATAAGAAAGAATTAGACAAAAACAGCTGTATACAAATATGAGTACTTGTTTATGTGAAGATTTTTAGTCACCAAGACTTTGGATTATTTGGATATATTGCCTTGTACTCAATTTTTAGGGGACTTTGAATTTGTCACAACAAATGAAATTTCCCCAAATTATGCATTGAAAGAAAAAGAATACAACAGTATATGATGTGTAGTATATATTACTATGACCAGTTTAAGTTTAAAATTTTGCATATTTTTGTTGTAAATAACATTACAGAAGAAAAAAATATTTTCTCAGGATTTTCAAATGCATTTCAAATCCACTGTTTAAAACTATTAGCAGCTGAACTTGAAATGGTCTGAGGTCAGAATCAAATTCAAAGCAGACATAGTAATAGAAATAAGCTTTTAGTGGCTGGGACAATTTAGAACACATGAAGATATTTTTCAAACATCAGTTTAGATACAAACAAGTTTCAACTTTGGTGCCTGGTTAGTTCAAGCATTTCATACATATTGCTTCTTGTTAACAAGATTATAGAAATTAAAAAAATATGGATCAGAAAACTGTGTTTTAAATCTGTGCAGGAATATCCGAATCCTCAACCATACGTCCAGAAAGTGCCAAAACCAACAGAGGAAGCATACAAGAGAATACATCAGCCACAGTTTCCTTACCTTGACTGGTTACATGTTCAAGAAGTTATTGATGAGGGCATTGCGAAAAACAATCTTAAATCTAAGTAAGTGTTTATATTATGTTAAAGATATGAAAGTCATTGTTGGCAATGTTATAGTCAAACGTTGTTAAGTTGCAAAATTCTGGAATAACCAACTATTGAATTAGAAAGTCAGCAAGCTCAATTGATGTCTTTTTGCCAGAATTATCAAAAACATATTTGTTATAAAATGAGTGCTTTAAGAAAACTTTATTAAGATAACTTCATTATTATTACTTTTTGAATTTTGCATTTATTTTGACAAATTGGTGCTATTTTTTTAATATTCCTGGTATTTCATGGAAATTTAGATATCCTGGTCCACATATTTGATTTTTTCATTCCTAGGAAAACAGAAATTATGATCATCTTAGCTGATGAAGTTTTTTGTTTAGAAGAGTTTTTATTTATTAACAGATTTAGCAATATGAGGCCACATCAGTTACGGATAGTGCCTATAGGTCCACCATCAGCCACGCTGACAGAGAGACAGAGGATGGTAGATAACAATGCTAGAAGGCTAGAAGTCCTCAGGAATTGTGTTAATTTTATTTTTGAAAATAAGATCTCAGATGGCAGAATTGTAAGTTTTTACAATGTAAATTATCTGTTACAATGTAAATTATCTATTACAATGTAAAATATGTGTTACAATGTAGATCTGTTGGCATACCTATTTCTGTAAATTTTGTGGGTAAAGGTGAACAACAAATTTAAATAAACAACAAAGTACAAATAAAGTAAATATTATCTGTTACAATGTAAACTATTCCTGCAATCATAAGATGAAGTACCCTGTGTAGTTGTTGTAATTTTTTTTTCTCCAAAAAAAAAGAAAAGAAATTTCAACACCACAATAACAAAAGGAGAACTCACTGAATATTATTTTCAACAAACAAAAAGTGATGTCTATTAATAAAATATATATTATAGTAATTGATATCAATGATTTGGACTTATAAGTCTCAGGTACCAGTCTACAGAAATGGATGAAAAACTATATAGATGTGACCTTTCGAAGTAAAATTTGTAGCAGAGATTGTAGCCATAATAACTATTGTTTAACATTACAGATATTTCCAGCAGTGTTGAGGGCACTGAAGAGTAGAGTTGCTAGAATTGCGTTAACACAGGAACTTAGCTACCATATACGTAGCAATAGGGCTATGTTAGAACATCAACAATTTGATCTGGTTGTCAAGTTACTTAACTGTGCTTTACAGGTAGGTTACAATGGCCAGATGACTGATTGATTTAATATTTATGTTACTTAACTGCTTTGCAGATAGGTTCCTGATGTACAAGTCAGGGCCTAATCTAGGATTTTGAAGAGGGAGAAGTGACTTCTCCTTCCATGAGAGAGAAGGGAGAAGTGGTCAACTTCTTGGAGAAGTGAGATTCCATTACCGTTTCGGTTGCATCGTGTTTTCAAGCTTATCACTAAGGAAATTGTTTTATATTCAATAAAAGATGTACTTGCAGTTTTTTCATATGTTATTTTACACAATGTATCTATAGAAAGTTCTTAATAAAAAGGTTTAAACAATATATAGTTGTTATTTATTTATTGATACCATAATGTGTTCTAAATAAAATTTGTTGATTGGGACATGAGGGAGTAGCCTAGTAATATTATCAAGATTATGATGCATTAAATTCATGTGCATCTGCCTCAATTTATTTTTAAACTCCAGAAAAATATGATGAATTTCACATGACTGTGAACGATTTAATTTATATCACTACTTGTCATTGTTTTGTAAAATACAGGACATTTATGTTAGTTGTAGTAAATTGAGATTATCTTTAAAGATTGTAAGTCTATAAATGAAAATATCTTTCAATCTCAAGTTAATTATCCGATAAAGAGCTAATTTCTATCATTTTTTAAAAATGTCATCCATATCAACGATGTGGTCATGAGAAAAAATCCACTGCTGATCACAATCTGGTCGAGTGTCGTACGTTTGCAATCACATTATCCATCAGTTGTCTTTCTACTTTTATATTTCAATTTTTATTCAATGAATATAATAAATCTACCGTTAATTCCCACCCTTTACCAACCGAATAGTAAAATTGATCGACTCGTGTAGGTAATAAAAATAAAACAAATCAGCTGAGTGATTACGCAACATCCTCAGATGAAAATCATCGTAAAACGATAACTTAAACAGACGGTCAGTTTTCCGTTTGAACAGTTTTGAAAGTTATATCCGAGGATGTTCAAAGTCGCCGTTGTATTTATTTAATTTGATCGTTTACAGTATTAGTCCTGGGTCGTTTCGAAAATCTCGATTTTCCTTGTCAGCCGCCATTTTTTTTACCTGTGAGGCTTGTCAATCACAAGTTGTCTCCCTTTTACCGATTTTGATAGCGATTGGACTTCGCTATGAAGTCAGTCGGCCGGCGAGATTTAGCGATTTTCAAAATTCTTTGGCGACTTAAATCGTCATTTCGCCGGCAAGATTATGGCCTGCAAGTGTTCTTCCAATAGTTTGGCATCATTTTTGGTTTTATTGCTTTTTTGAATCGCCTTGACGGAGTCAAAAAGCGAGACATAGGTATGCTGTTTCCGGTGTCGGCGGCGGCGTCAACAATGTATTAGTTTGTGATTAGGTCTAGTTCATGGTGAACCACTAGTGGTAGGTCAGTGATATTTGGTATGCAGTTGTATTAGCATTGGCACATCTCATTACCATGGATATTATTTGACCCCACCCCCTCAGTCAAGTTCTATTGACTTTGAAACTTTGCTTAGTTTACATGTATTAGTTTGTGATTAGGTCAGTTTATGGGGAACCACTAGTGGTAGGTCAATGATATTTGGTATGCAGTTGTATTAGCATTGGCACATCTCATTAACATGGAGATTATTTGGCCCCACCCCCTCAGTCAAGGTCTATTGACTTTGAAACTTTGCTTAGTTTACATGTATTAGTTTGTGATTAGGTCAGTTTATGTGGAACCACTAGTGGTTGGTCAATGATATTTGGTATGCAGTTGTATAAGCATTGGCACATCTCATTAACATGGAGATTATTTGGCCCCACCCCCTCAGTCAAGGTCTATTGACTTTGAAACTTTGCTTAGTTTACATGTATTAGTTTGTGATTAAGTCAGTTTAAGGGGAACCGTTAGTGGTAGGTCAATGATAATTGGTATGCAGTTGTAGAAGCATTAGCACATCTTATTTCCATGGAGAATATTTGGTCCTTACTTCTCAGTCATGGTCTATTGACTTTCAAACTTTTGCTTAGTTTACATGTATTAAGTTTGTGATTAGGTCAGTTTAAGGGGAACCGTTAGTGGTAGGTCAATGATAATTGGTATGCAGTTGTAGAAGCATTAGCACCTCTTATTTCCATGGAGAATATTTGGTCCTTACTTCTCAGTCATGGTCTATTGACTTTGAAACTTTTGCTTCGTTTACATGTATTAGTTTGTGATTAGGTCAGTTTAAGATGAACCACTAATGTTAAGTCAATGATATTCGGTATGCAAATGTATTGGCATTTGCAAGTTTCATTTCCATGGAGATTATATAACCCCACCCCCTAATTATGGTTCATTGACTTTGAAACTTTTACATAGTTTACAAGTTAATGTTTTTGTTTAGGTTTGTTTAAAGGGAACGACTTATGAAAAGTCAATGGTATTTGGTTTGCAGTTGTATTAGCATTGGCACATCTCATTTCCATGGAGACTGTTTAGCCCTGTACATTCAGTCATGGTTCATTGACTTTGAATATTTGCATAACTTACATGTTAAAGTATTGTAATTTTAATTTCAACATTTGCATTATCAAAATAACAAATAGGCGAGACATATCTCTGTGTTAACAGTTTATTGGATTTGATATTTGGGTTCAAACAGGACAATCACTGTTAGTCTTTTTAACCAAATATTCATTTAACAAGTTTGCCTTTAATTCATAATGCATTATACTCTAATCCTTTGTGTATTATGAAGTTAGAGAGTAAATACCTGACATTGATTTATTACAGAATGATTCTAGTATGGATGAGAATGGTGTGGCAGCAGCTATATTACCTCTGGCCACTTCCTTCTGTAGGGTAAGTATTGTCTTTATTTATATTCCAGAGAAAGCTCCCATTTTAAAGTCTTGCCCCTTTTTTCATGGAGTATTTATTATTTATTGAGAAAATTTTGATTGTATAGTTTTAATAAATGATTTTTTTTAAAACCAGAGTTTATATGGCAGGTATAGATGTACAGAATTTTTCATTTCATTGATACTGCTTAAAATCCAATGCTTAGACTCATGTATTTTGAGAAAATTTTTGTTTGAGAAAATATTTTATGACATACAACCTTTTCCTTACAGAAATTATGCACTGGAGTTATACAGTTTGCCTATACCTGTGTACAGGAACATGCTGTGTGGGCCACTCTACAGTTTTGGGAGGCTGCATTCTACCAGGATGTACAAAAACAAATCAGACAGCTGTATGCTCCTCATTACGAAGAAGCAAAAGATGGGGCATATAGTCCTACATCTAATGTAAGTCACCAATATATTGAAGAATAAGATAAATAATCTCAATCAGTAAGGGGTAAATAGTCTTGTTTTAAACTTTATACAAGTCCAATCATTTAATGATCCAAATAAAGAGCATAGTATCTAGTTGAGGACAGAGAAAGTAATCCTTTATAAGAAGTTATTTAATGCTTCCTAAAACACAGATAAATAAAGTCATACATCATTTGAAATTATGGTATATGACATACTTTTGATAAGAAAACAGTCCCTCTAAAGATGCATTTGTTCTATATCTGAGACCAATCACTGTTCTTTTGCGGAAACAGGATTTTTTGGTTTAACAAGTTATGCACATAGAAAATATATATTTTGTGGAACATTTAGAATCATAGTTCACCTTAACCCATGAAATTCACGTAACTTAGTATACAACAAGTTTGCTTTTAATAGAGAACTCAGTCCTATATCTAATCAATCATCTTTAATAGTTTCCTCATTAATTTGACATGCATCTCATTTTGGTGTATGCAATTTACAAGTTGACCAGAAACACTGATGTATACTACTATGTTTGTTTTCAGCCAAATGAGTTAGGGATAGTGTGGAATAAAACACAAACTACAACTCCAGATACAAAAAGAAGATCAGGGATTAGACCCAGAGAGATTGGTGCATTAGAAATTGCAGCTGAACAGGTAAGTCTGTAGTTGGTTAAACATGGGCCTTTTATAACTTACACTAAAGTCTTTGCTCATTATCTAATACCTCATGGTAACCTACACCCGGCATCTTATATTCATATGAATGTGTAGATATTCACTTTTTCTTACTTTGATCTTTTCTGAGCTGGATAACTGTTTCCTTGACAGTTAGGCTGAAGCAGCTTATTTTTTTATAAACCACAATTTTAATTATTGACTTGTTTTTATTTTAATAAGAATTTCTGACTTTAGGGGTAAAATTATAGACTGTATCTCTTTTAACTTTAGTATAGTCAACGAAAATTTACAATATATTTTTATCATTGGTTTGTGCTAAAATAAGAAATTTTAAAGAAATCAAAAATTGATAAAGTTTCTTTTTTCTGAATTCTGTGAAAATTTTGGCTGCATGGAATCACTTATATTTAAGTATAAAAATAAAAATCTTGATTTAATAACTTTCAGTTACGAATATGGCCAAGTCTGACAAAGGAAAAGAAGGAAGAAATGATAAACAATGAAGAATCAACAGTTTACAGTCAAGCCATACATTATGCCAATCGTATGGTATACATGAGGGTTCCTCTGGACACCAAGACAAATCTTAAAACTTACACTGACTGGGAGAGTAATAGCAACAGTAACATAACAGCAAGGTTTGTATATTAAATAGTCTGAAGTCCTCTGTGTAGTCAACATTTATGTTCAGTCTGTGGTTAAAGTTGTTTTTAGACCTCAGTAACTTTGTCAAAACATTCATGGGTTTTAAGAATTTTTTACAGAACCTTTTTTATGATATATGGTATATCCAGAGCATTTGAAAATATTTTTCTTCATTTTTCTGTGTTTATATGTGTATAATAAATAGGCTTCGTTTTTTTGGCAGTGAAGGTTTAGAAACAGTTTTGAACTGAACTTTTTTTACAAAGCTTAAAAAAAACAGGTAAAAAGCGAAAAATTGATGAGCGATATAATATAATATGTCTTGGGGAGAAAACTAATCTGAATTTTAAATTTGAAACCGAATTAATAATAGTTTCATTAAATGTATATTTCAGCATTGCAGAGAGTGATAGTGTGGATGCAGAGAGTGGATTTGATGAAACAGAAATATCTGATGTAGGGGCAGGTGTGATCAAGTTTGTTACCAGATTTGTAGAAAAAGTATGTAATGACAGTAAAGTGACACAGGATCACATCAAAGCTCTACATACCATGGTGCCTGGTAAGTTATAATAAAGATGATTATCCTGTTAAGCATATCTAGTCTACCAGATTTTGTCAGTCAATATGAAATATAGGAAAAGAATGATGCTGAGCACAATTTAAGGTAAATTGTCTCTCGGCAAGTGTTGAAGAAAAGAAAAGCCATTAATTTAACAATAACACTTAAACTGCATAATTTTATTGGTGAACATGTTTCACCAACTATATTCCTATCTTCTGGAAAAGGTGCAAAGAAATGTGAGTCCCTGAAGTACTGGGTGATGGTATCGAAAGGTTGACATCTTAACTAACGAAAAGTTCATTCAGAAAGGTCTTAGTTATGATATACAAATAGAAAGTGAAAGTACAAATCCAAGTTCAACCCTGCATACCATCAATTTCCAGGTAATACAAATTGGTAAATTTCTGTCTGTTCAGCAGATATAATTGTTTGAGAAAAAGTCATAGACTAGAAAATATTTGGATAGACATTTTTACATTGATGTTGTATTATGTTTAAATTAGATAAAATATTCTTAGCTGTGATGAAAATTTATCGTTGTGAATAAGGTTTAGGAAGATGTTAAACAGGATGAAATTTTACATTGAAAGATTCATTAGATGTAAACTATTTGATTTGATCAATCATGGCATATATGGCTATATAACTGAGAAGTGTTCTATTCTAGAAAAAGGGGGCCTCAGTGGCCGAGTGGTCTAAGTAGTCCAACTACTGTATCACTAGCCTGTCAACACTTAGGTTGTAAGTTGGAATCCCGTACGTGGCAGGTGTGTTAAACTCCAATCTTAATTGGCTAGGATTTTCAGTTTTCTTACCAAAGGTCTGCAGTTCTCTCTGGGCACCCTGGCTTCCTCCACCAATAAAAACTGACAGCCACGAAATAGCCAATAGTGCTGAAAGTGGTGTTAAACAATCAATCAATCAATTAATCAATATACCAGAAAAGGTAATCAGATGAAATAAGTAGAACTATTTGGCTTTTGTTGAAAAGAACATTCCTCAATGATGTACATGTAGCAGGCTTAGCCACTCCTACGCAAGGCAAAACAATGGATTAATAGTGAATGGGAATTATAGGTGTCTGAAAATATGTTAATGATGACTATATGCATTTCTGATTTGTTTTATTGGACTTTTTAGGTGTGGTAGCCATGCATGTTGAAACATTAGAGGCAGTACACAGAGAGAGTAAGAGATTGCCCCCTATACAAAAGGTAAATAGACTTATATTATCAAGAGGGAATAGGGTATAAAGTAGTGAAGACAGAAACCCAACAGTGAAAACTGATTTTGAATACGAGGATCTCATATTTGGAAACATTTCATAAAATTTTTATTGAATACTCATTTAACTCATTTATCTGCTTATATAGAAAAAAGGTTTTCAGATAAAATTATAATTAATTTTACCCTGGCAAACAAAGTTTGTTTATTTTGGAGGAGGGTGTGGTATATAGGAATCCCCCTATCTGTCCTTATTTCGATGTGCCTTGTAATCAGATCTCCTCATAATTGCTTAAATTGATTTTGGTTCTCAATGAGACAGAAACTCAACAAAATGTCTTTCATTTCAGCCAAAGATTTTGAAGCCTACACTATTACAAGGAGAAGAAGTAGTGATGGATGGTTTGAGAGTATACCTGCTGCCTGATGGCAGGGAGGAAGGAACTGGAGGGAACCTGGGTGGTCCTGCTCTACTACCTGCAGAGGGGGCAGTGTTCCTGACAAATTATAGAATCATATTTAAAGGAATACCATGTGATCCTGTTGGTAAGTTTTGATTGGGCAGTGTTCCTTACAAACTATAGAAGAAACTTGGGTGGTTTTGCCCAATTCAATATCGAAGGATAGTTTTTTTTCTAAAAATCTTAGGTTTTTGTATTAAACAGGATATTTAGTATACATAGAAATTAAAGGAGAAATCTGAAGAGGTAATCATTGTCCTTTAATATAACTTTTTGATAACTTTAATGGATGTGTTTAGTTGAAACTTTAACTAGAAGTGACTTAGAAATGTATTTTTCTTTAATGCCATTTGTCATCTATAAATATTCAAATGCATGTTTAATTGTTAAATATTTACCAGAAATGATCTAGAAAAGTATTTATCTTTTAATGTCATTAGTAAGTAATCTATAAACTTTTTGTAATGTATGTTCAAATATTTTTCAGCTTGTGAACAAGTGGTTGTGAGATATTTTCCAGTATCTACCATGACAAAGGAAAAACAAATCAAACTAGGTTATACTCCACATATAGATCAACTTCCTAAGGATGGAATTCAAATCAGAGCTAATATATTCCAGGTAAGATATTTATTTTCATGTCTTGTTTATCAGCCTGCAAATGAATGGGAAAAGTATATAATGATATAGAAGTTTGGCTTTGTTACAATATCAATATAGGTGGTAGGTAAATGTTTGCATTTCAAAATACCATTTATTTTATGCCATAAGATAACAATCCTATAAAGATTCATCAGTCCAAAGAGGGACAAATGTCAACAGTTGAGTGATCTAATTGAATCATTAGTTTATGCTGATTTCATAAAAATGGTTGAAGTGGTACTCAATTGACACTGCATCAGTGTAGACTTTAGATAATCTATGTAGGTAAATACTATTTTTAATTTACACATACAGGTTTTATTTCAGTGAATAAGATTATAAACCAATATGATGCACCATTGATTATACCTCCAATCGAAAGAAAAGTGGTGGGTGGATATACAGATTTACCTCTATCTGTCCATCCATCCCTCCATAACACCTTTTTGTAGTATTTTACTCGACAACAATAAGTCATAGCTTCTTGATATATGGCATTAAGCTAAGTCTTCTTATGCTAAACAGAGCGTCAGTGGCCAATTGGTCCAAGAAGTTCATCTACTGTATCACTAGCCTGTGAACACTGAGGTTGTGAACCCAGCATATGAGAGGTGCATCAACTCTAATATTAATAGACCACTTTCGAGTTCATCCTTCAACGGAAAAAAACTTGTCAATTATGCGCGCCTTTATGACATCATTTACCAGATAGAGGGGATCGCCTGTATCCCTGCACTATTAACGTTCATCAATCGTCTTAGTGATCGTCATTGTGCAGGATAAACTAGAAATAATGTTTGTTTTGTAAGTACTTAATCACAATTCCCTAATGACAGTAGTGCTGATTGTCAATTATGAGAATTTGATTTGCCGAATAATTCATAATTCGTGCAATATAGCATTATAGTTTTCCAGCCACTTGCTCAACATTGGAACGGAAGTGACAATGCCCCTAAACGCACGAATGATGTTCACTAAAACCAGAGTTTTTGACGGAAATGCATCGAACTGGAAAGTTGTCTATTGACTAGGACTGCCAGTTTTTTCGGGCACTCTTGCTTCCCCACCAATAAAAAGTGACCACCATGAAATAGCTCATAGTGCTAAAATTTGTATTGAAAACCCCCAAAAATCAATCAATCTTGTGCCATACTGAGTGACACATTTTCTATTCCTTTGATATTCCCACTTCCTGTTTGCCAAAAAAAAAAATGTAATCTTCAAACTGGCATGCACATACACATAATTTTCCTCAAATTTATTTAACATTTAGTGGAGGTATATTCAACTACTCTCCTCTTTTCATAGCAGTATGTGTAACTTTTGCATCCTTAACCTATATATAAATGTTAAGATAAAATTACAAATTCTTTGAATAGAAGCAACCACTTCTTAGAGACAGTCTTAACTATGATATAATGTGTCCTTAAAATTGTACGATGAAATAAATATTTTGAGGTGTGTTCACATCAGTAGAATAAATGTCAGCTCTATATTGTACATTAATTTTTTATACGCTCGTTTACGGGACATATTTTGGTATACCTTTGACTATCTGTCCGTCTGTCTGTCCTTCCGTCCGTCTGTCCATCCGTCCGTCCGTCCGTCCGTCCGTCGTCAACATGTTGGACATTAACTCAAAAATGCTTTAACCAATATGCATGAAATTTTATTGAATTGTTAATATCTATTGACGTGAGCTCCCTTTCGTTTTTTATAAATTTCAGATTTACCGTTTTCGAGTTTTGAGGTTTAAATCATTAAAAAAGGGGGGATTTTCCAGTTTTCCGACAATAACTCAAGAATGCTTTCACCAACTTGCAAGAAATTTATATCTGTTGATGTAAGCTCCCTTTAGAATTTTATAAATTTTACATTTTACATTTCTGAGTTATAGGGTTTTATTCATTAAAAAAGAGGGGATTTTCCAGTTTTTCGACAATAACTCAAAAATGCTTTCATCAGTTCTCATGAAACTTTGGTGAATTATTTATAGCTATTGATGTAATCTCCCTATTGATTTTCATAAATTTCAAATATGACATTGAGAAGAAATTGAACTTTATTTGTTTATAGTCTGACAACAGATTTACTTAGTATTGCGCAAAATGCACAACAGCAAGAAATCTTTAATTGAATATAAATTCAATTCATATAACCAATTTCAAGTTCTTTGACTACATTTATTCAGAAACCTTTAATATGCCAAATATTTAATTACAATCCAAATTCAGACCTGTATCAAGCTTGAATATTGTGTCCATTTTTGCCCCAACTGTTCAGGGTTGGACCTCTGCGGGCGTATCCAGCTGTGCATAGCGAAGCAGTTTATTTTGATTTAAACCCCATTTATTTAAATTTGCATGTATTTTACAGTTGATGAGGTTGGCATTTGATGAAGAAGTAATACCAGAAGATGTTGACACCTTTAGAAAGTTGGCTAACAAATATAGAAACCCTGCATCAGTGTTCCAAGCATTTGCTTTCACTGGACAAGTGATCATGCAGCCAACAATGGTTAAACATAAGGAGAAAAATGCTTCATTGAAGTAAGCCATTTTACAATGATGAATGTGTTTAACAAGCTATGTTGGTCTATATCTGAAACAGCTTTGATGATGGGTCACTGTAACATAAATGAAAATCTTTTTGTTGGAATACATACAGAAACCAGTAGGATGTTGTATAAATATATAGAAAGTAAACACAAACCTAGCAAAGAACATTATTTATTTTTGACAAAGTGCAATAATTTAATTTTGGATTTAACATGTCTTCTGATTGGCTGAGAGTTATTTGTCTATCAGCTCATAGACATAATTTTGTCATTTGACCGTGATGTCATCAGCATTTGTTTTAATGATTTACTCCTTAAAAGTGGAATTGAGAATTAAATTATATGGAATGACTGTAATATTTTTTCTGTCTATTCAAAATAACCTAAAAAACGTGGGTTATTCAGTGTGCACCACATTTCTGATGTTATTTCTTCATAGACAGAAAAAAATATTACAGTCATTCCTTAAATATGTCAAACAATCAGAACCATGTAAAAAAATAATTCTAAAATGTACAAATTTTACTGTTTGTTAGGAACTTTGCAAAGAAAACATTGATGAAGACTGCTAGAAAAGCTGGAATAAAACCAAAACAGTCTGCCAGAAAACAGAAATATGTACTTCAGCCACCACCATCTATGCAAAGACGAAGTATGTCACCAAGGTCATCTTCTGCAGGGTCAGACAGCGACTCAGAACGACCCAATAGTGAAATGTTTGATGACTTGTCTAGTAAGTGGAAATCTTTGATCATTTAAAATGATTAACTGTAGTATATTGTAAACAACATTGAAAGTTTTGCTCCATGACTTTCTTTTTTGACAAAATAAAACATTGATTAACTATTTATTTTTGTCATTGAGAAACTCAGGTTCTGTGTTAATCAGAAACTCAGGTGCTTAGGATACTTCTATTTTCACATTGGTCTAATTCCTTAATCATAAAAATCCTGGGGAAAACATTTAGTGAATGCTATGTTCTTTTTACAGTTGTAGATGAGTCTGAATATGCTTCCTCATGGACCACTGATCCAAAGACCATAGAAAAGTTACTACAGAGACCAGGTTACCATGACTACGAGAGACTTGGTCTAAACAGTCTGTCTTCCTCACATCATGGACAGGAGCCCAAGTCTGAGCAGTTTAGAATATCTACTGTTAATGCTAACTTTGCAGTTTGTAGAAGGTATCAGTCATTAAACAGTTTGGAGTCATACTTATTTATATATCTCCACTCACAGATCTGCTGTCACAACCTGTTTGACAATACTTTGAATTTTTATTATGCCCACTGAACATAGTATTTTTCATGGTATTTGGTCTTTAACTCTATGATGCTGAGTTGTGTAAGCTTTTTTCTAATTACTTATCCAGTCACTTGCTGTTTGATGATACTTTGAATTTTTATAATTCCTAATGAGGATGTTTTTTTTTGCCTCAACCAAATGTTATGAAACTTAGACACAATGCTTATTACCACAAAACACAGATCAAGTTAGAATTTTGATGGCGTCACTTTAACCGTTCTAGAGTTATGCCCCTTTATAAATGGAAAAATTGCAAAATTTTTATTTTCTTCTAAATATCAAGTAATTTTTAAAATTGGAGTTATCTTCCTTTGTCCATGATTATAGTTGAATCAACATCAATTAATGCTTTGTTTAATTTTGACTTCCACTAATAAAACACAGATCAAGTTGAATTTGGGTAGTGTCACTTTAATCATTATTGAGTTACTCCCCTTTATAAATCGAAAGATTGCAAAATTTTTAGTTTCCATTCTGTAACTTAAGTTTGCCCCAAACCAAACATTATGAAACCTATACACAATATTCATTACCACAAAACTAAGATCAAGTACAAATTTTTTGTTTCCGTTTTCTAACTTTAGTTTGCCTCAACCAAATGTTATAAAACTTATACACAATGCTTATTACTACATAATACAGATTAAGTACGAAATTTGGTGGCGACACTTTTACCATTCTTGAGTTATGTCCCTTTATAAACATAAAAATTGCTGAATTTTCCGTTTCCGTTCTCTAACTTTAGTTTGTCTCAACCAAATGTTATAAAACTTATACTCAACCGTTCTTGAGTTATGCGTGTTTACAAATAGAAAAATTGCTGAATTTTTAGTTTCTGTTCTCTACTTAAGTTAGCCTCAACCAAATGTTATGAGACTTACACACAATGCTTATTACCACAAAACTCAGATCAAGTTCAAATTTGGGTAGCGTCACTTTTACCGTTCTTCAGTTATGTCCCTTTATAACTATATGATATGCAAGCGGGGGCATCATCTGTGTCCACATGTGGACACTATCCACATTTATTTTTTGTCAATTCAAATGGGGGTTATCCATGTATGTAACTATTTGGTAATATCGATCCAGATAGATGATTTAACATTATTATGTAAGGATAGGAATTAACTATGGTACTTCAAAGCACTTAAAAAAATAATTGATGTCCACTAAGAAATCCACAGTAGGATGTGTCAAACAATTATATGTTTAAGTGCCAGTCTTTGTAAGAATCAGGCAAATTGAAAAAATCAAAACATGCCAGAAAAAAAAACCAAACGACCTAACCATCCTATTTTAAAGTTACCCTCATCTTGAGTTAGTAGATCTTTCGTTTCTGCTTTTCTGATAATTCGAGAAATCTCTAGATAAATTTTGGTTAAAATGATAGCAAATTACAGAGTTAGCTCCCCTTAATTGTTAATTCCTAGTGCATTTCAACCAAATTAATCTTGAATTACCAGAACATGAAAAGGAAACGAATGTTATATTCATGCTTAAGTGGGTTTTTGTTTAACATGTATTCACCACTGCCTGATTCTTGGAGAGATTGGCACTTAATAATATGCATATTTCATAGGCTAAGGAAAGATGTTTTTACTGATTATATGATACAAAATTGAGGATCATAGATTTGACAAGATGAGGAAAAATTGTATTTTCGTAGATATTTGATTTCGTGGTTTTGCCGAAGTCTGCATACAAAAAAGTATAACAAAAATACCAAACTCCAAGGCAAATTCAAAAAGGGATTTTCCATAAAAACTGACAAAATCAAACACTATCAATCAATGGAACAAGTGGAAAAAAAAACTGCCATAGTCCTGACTAGGTACAGGCATTTTCCGAAGATAATGTGGGTTAAACCTGGTTTTATAGCTAGCTAAACCTCCCTCTTGTATAACAGTTGTTTATAGTTATACAAGCCTATAAAAAAGTTGAACATTTAAATTTGTGCTTTACCTTTACCCAAGAAATCCACAAAAGTTGGCATCTCATGAATACTAATGAATCCACAGTAATTTATACAACAATAAGTATGTTTCTAAGTGATCATCTTGCCAGTAATACAGGTAAAAACAATTTTAAAAAAGAAAGTAAAAACAGACACGATATAAAACAGGGACTATTTCCATCATTTATACTTGTGATTAAAAAAAAATCATAAAACAAATTAAAGAAAAACATATAAGAAATATAAATGAAGGTCTCAAAATTGACCTATGTACAAGTTATTGACAAAAATAAGCATTAAAAAATCAGATTTTGGCTAAAGCAGTTGATAATGTTTTATTTTTCAGTTACCCAGCTTTAATAGTGGTACCTCTGAGTGTTACAGATGACAGTATCAAGAAACTAGCTCGTACCCACAGACAATATAGGTAGTGTATCATAATATTCTATTTAGAGTAAAATACCAGTTTCATTTAGTCACAAACTTAAGTTTGTTCATTTAGAATTTAAAATCATTATATCAAAAGGAAATAAATGACACTGTCAGTCCATGAATGTAATACTGCAACTTTTAAACTGTTGGATGGATTCAAATGAAACTTCACACAAAGGCATAAACACCATGGAGTGCATAAAGCAAAATTCAAATGAAACTTCACACAAAGGCATAAACACCATGGAGTGCATAAAGCAAAATAATTGAAGGTGGACAGCAGGAATGACAGGTTTTTGCACCTACATTTATATGTTATTCACAATATGATACTGACTGTAAATTCAACTCCTTCATTTAATACTGTGAGATTATTTCAATGAAACTTCTCACATATATAAAAAAAATGTTTCGTTGTATGAGGCAAAATGATTCCGGTCAAACGTTTTGAAGGGGAGATAATTAAACTTGCTGATAAATTATTGACCTTTTAAACACAGCTCTTTATAAACTGTTTGATAGATTTTAAAGAAAGTTCACATATGGTAGTACCATATGAAGATGAGCATGAAACAAAATAAATTTTGACATTGTAAGAACTCTTATAAAACTATTTGATGGTTTTTAATAAACCCTCACACACGGGTATAATGTATATGAAGAGATCTTCATGAAGCAAACAAATCTGGTACAAGACATCAACAAGTGATATGATGGAAATTTACAAATGTATAAAAAAAAAATCACTGTTTTGCTTATTGGAATAAGTATTGTCTATCTATATAGAAATCAAATTACACCAGGCCTCGACAATAACGCTTGTCCGATTGTCCGGTACCAGAGGAAAAAAAGGTCGGACAAGTAAAAGCTATATCAAGCTTGTCCGACGGGACAAGTAAAATTATTCTGCAGAAAATAAATTTAATCCAACTTTGTTGAACAAAGTAATTATAAACAAAAAAACAAGAAAAGAAGATAAAAACAAGTATTAATTTGACATGTTTACTTGCAATCGATACTTTAAAACTGGTTCTTTGTCGGGTACTTTTTAAGATGTAAAAGGCATACTTTTCTCGGAAACCAGTCTTACTGATCCGAATCAGCGATGCGCTTTGTAGGTAGGTAACTTTTCAAGGCAGTTCGTCGCCAGCTGGGAAACGATTCGGCTTCAAATTTAATAGACAGTTTGGCACCGTAGGAGACATATTTCATAGACATGATTAATAGACAGTTTGGCAACGCAGGAGACATTTCGGGACCAAGACAAATCAGTACCTTGTTTTCCGACCTTATTCTGTTGCTTTATAATAAATACCATACCGGTAATTTTTTTAACCAAAAAATCTTTTAAATAAAAATGAAGAAATTATTTACCATAAAACTCACAAAATCATATTTGATCATATGTAGAAAAAAACAATACTTGGAATACGGTGACCTATAGTTGTTAATTTCTGTGCCATTTGGTCTCTTGCAGAGAGTTGTCTCATTGGCAATCATACCTCATCTTCTTTTTTTTATTGATTGCATTTGAAAAAAACTTTTTTTCAACTTAAAAACCAAGATACAAATCCAATGAGTGTACATTGACAGGCCTATCAGACGGTGCCTCATGTGCAGAGTCTGATGAGACTTTGGCATTGAAGAAAGCTAGAACCTACGTTCTGTGACATGACTAGATTCAGTTGTTCTCGACTCAGGTTTTTGAAAAGTATATCAAAAGATATAAATCAAATTCTGTTCTATTGTTTTAATTCATTTTGTGCCTTGAATCAACTTAAAATGCAAAAAAGGTTATTATTAAGATTTTTTTTGGACAAGTTACAATTTCATTCGGACAAGTAAGTTTTGGTATGTACTTGTCCTACTGGACAAGTTGAAAAAAAAGTTATTGTAGAGGCCTGTACACACATGTGTTTATTTGAATATTCATGTCCACCTATACAGAAATCAAACTACTGGATGTATGATTTAAAGAAGATTTCTGGAATAAAAAGAAAAATACAATATTGTAAACAAAGTTTTGCTGAATGAATATGCAATTGTATTCCTGTGTTTTAGATTCCCTGTAATTACGTGGCGGCATCCTAGGACGAAAGCTTTACTGATCAGAGCCAGTGGTTTTCACAGTAGAGGATTAATGGGAATGTTAAAACATGACACAACGTCAGGTAAGGACTATTGGCTTACACAGTAGAAGATTAATGGGAATGTTAATACATGACACAACGTCAGGTAAGAACTATTGGCTTACACAGTAGAGGATTAATGGGAATGTTAAAACATGACACAACGTCAGGTAAGGACTATTGGCTTACACAGAAGAGAATTGAGGAATGGGACATCTATTACTTGCTTTTTTTTTTTGGGGGGGGGGGGGGGGGGTGGGTAATGATTGCATTGATGTAATCAAAACCCTCATTTGCCTGGCTTGGCAGTTTTAAATTTTCCAGACTTTATCACTACTTTTGAGAATATCAAAACACTACATTGAGCACAACAATACGTACATCCTATCCATGAACAGTTCAAAAAATTTATCAGTGAAATATATATTCTGGTATTCAAGTTACATGATAATGCATTTAATCAAACTTGCCAAGAAAATTACATAAATTGTGCATCTAGTATCTGTTCAAAAAATTTCACTGATGTCATTGTTAAAGTAGTATTTAGAATATCTTCCTTTGTCCATAATTGTAGTTGAACCATATTAAATGATTTTGTACATCTTTGAAAACTTTTGTAATTTTTTTTTAGTTTTTGTCAATTTAAACAGCTGACTGATATTATTATTTTAATGATAAGATCATGTTTTGATCTATTTAAGTAAATAATGTATTTATAACATTGAAGAAATTTTGTATATCTATACAGGAACAGCGGGCAGTGAAACATCTTCTAGTATTGAACAGGAGAGGTATTTCTCCAATCTTGTGTCAGCTACACCAAACAGTGAGAGATATCGTGGATCGTGTAGCGACTCTCTGACTAGTCTAGACTCACTAATGATGGCAGGGATTAATGTCCCAGAGACCCCTGATATGAACAGAAGAGCTTTAAAGACTGGGAGTTTACAAAGGGTTACTAAACCTAAATCACAATCATGTAAGATTTACTTATGAAAATGAGCACAGCAGTGTTGAATACAGTGGATTTTTAAATCTTTAAAAAAATTTTAATTAGATTGTTTCTAATTATGAGCAGGCAACAAGGTTTGCCCAAACTAATTACATTTATATTGAAAATTCCTAACCAAGATCTCATTTCGTAGTTTTATGTCAAATGTTTTTGAAATAGTTTTTATTTTGTGAGGTTTTTTTTGTCAATTCAAACAGATTGTTCTGTCAGTTATATTTTGATATAGTTTTTAAGGTGTCAAAGCTTTTTATATGAATTTAAAAGACCTTGGTATGATCAGTAAAATTCAAAACTAATTTCCAGTCCACCAATATATTTTTTGTCCTTCTTAACTGACAAAGTTTTAGATTCCTGTCTCCAGAAATGAAATTTCACATGTCAAGCATTGACGGATAATAATGTAATTTTGAAACATCCAAATGAATTTTTTGTTTAATTTCATGAGAGCGGTATATTAAATAAAACATGGAAGGCAATCTGATGTCTCAAATGTGTAGGAGTAGCATGAACATTGTCACTTTTCCACTTTATAGCATTGTAGAGATGTTATTCAGAATGTTTATCTTCTACTTTGCACCTATTTTTTGACTTAGCATTTATTTTTATTCATTTGTGGGTTCGGTTTATTTTTGTTTTGTTTTAGCTTAATCTATTTTTTAGCATGGTTTAGCACTGTGTGCAAAATACAGAAAAAAAGTTAGTGAAAGACTTTTTTTTTTAGATTGTAAAAAAAAAGTTCAGTTTAAAGCCCAGTAAAAGAACAAGGTTTGCAAAATTTTTTGTGTAAATTTTTATCTGAAAAGTAACAAATGTACTAATTTTAAATTTTTTCATATATGACTTATTAAATTTTTTAATTTCCAATTTTGGGGAACACATGCAATTATTATAATTTTTTTTTTTAGTGCAATTGATTAATTTTGTCCTAAACATATGTATAAGTAGTATTAATATTTTATACACATATTTTATATTGTCATTTATTTCTCAGATGATTATGACTATGAATATAGCAGTAAGTAAATAAGATGACATATAAATCCTGCATCCAATCATATTCAATTTCACTTAATAAGGTTCTCTATCTTTGATGACATTTTTCTGTTCAGATTTGTCGGAATTTGTTTCTATAAAAAAAATTAAGACGTAAATAGTTAGTGTTATACTTTGATACTTCAAGATACTTCTTACGATAAGCTTTACTGAAAACATATGTATCAGCATTATAAGACATTCTGAGTTTTATATCTACATTATAGTCAAATGTTTCAAGCCTAGAAATGTGCATACAAAGCTGAGGTCATCATTGAAAGAGTTCTGACCCCTAGAGCACAATTTCTTGCTGCTATTTTAGGAAAAGTATAAATTAGAACAAAATGCTTATTTGATAGGCTATAAGTTTGTAGTTTGATTTCTTATAAAAAAATTTCCAAGGAAATGGTTTAATTAAAAAACATTTCATCATTTTGTATTTATTTTAAAATTCTCTTAATTTTCTTTTATAACTTTATTTGATTGAGGAAAATTATCTGCAATTTGAATAGCCTTTTGAATTAGAAAACAGAAATAAATTCTTGTGTAGACCTAATGAAAGTCTGCTCAAGATTTTTTTACAGATATTTTTTTCTAGATCATAAACAGTATAAGATTTCTGCATTACCTAAAAACATAGGTGCCTTAAAAATGATCTTACTAAAACATTATTGAAACACACTAATGGAACTATATAAAGGGCTTTTATGGGTGCTTATCATATAATCGTTTATTGTGTGAAAATGATGGAGAAATGCTTCAATTGCTTCTAGAAGTTGTTATACTATTACAAAAGTGCCATACCTTCAAGTCATATACGTGTAAATTGAACAGTTTAGATAAGGGAAGAATTTTGTCTCTTTGACACTAAAAATGACAAAGGAAAAAAACAGATACTTATGTGGTTTATTTTCACAGAGATTAAATTTTGTGATTACAAAGGTCAAACCTGTTAGAAAAGTCATATTTTGCCACTTTTCTTGTCTTTGATTTTGATCTTCCTGAAGATCAAAGTTATGAGAGTTGATATTTTCGTGATTTTATTTTTATCACAAAATTTGCGATTTTTACATATATAAGTATGCTTATGCTTGAATTTGTATGTGTTTCAATACTGAAATAAACATAAACAGAGCTTGATTGATGTAGGCATGGGTTTGTTCCATTTGAATGTAAAAATAAGAATTGTATATGATTATTGTTGGTTACCTTATGTCCAGTGCCAAATATCTGATGCATATTCAGGATGATAAAATTATTTGACATACTGGGGATTCATTATTATTCGTGGTATATCAATTTTCGTGGATTTTGCAAGTAAAGGTGGATCACTAATTCAAATATTGATTGAAGTGCAAATTTTCTATATGCTTTGACTTTGGTAATGACTTTGGTAAAACCATGAATTAGCAAAAATACAATTCGTCCTCAGTCCACGATAATTGGTATCCACGAAAATAAAAGAATCCACAGTATATGGAAATTGTTAATAGAATCCTATTTTTGGTAACAAATCATTCTCAATGGAATAAACAACGTAGTTAATACTGTAATTGTCAGTTGTTAGGTAGTATGTGTAAACTTTGGAGCTCAAACATCAAAGGAATTCAAAAACGTCATTAAAATTATCAACTGGTTCAGGTTAATGAATACTTTAATGTATGAAACTGATTAATAGGATAAACGAGAGAAGTTGTTTCTATTAGCTTTACAATATTAAAGTTACTGGTGTTTATCAAGATTTGAAATTAGGGGGAAATTGTATGATATCAACTGACAGATATGGTTTTGTTATGATGCTATGTGTAAAAATCATGAACTGTAACAAATATTTACATGTCATGACAGTACTTTTTGAAATTTGTATTAGAATCACAGTTCTCAGGTTCAAAGAAAAAAATATTAATATTTTGCATACAAAATTGAGTGAGTTCATGATTTATACATTCCAATGTATTCAGTAAACTAAACATGAAATGAACTCAGTTATGAGTAACATGTTTTTAAGTGGAAATTATTGGTTTTGCAGTTTAATTTTTTTTTAAACTTTGAAAATTTCTCCTATCAATGGATTTTTATATCTTTTTGCTTCAAATTGTTTTTTTTCAACTGGATTTGTTACTTGGAAAAACATACATAATTGTTGGGGACAAGTTTACTGCTTATACATTGGAAATAGAAATAACTGTTTTTAGTTTAAAAAAAAAATTAAATCTTATTATTATTTTTTTGTGTTGTTGGGTTGCTTTTTCATGGAATTTAATGCACAGCCTTTTTTATTCATATTGGAAAAGAAAACAGTTATTTCTTACTTATGTGTTGTTCATATTTTTGCTTCTCTAGCAAGTCGCGATTCCCTTGACTCTATTGATGAAGTCCAACTGAGATCATCCCCTCGAGGAAGTACGATGCTTACACGGGCTGCCAATGCGTTTCGTGCTAGTGGGTCATGGAGAAGTTCAAGTATGTTGCTGCGTGTGATAATCTTGGGTTGCGGCATGCTCTCACATTATATTGGGAACTTCTCCATAAGCTGTCCTGATTTAGCCTTGATAATTAGCAATCTTATGTTAACATCTCCGATCATCATCAGCTTGCAGTCAAACTAACTTTATCTATCTTTTATCTTGTGAAGGGTTTTATCATCAGTTTTTGAAAAGATTTATTGAGTATAAAAATGCTGGAAATAAGAATAAATTTCAGATAATTTAACAGTAAAATATTAAATTACAAGTAATTTCCTATTTTATTTTCTACTATTTTATGGTCTGTGGTAAAATTCAGTTTCATTCTTTCTGTTTATGCACTTTATATTATTTTCATTATTTTTGTGTTTTGTTTTCAAGTTATGTAAATTTCCTGTGTAAAGTGTCCATATTGCAGGTTATTATGTAAATCCTTCAAAATTGGTTATGGAACATGTATGCAAGCAATGTAAGGGAGGGTTTGACTGCTTTTATTTTGAACATGCATGGCAGATTTTGGTATATCTATATAAATATTACACTTTTTGCTTAAAGTAGGAATAAAGCTGGCTTTATTTTGTTTCATATGCAAATTTACTATATCACCATGTCTTGACAAATATATATTTTTTTCAAATTGTTATTGTTAAAAGTCACATATTTGCATAGTTCTATATTTAATCCTTTTCACTGGGCTTCTATTCCAGTGATCAATCTATGTAAATATACTGATATATATACAAACCTTCTATTCCTCCTTATACAGATTTGGTGATGTTTATTGTATATATTAACTCTTGTTTTACTTCCTGCTTGTACTTTTCAAATCATAATCTTAATGCTGCATTTTGGTTGATATAAATGTACACTTAGTATGCATTTAATATAGCTTTACACACATTTTGTCATCTCTACAATAATGGAACACATCAACCCAAGTAAATTTATTAATACTTGAATGATGCATATTTGATATTTTTTTTAACTTCCAAAGTTTAAGAAAAGTTTACAGTAGTATTGAAACAATACTTTGCTGCTTTGGACAGAAAGATGAAGTGACCAAATACATTGCACCTCATAAATGTGTATATGATGAAATAGAGTAAAGTCCTCTAAATGCAGCATTAGACATGAAACAATACTGTGCTGCTCTGGACAGAAAGATGAAGTGACCAAATACATTGCACCTCATAAATGTGTATATGATGAAATAGAGTAAAGTCCTCTAAATGCAGCATTAGACATTCGTTCTAATGTATGGTGAGAGACAATGGTTCCAAGGTTCTTACAATATGTCTGTTATTTACTCTAAATGCTTTCATTTTTTGCATGGGCAAAAAACAAATATATCAGGTAAAAGTCTTACAGTATTTATAAAATGTTATTTTTTTCAAAATGAAAAGCAGTGTAAATTAAAATTAGAATATCATCCTAAATAAAACTAAAAGTAAAAAAAAAAAACACTTAAATTCAGAGGGTATTTATAATCCTATAAAAATTGGTGAGAATCAAACCAACTGAGAATAGATCTTCTGTGTGAAGCCTACCAACTGAGAATAGATCTTCTGTGTGAAGCCTGTATAAGAAAGTAGATTACATGCTAAAAATAATTCCAACTGCATGAACTGATTTAAATTTTTTTTAACAGGAAAACTGAAATGTACATTTCAGTTCAAACTCTTGGGAGTTTTATCTTTATTTAATTTGACCATATATCTATAACAAATATAATATGATGGTTGAAGGATAGCTATTACATATATTTTGCTTTTTCAGACATAATTTTTATACGACCGCAAAAATTAAAAATTTTTTGGTCGTATATTGGTATGACGTTGGCGTCGTCGTCGTCGTCGTCGTCGTCGTCGTCGTCCGGCGTCGTCTGGCGTCGTCCAAAGACACATTGGTTTTCGCACTCTAACTTTAGTTTAAGTGAATGGATCTCCATGAAATTTTACCATAAGGTTCAATACCACGAAAGGAAGGTTGGGATTGATTTTGGGGGTTATGGTACCAACAGTTAAGGAATTAGGGGCCAAAAAGGGGCCAAAAATAAGCATTTTTGTAACTTCCAGACAATAACTTGTGTGTAAGTGTATGGATCTCTCTGACATTGTACCACAAGGTTCCATATCACAAAGGGAAGGCTGGAATTGATTTTGGGGGTAATTGCCTCAAAATGATAGGAATAAGGGGCCAAAAAAGGGGCAAAAAACAAGCATTTTTCTAGTTTCATGACAATAACTTGTGTGTAAGTGTTTGGATATTTCTGAAATTGTACTACAAGGTTCCATATCACAAAGGGAAAGCTGGAATTGAGTTTGGGGGTAATTGCCCGAAACGTTTAGGAATTGGGGGCCAAAAAGGGGCCAAAAATAAGCATTTTTCTAGTTTCCAGACAATAACTTGTGTTCAAGTGTATGGATCTCTCTGAAATTGTACTGCAAGGTACCATACCACAAAGGGAAGGCTGAGATTGAGTTTGGGGGTGATGAATCATAAGGGGGTTCAAAAAATTTTGGGGGGGGATTTTTTTTTTCTTTTTTTCCTTTTTTTTTTCTTTTAAAATTTAAAATTTTAATTTGGTTATTTCTGATTTATATTTAAAAGCAAATAATAATGATATGGTAGGAGATACACACCAAACAGGATGTGTAAATTATTATATAATAAGTATTGTGCAATATCAAGAAATTTTCAATTGCACAGTATTGCACAATAGCAAGAAATCTTCAATTGCACAGTATTGCGCAATAGCAAGAAATCTTCAATTGCACAGTATTGCGCAATAGCAAGAAATATCCAATAGCACAATATTGCGCAATAGCAAGAAATTGTCAATTGTACAGTATTGCCCAATAGCAAGAAATAATCAATTGCACAGTATTGTGCAAAAGAAGATACTTCGTATAAATTGCTTATTTCTTGATCAATTTCAATGGGGTTTTATTCTTGAATTCTTGGGGTTCTTTAATATGCTGAATCTAACGGTGTATTAAGTTTTTGGATTTTGGGCCCCGTTTTTAAATTGGTCCACATTGAGGTCCAAAGGGTCCAAATTTAATTTTGTTTGATTTCATCAAAAATTGAATTATTGGGGTTCTTTGATATGCCGAATCTAACCATGTATTTAGATTCTTAATTTTTGGTTCTGTTTTCAAATTGGTCTACATAAAGGTCCAAAGGGTCCAAAATTAAACTTAGTTTGATTTAAAAAAAAATTGAATATATGGGGTTCTTTGATATGCTGAATCTAACCATGTATTTAGATTTTTGATTATGGGCCCAGTTTTCAAGTTGGTCCAAATCGGGGTCCAAAATTAAACTTTGTTTGATTTCAACAAAAATTGAATATATGGGGTTCTTTGATATGCTGAATCTAACCATGTATTTAGATTTTTGATTATGGGCCGAGTTTTCAAGTTGGTCCAAATCGGGGTCCAAAATTAAACTTTGTTTGATTTCAACAAAAATTGAATATATGGGGTTCTTTGATATGCTGAATCTAACCATGTATTTAGATTTTTGATTGTTGGGCCCCGTTATCAACTTTGTCCACATTGAGATCAAAAGGGTCCAAAATTAAACTTTGTTTGATTTCATCAAAAATTGAATATATGGGGTTCTTTGATATGCTGAATCTAACCATGTATTTAGATTTTTGATTATGGGCCCAGTTTTCAAGTTGGTCCAAATCGGGGTCCATAATTAAACTTTGTTTGATTTCAACAAAAATTGAATATATGGGGTTCTTTGATATGCTGAATCTAACCATGTATTTAGATTTTTGATTATGGGCCCAGTTTTCAAGTTGGTCCAAATCGGGGTCCAAAATTAAACTTTGTTTGATTTAAACAAAAATTGAATATATGGGGTTCTGTAATATGCTGAATCTAACCGTGTATTAAGTTTTTGGATTTTGGGCCCCGTTTTTAAATTGGTCCACATTGAAGTCCAAAGGGTCCAAAATTTAACTTTGTTTGATTTCATCAAAAATTGAATTATTGGGGTTCTTTGATATGCCGAATCTAACCGTGTATTTAGATTCTTAAGTTTTGGTTCCATTTTCAAATTGGTCTACATAAAGGTCCAAAGGGTCCAAAATTAAACTTAGTTTGATTTTAACAAAAATTGAATTTTTAGGGTTCTTTGATATGCTGAATCTAAACATGTATTTAGATTTTGATTATGGGCCCAGTTTTCAAGTTGGTCCAAATCGGGGTCCAAAATTAAACTTTGTTTGATTTCAACAAAAATTGAATATATGGGGTTCTTTGATATGCTGAATCTAACCATGTATTTAGATTTTTGATTTTTGGGCCCTGTTATCGATTTTGTCCACATTGAGATCAAAAGGGTCCAAAATTAAACTTTGTTTGATTTCATCAAAAATTGAATTCTTGGGGTTCTTTGATATGCTGAATCTAACCATGTATTTAGATTTTTGATTGTTGGGCCCCGTTATCAACTTTGTCCACATTGAGATCAAAAGGGTCCAAAATTAAACTTTGTTTGATTTCATCAAAAATTGAATATATGGGGTTCTTTGATATGCTGAATCTAACCATGTATTTAGATTTTTGATTATGGGCCCAGTTTTCAAGTTGGTCCAAATCGGGGTCCAAAATTAAACTTTGTTTGATTTCAACAAAAATTGAATATATGGGGTTCTTTGATATGCTGAATCTAACCATGTATTTAGATTTTTGATTATGGGCCCAGTTTTCAAGTTGGTCCAAATCACGGTCCAAAATTAAACTTTGTTTGATTTCAACAAAAATTGAATATATGGGGTTCTTTGATATGCTGAATCTAACCATGTATTTAGATTTTTGATTTTGGGCCCAGTTTTCAAGTTGGTCCAAATCGGGGTCCAAAATTAAACTTTGTTTGATTTCAACAAAAATTGAATATATGGGGTTCTTTGATATGCTGAATCTAACCATGTATTTAGATTTTTGATTGTTGGGCCCCGTTATCAACTTTGTCCACATTGAGATCAAAAGGGTCCAAAATTAAACTTTGTTTGATTTCATCAAAAATTGAATATATGGGGTTCTTTGATATGCTGAATCTAACCATGTATTTAGATTTTTGATTATGGGCCCAGTTTTCAAGTTGGTCCAAATCGGGGTCCAAAATTAAACTTTGTTTGATTTCAACAAAAATTGAATATATGGGGTTCTTTGATATGCTGAATCTAACCATGTATTTAGATTTTTGATTATGGGCCCAGTTTTCAAGTTGGTCCAAATCGGGGTCCAAAATTAAACTTTGTTTGATTTCAACAAAAATTGAATATATGGGGTTCTTTGATATGCTGAATCTAACCATGTATTTAGATTTTTGATTTTTGGGCCCTGTTATCATTTTTGTCCACATTGAGATCAAAAGGGTCCAAAATTAAACTTTGTTTGATTTCATCAAAAATTGAATTCTTGGGGTTCTTTGATATGCTGAATCTAACCATGTATTTAGATTTTGGATATTGGACCATAATAGGTGAATGTCCAATTTAAAATTTTTAAGTTCTTAGACCACATTCATTCTGTGTCAGAAACCTATGCTGTGTCAAATATTTAATCACAATCTAAATTCAGAGCTGTATCAAGCTTGAATGTTGTGTCCATACTTGCCCCAACTGTTCAGGGTTCGACCTCTGCGGTCGTATCAAGCTGCGCCCTGCGGAGCATTTTATTATAACATATGATTCAGGCATAGTTATTTATATTTCACTTAAGTATACCATATATAATATATATATTTCAGTTTTAACATTGCCTAGGAGAACCAGATCTAGAGGCTCATGGCAAAGTATATGCTTAACATATAATGCTGCATGCACTGAAGTGACTTAGATTTTCTCTGCAGAGTTATCTGCCCATATAAAATGACTGCAGAACTTTGTGTGTCATGCTTAGATATATGTTATAACGGTGTACTGCGTGTGCAGCAAATAATTCATTGTAGTTTCACATTTTTTTTGCCAAAATAATTGACTAATTGTTATTACTAATTAAATAATAGATTTTATTTATTGACTAATTAATGTTAGTAAAACTTAAATATTGCAAGTATTAAGTTGATAACTTTTGTTTGAGATCACTCTGAACATGAAAACATTACATAACTCAATCGAAAATATTAAAGTAGAAATGATCGTGAAGATGTAAATTATTATTTACTAACACATGATTTCATAGACAACAATAAAAGTATATTTTCAAATTCAATTTTTCAAAGCTCAGAGATAAAAATATGATATTAACAACACTTCAGACATAATTGTAGTACATTTCACAACTTAATAAAACCCAGAGCTTAATACACCTCTTTTCCATATTATACACATCATCAGAACCTTTCAGAAATTTAACCAGAGCATCTCCTTGTGAAATTTTATGATATATATCAATGCAAAAAATCTTCAAAACCTATGCTTTTAAAGTTATTTAGAAAAAGTACCTTGTATTGAGAAATTATAAAAAGCATATACCACATGAGTGTTAGTACTATGTCACAGTTGGTAAACAGTCTACATTAAGTTTGATTTTTTGTTGTGCCACAATAAATTACAGAATTTGTAAGAGAGATAATTTGTATAGGAAAATTCAATTTGCAAGATTCTTTTGATTTTACAGGGAAAATGCTATCTGTTCTTATTGTGACAATGCATAGAAATTCCAATAGGAGAAAAAAAAAATTTTATTTAAATTTTTGAATGTATAGGCACAACATTTTCAGACTTAACAGCACTGATTATAAAAGATAAGGTCTACATGTACAAGATTACTAACAAGTGTATAGCAGCCCACATGTACAATTGTCAAGTTATTATAATGATTGACTTGTTGTTCATATAACTTGTAATGACACTAACGAGTATGGAAGTTTGGCATGTACAGGAAAGATAGTGCCCTTAGATAGTGTTTGGGGATAGAGTGTTGAAATATGGTACTTCTGAAAAGAGCAATAATTTCAGCTTTGTTTTTAAATCAACATTTTCATATACATTAAAAGATGAATTCAATTCTTTATTATGTGGGTTATGTTTTTGAGAAATATTAACACAGAAATTTTTTCACTATTTTTCTAAGGATTAATTTCAGATAACAGTTGATAAGAATGATATTTAGCAATTTTTTTTCTTTAAGGAAAATGATTGTTGTGTCTTTCATTTTTAAAATGTCTTATGTTTGATAGTTTGGGCTCTTTGTTAAGTATATTTGTAATTCATCTGATTATATATTTACTATGGAATCTTGCTGATCATTGATTTGTTTGCAAAAAAAACCATGCATTCCATTCTCCATTCAATTGGTCAGTTTGACATCATGTGGTACTTGTTATTCTGAAACTAAGATGAACTTTATTTTATTTCAGCTTTCGGAAGAATTGGTAGTATCAAGGAAAAAACCCGAACAACAGTAGACCCATCACGTTTATCTGTGTCGTCTGGTATGTCGATTAATCAAGGTGACATCATCAACTCCTCAGTTCAAGGTTTTAAGAGAGTGTCTCTGTATGTACTGGGAGAGAAAGCTCAGATGAAGGTATATAGTCCTAATTGATAAGTAATCATTGGTTCAGTCTTCTTTCTCAGATAATGTTTTAGTATCATTGAGAATTTTCATAAAGCTACCTTTTATGCCAAGCTTATGATAGCAGAGTGCATTATGTTTTCAGTTGTGCATCTGTCCATCCCATATCAGAATAAAGTGTTTCAACTAGAAGTAATCGTATACTTAGACATAAATTTGTGACTTATTCATACACAAACATTTTAAACAAGAGGTTAACAGCAGTGTGATTTGTATTTGAATTATTAATTTTGGATGAAAGTTTTATCATAGAGAAAACTTTCCTGCTTCAGAACCATTTCTGAACATTATCAGTATGAGTAATCTGTATTTTTATGGCCCCGCAACGAAGTTGTCGGGGCCATATAGCTTTACCCTTATCTGTCATTCCGTCATTCTGTCACTCCACCTTAACATATTGAGCTGATTTTTATACGCCCGTCAAATTTTTGACAGGACGTATTATGGTATACAAATGTTCGGTGTCCGTCTGTCCGTCCGTCCGTCCGTCCGTCCGTCCGTCTGTCTGTCTGTCTGTCTGTCTGTCCGTCTGTCTGTCTGTCCGGCGTAAACATGTCGCACTGTAACTTGAGAATGACTTATCCAAATTTCCTGAAACTTAACATAGTTGTTTTTTATGATGGTCAAACGATCTGTATACTTTTTGGTAAAAATAAGATTAAAACTTTTTGAGTTACGGGACTTAGTAACTAAAACAGGTGTGTGTTTTTTTTCACATGTCGTGCCGTATCTCAAAAACAATTTATGATTATTGCTTAAAACTTTACACACTTCTTAGTTATATTAATCTTAAGATCTGTATACTTTTTGGTGATGATTCAAAATTTTATTTTAGAGATATTGAGTATTTTGTTAAAAAAGGGGGAGGGGTTTTTCACATGTCACGCCGTATCTCAGAAACAGTGTATGATTATTGCTTAAAACTTTACACACTTCTTAGTTATATTAACCTTAAGATCTGTATACTTTTTGGTGATGATTCAAAATTTTATTTTTGAGTTATTGAGTATTTTGTTAAAAAAGGGGGAGGGGTTTTTCACATGTCGCGCCATATCTCAAAAACGATTTATGATTATTGCTTAAAACTTTACACACTTCTTAGTTATATTAACCTTAAGATCTGTATACTTTTTGGTGATGATTCAAAATTTTATTTTTGAGTTATTGAGTATTTTGTTAAAAAAGGGGGAGGGGTTTTTCACATGTCGCGCCGTATCTCAAAAAACGATTTATGATTATTGCTGAAAATTTTACACACTTCTTAGTTATATTAATCTCAAGATCTGTATACTTTTTGGTTTTGATTCAAAATTTTATTTTTGAGATATTGAGTTTTTTGGAAAAAAAAAAGGGGGTTTTCGCATGTCAAGCCGTATGTCAGAAACTATTTATGCTTATTGCATAAAAATTCACACACAAGACGAAGGACGTATCATGCGCTCATGGCGCAGCTGTTTATTAGTATATGAGTCTACTATGATGAGTTACAGATTGAGTTTACGTTCAGTTCCGCTCCATTGATTTTTGCTGAAGTTACGGGCTTTGGAATTTGAAAATTTCGTGAAAATAACAGTTATACAGACTTTCATTCTCAAATTTATACTCCTAAAAATGGCTTCAAGCTTTTTTTGTGAGTGGGGCCATTCGTGTACACACCCGTAGCCAGGGGGGTTCGAGGGGTTTGTACGAACCCCTCCTTGAAAACAAATAAGCACTGTTAAAGTCAACGTTCTGTTTGAATTGTAACTGTTAAAGTGAGCTTATTGAGTCCATGTAACCCCCCTTGGCTACGGGCCTAGTGCATACTTGCCAACCTCTGACAATGAGAAATCATATCATGACATGACATGACATGTCAAAAAGCGTGTGAAAACGTGTGACGTAGATGCAGACTTTTTAATATGAACAATGTTCATAATTTCACATTATATGCAAATTTGTTAATATAAAAAACAATATTCACCTGTAAACTTTTATTGTATTCAACAGTGGTCTGTTTTGCTGCTTTTAAAGCAACACCACTAGGCACATAGTCAAAACACCTGCTGGTTTTGTTACATTTACTTGATAACAAGGCACACAATATATAATTGTCGAGTTCTGATCAGAATTCAGTGTAAATTTCTTTATAATTGAAAATGATCTCTCACAGTCAGAATTGATATTTGGCTGAACTAAAATAGCTTCATGAAGCTTTGAAAGAGTGTCATAATGTTTTTTTGCCATCTAAAATGTCATCTATGATCTCTGCCATTGCTCCCAACAAACTATACAATATATATTGCTATTGCCTGGTCAAAACTGGGTAGTTCATCAGAAGACAGCTAATACTATGAGAACTGATCCAACAGTTCCGTGATATTTCCATCCCCAATGGCCTGTGGAAATCTGTTGGCTACATTTGAAACTGAAATAGAAAAATATTTTATAATTGTTAAATGCTTAATCAAATAGCTATGTATTTTAGTTCTCCTCTCATATGTATTGTTATGATTGCAACATAGAGATCACAATGCGTTACTCATCCCTCGATGATTTAAACTCGAACTCCCAAATATAATTTATAAATCTTGAAATTATCGTGGTACGTACACATCGTTTTTGCTTAGAACTCGGCTCTTTAGACGACGGTACAGGTCCTGAAAGCTACCTCTTTCTGTGGACATTTCCCCTAAGTGAATTTGAAAGAAAGAAAGTCCCAAAATCGTAAAAACTAATCACAAACTACTTACCTTTTGCTATTTGTCCATATAGAAAAATGAACAATGGCCACCAAACAATTACTTCGAAATTTCGGTATTTATCGTGTTATAATGAAAAAACCTGAGAATCGCAATATCACTAACAACCAAAAAATCAAAACAACGAAAAAACGTGTAATTGCGTGTAAAGTGGTGAAAAGCGTGTACACGCCATGTGATAAAATCCTCACGTGTAAACCGTTGAAAAAGCGTGTATTACACGCGAATATCATGTCAGTTGGCAACTATAGCCTAGTGTAATTCCAACACATCTAGTTATATGATCTGTCTGGTATGCTCAAAGGTCAATTCTTGTCATTGTTATATTTCATACCATTGCAGGGAATAAAGATGGAGTCTTTTCCCAAATGTGATTTCATACCTGTAGACTTCTATGAAGTTAGACATGTGAAGGCGAGCTTCAAGAAGTTAAGTAGGGCATGTGTACCCAGTAATACTCCCTCAGCTGATGCCACATTCTACAAAACTGTAGAGGAATCTGAATGGTTGTTACAGGTAAGTCTATAGAAAACTGTAGAAGAGTCCGAATGGTTGTTACAGGTAAGTCTATAGAAAACTATAGAGCATTCTGAATGGTTGTTACAGGTAAGTCTATAGAAAACTATAGAGGAATCCGATTGCTTGTTACAGGTAATTCTATAGAAAAGTCTAGAAATATCCAAATGGTTATTACAGATAATACAAATCTAGAGATATCTGAATGGTTGTCACAGGTAATTCTATTCAAAACTCCAGATAAATCTGAAAGGTCCTTACTGATACTGGAATAACGCCAGATCCAAATGGATGCAGATCGAAATACATCCCTTAGATATTTAGTCATAAAATACCTTAGAGTCGGAACTCTGCATTCCACATATACATATACAAAATTTGTACAATGTAGGAAAATATAAAATTCATTTGATGATCTTTAGAAACAGAGAGAAACATGAGGCTCGCAGAGCTTTTCTCTTGTTTCGTAGCAAAAGCAAATTTTTAAACAAAATTTCTATAATGTACAAATATTGTTTGTATACTGCAATTTAACATTTAGCTTAAACATATAGTCTTTTTTCCATCACAATCGTTGATATTGTTTTTGAATGAAATCGACATGACTTAATCGCGGACCACAATGAGGACCCCAAATTGAACTGTGATGTAAACAGTAATTGGTTCATAAACATTTGCTTGCAACAGAAGCAGGATACTAGGAGAATATAAAGATTTATCACTTCATGTTATCTGTTCACCTGTATATGTATAATAGAAAGGTTGTTTGCAGGATAAAACCCTACAACCTACAGTTCTTGACGTTCGTAAAAGTGGAATAATGACAAGAACATATACCTGAGAAGCTGATAGACATAAATTAAATGATATGATATAACACAACCTGTCAATTGTGTTACCAAGAAACAGAAGATCTCCCACATATGATAACTACATACCCAGCATTGAGCGATACCAGAAAAGAAACTTTTTTTTATAAAATACTTCATAATTTAAACATATTGGAGAAGTGAATTGGAAAGAGATTTTCATAGAAAGGAATATGATCACAACCCTTATACTGGACTACTTATTTCAAGGACATGTTCACCAAAAACAAGATCGAAATACGGGACTAGGAAACTTTACCGATGTAAATGTGTTATAAAATACACAATTCCAAACTGATGAAAGTGTAATGGCAGATCATCACTATACTACTGATAAATTTAAATTTGGTTTCGATTTTACTTACTGTTAGTGTGAAAGGACTCTGAAAAGTTTTAACAGGAAAGTTTATACAAAACTGAATGGATTTTGGAATGGTTGTTACAGATAAGTCTATCCAAAACTTGAAAAACATGAATTTTTGTGACATGTTGATTTCTATAAAACTATTTCAACTTCTTTTTGTGATGAATTATTTTTATTTTATCTAGAGAATGTGGTTCATTTGACTGAGAAATGCTGTGGATTGAATCAAACCATCCAGTTATAATCTCTTCAGGATTTATTCTATATCTAGTATGAATTTAGCATGTCATGATGCACTACTTTATTGTTTATAGGTACAGAATATAATGCAGTTAGCTGGTGCCACTGTTGATCTTTTAGATGTACAGGGATCTTCTGTAATGATTTGTCTGGAAGATGGTTGGGATATCACTACTCAGGTAATTCACAATTAAAAACATACACCAAAATATATATTAATGAATGAATCATATGAAAATGAGGAGATGTGGTATGATTGCCAATGAGACAACTATCCACCACAGTTAAAATGAGTCAGTATCTGTATAGGGAAGTAACTGTAGTTGGGGATGAATTCCTTATGAAATTCATATTTCTTAAGAATAATGTAAAAATAACACACTTTAGTTAATATATACAGTCAATATGAGGATTCATTATAATTCATGGAATACTAATGTTCTTGGATTTCGTGTAGGTGAACCACAAATTATGTTCAAGTAGTACAAATTTTCTATAGGCTTGTATGCAGACTCAGATAAAGCCACGAAATACAATATTTTCTCTATCCACAAAAATGAATTCACAGTAAACTGTCTTTACCTTTTATCCAGATGTAATATTGATATTGAATCAAAATAATTTTTTTTATTTGGACCATTCCTTATTTTCCAAAGGTGGTTTCTGCAGCACAAATACTCTTGGATCCTTTCTACAGAACAATAGAAGGCTTCAAGTGTCTCGTTGAAAAGGAATGGTTGTCATTTGGTCACAGATTTACTCACCGTAGTAACCAGACTGCAGCCAATCAAGCCAGTGGATTTGCACCTCTATTTCTACAGTTCCTTGATGTAGTCCATCAGGTTAGTATGGAACATTTCTTGGTCAAAATATAAAACATGATATGTTTGCAGCACTGTAATGATAATTGGGGTAAATATTGCATTCATGCTATCAAAACCCTTGTGTGGCAATGTTTAATTTTTAGTTTCCACTGCAAAATGAATGCAACCTTTGCCTTTCAGTGCTCACAAGCACTTTTGATTTTTTCTATAGTTTTGAAGTTTTATAGTCATTTATAAAAAGATTTAAACACAAATTTGTTTTAATATTCTCATTGAAAGAAATCTTTTTCATAAATATTGCAATCTTGAACTTTGTGTAATAAATTCTCATAGCAAAATTTTAACATGCAAGATTACTTGGAAATTAAATAAATTGAAAATAATTTTTTTGTTTTGTTTTGAACAGATACACAATCAGTTTCCATTGTCATTTGAGTTTAACCAATTCTTTCTGAAGTTCCTGGCCTATCATTATGTGTCAAACAGATTCAGAACATTCATGATGGACAATGAATATGAGAGATTTGAATGTGGTTGGATCCTGGATGAAAAGAAAGCGTCTAAGTTTGATGACCCTGATGAAGATGGTAGGGTTTATATGTGCCATCAGCAAGCCTCTTTTATCTTCATATATTATTATCTACATTTCAATATTATAGGAATATTTTTCCTCACTCCTATTACTATTCCTTATAACATACCAAAAAAAGTTTTATGAATTGCATACACAGTAAATTTAAAGTTAAAAAAAAAAGTGAAAAGGAGCCAAAAAATTCTTCAAAAATATATGTAATACATTGTGACGTCAAATATGTTTCATCCAACCTTGACCTGGACTTATCAACTGATGTCGTAATGTGTGACCTGATGTTGATAAGTTTGACCTGAACTTGTCAAGTCTTTGTTTTATTTAATGGTAAAACAAAGCAGAAGTATTGTTCCTGTCATGGAAATATAAACCAACACCAGTACAGTCAAATAAATTGATTATCAGATTTTCGTCATATTAATAATGTAAGATATCTGCTGCTAGATACAATATGAAATCTTTTGAACATTTGGTTTGCTCACTTGACAAAATAGGTTCATATTGTGACTTGCAGCTGATACTTTACAGTATCATAAAGCAGAAAACCTGATCATAGGTTCATGACAATGAAAATAATCATTTACAAATTTGGTGCGTTCGAAGTGCCATTCTTGATTTACCATCATCAGGTGGTAATGCTCAAATGGTTTCACCGACACACAAATCGGAACAAGGTATGTTTATTTTTTATGCCTTGCTTACCACAGTAGAGGGGCACTAATTTTACTGGTCTGTCCATCTGTTAGTCTGTTCTTCCTTTAATTATTGGTCCTGTTTTGTTTTAGTATGAAAATAAGGAGATGTGGTATGGTTGACAATGAAACAACTATCCACCAGAGTTAAAATGAAGTGGTAGTAAGCAACTATAGGCTACAGTACGGCCTTCAACAATGAGAAAACCCATACTCTATAGTCAGCTATAAAATGCCTTGAGACGAAAAATTTGAAACAATTCAAACAAGAAAACTAACAGCCTAATTTATAACAAAACAATTTACAAAAAACTCATTTATAACAAAACAGTTTACAAAAAACAAATATGATAGCTGCACTACAGACTCCTGACTTGTTAGGGTTAAGTAAGGTTAGTCTGTGGTCGCATCAACTTAAAACTTTGCACACATTTTCATTATGAAGTGAACTGGTTTTAAAGTTTTTTTGCTAAATTTAGGTTTTGACCAAGAATTCAAGGTCCACTTAACATGGAAATAAGATAGTGTGATTTGGATACATATTCATGTTATTGTATAAAAATAAGTTAACTAGATTATAAAGTTGGTGAAATTGGTACTGTAATATTTTTCAGGATTTGTATACAAACATCAGCACCAGTCCAACCCAGGGATGTCTGTATGGGATTACATAGAGAAACATCACAGAAGATCTACAGTGTTCTGTAACTTTATGTATAGTCTTCATGATCAAGAAATGGTTTGTATATCTCAATTATTCATTAAAGGTAGATAAGTAAAAGTTTTACATCACTAAGTGGCAGTCAGTTTCAACTTCAATAAAAAGGTTCAAAGTCAATAGATTATGGCTGATCCATTATAATGAATGTTAAAGTGTAGGAAGAGAAGTTTTACATCCCTCGCTACTGAACCACATCAGTTTATGTCCCTCTATACCGACCAACATTATTTTACATCCCTCCCTACCGACCCACTTCTTTTTAGCTCACCTGGCCCGAAGGGCCAAGTGAGCTTTTCTCATCACTTGGCGTCTGTCGTCCGTCGTCCGGCGTCGTCCGTCGTCGGTGTTAACTTTTTACATTTTGAACTTCTTCTAGAGAACCACTGAATGGAATGAAACCAAACATGGCATGAATGTTCCTTATGAGGTGCTGACCAAGTGTTGTTACTTTGTAGCCGATCCATCATCCAAGATGGCCGCCAGCGGGGGACTTAGTTTAACATAGGACCCTATGGGAAATGCATACAAATGACTTCTTTTAGAGAACCACTGAATGGAATGAAACCAAACATGGCATGAATGTTCCTTATGAGGTGCTGACCAAGTGTTGTTACTTTGTAGCCGATCCATCATCCAAGATGGCCGCCAGCGGGAGACTTAGTTTAACATAGGACCCTATGGGAAATGCATACAAATGACTTCTTTTAGAGAACCACTGAATGGAATGAAACCAAACATGGCATGAATGTTCCTTATGAGGTGCTCACCAAGTGTTGTTACTTTGTAGCCGATCCATCATCCAAGATGACCGCCAGCGGGGGACTTAGTTTAACATAGGACCCTATGGGAAATGCATACAAATGACTTCTTTTAGAGAACCACTGAATGGAATAAAACCAAACATGGCATGAATGTTCCTTATGAGGTGCTGACCAAGTGTTGTTACTTTGTAGCCGATCCATCATCCAAGATGGCCGCCATCGGGGAACTTAGTTTAACATAGGACCCTATGGGAAATACATACAAATGTCTTCTTTTAGAGAACCACTGAATGGAATGAAACCAAACATGGCATGAATGTTCCTTATGAGGTGCTGACCAAGTGTTGTTACTTTGTAGCCGATCCATCATCCAAGATGGCCGCCAGCGGGGGACTTAGTTTAACATAGGACCCTATGGGAAATACATAAAAATGTCTTCTTTTAGAGAACCACTGAATGGAATGGAACCAAACATGGCATGAATGTTCCTTATGAGATGCTGACCAAGTGTTGTTACTTTGCAGTCAGTCCATCATCCAAGATGGCCGCCAGCAGGGGACTTAGTTTAACATAGGACCCTATGGGAAATACATACAAATGTCTTCTTTTAGAGAACCACTGAATGGAATGAAACCAAACATGGCATGAATGTCCCTTATGAGGTTCTGACCAAGTGTTGTTACTTTGTAGCCGATCCATCATCCAAGATGGCCGCCAGCGGGGGACTTAGTTTAACATAGGACCTTATGGGAAATACATACAAATGTCTTCTTTTAGAGAACCACTGAATAGAATGAAACCAAACATGGCATGAATGTTCCTTATGAGGTGCTGACCAAGTGTTGTTACTTTGCAGTCGGTCCATCATCCAAGATGGCCGACAGCAGGGGACTTAGTTTAACAAAGGACCTATGGGAAATACATACAAATGTCTTCTTTTAGCGAACCACTGAATGGAATGAAACCAAACATGGCATGAATGTTCCTTATGAGGTACTGACCAAGTGTTGTTACTTTGCAGTCGGTCTATCATCCAAGATGGCCGACAGCAGGGGACTTAGTTTAACAAAGGACCTATGGGAAATACATACAAATGTCATCTTTTAGAGAACCACTGAATGGAATGAAACCAAACATGGCATGAATCTTCCTTATGAGATGCTGACCAAGTGTTGTTACTTTGTAGCCGATCCATCATCCAAGATGGCCGACAGCGGGGACTTAGTTTAACATAGGACCCTATGGGAAATACATACAATTGTCTTCTTTTAGAGAACCACTGAATGGAATTGAACCAAACATGGTATGAATGTTCCTTATGAGTTGCTGACCAAGTGTTGTTACTTTGTAGTCGATCCATCATCCAAGATGGCCGCCAGCAGGGGACTTAGTTTAACATAGGACCCTATGGGAAATGCATACAAATGACTTCTTTTAGAGAACCACTGAATGGAATGAAACCAAACATGGCATGAATGTTCCTTATGAGGTGCTCACCAAGTGTTGTTACTTTGTAGCGGATCCATCATCCAGTATGGCCGCCAGCGGGGGACTTAGTTTAACATAGGACCCTATGGGAAATGCATACAAATGACTTCTTTTAGAGAACCACTGAATGGAATAAAACCAAACATGGCATGAATCTTCCTTATGAGATGCTGACCAAGTGTTGTTACTTTGTAGTCGATCCATCATCCAAGATGGCCACCATCGGGGAACTTAGTTTAACATAGGACCCTATGGGAAATACATACACATGTCTTCTTTTAGAGTACCACTGAATGGAATGAAACCAAACATGGCATGAATGTTCCTTATGAAGTGCTGACCAAGTGTTGCTACTTTGTTGCCGATTTACTGTTCAAGATGGCCACCAGGATATTTTATTAAATAACAGGACCAATATTAATCAAAATTTGGCCTCAATCATTATTTGGGTATCTGTTATGATTTTTATCTATCTTTACATGATTTCTAAAACCAAAGTAGAGTCAGGTGAGCGACACAGGCTCTTGAGAGCCTCTAGTTAGCTCACCTGGCCCGAAGGGCCAAGTGAGCTTTTCTCATCACTTGGCGTCCGTCGTCCGTCGTCGGCGTAAACTTTTTACATTTTGAACTTCTTCTAGAGAACCACTGAATGGAATGAAACCAAACATGGCATGAATGTTCCTTATGAGGTGCTGACCAAGTGTTGTTACTTTGTAGCGGATCCATCATCCAAGATGGCCGCCAGCGGGGGACTTAGTTTAACATAGGACCCTATGGGAAATACATACAAATGTCTTCTTTTAGAGAACCACTGAATGGAATGAAACCAAACATGGCATGAATGTTTCTTATGAGGTGCTGACCGAGTGTTGTTACTTTGAAGCCGATCCATAATCCAAGATGGCCGCCAGCGGGGGACTTAGTTTAACATAGGACCCTATGGGAAATACATACAAATGTTTTCTTTTAGAGAACCACTGAATGGAATGAAACCAAACATGGGGTGAATGTTCCTTATGAGGTGCTGATCGAGTGTTGTTACTTTGAAGCCGATCCATAATCCAAGATGGCCACCAGCGGGGGACTTAGTTTAACATAGGACCCTATGGGAAATACATACAAATGTCTTCTTTTAGAGAACCACTGAATGGAATGAAACCAAACATGGTATGAATGTTCCTTATGAGGTGCTGACCGAGTGTTGTTACTTTGAAGCCGATCCATAATCCAAGATGGCCGCCAGCGGGGGACTTAGTTTAACATGGGACCCTATGGAAATACATACAAATGTCTTCTTTTAGAGATCCACTGAATGAAATGAAACCAAACATGGTATGAATGTTCCTTATGAGGTGCTGACCGAGTGTTGTTACTTTGAAGCCGATCCATAATCCAAGATGGCCGACAGCGGGGGACATAGTTTAACATGGGACCCTATGGAAAATACATACAAATGTCTTCTTTTAGAGAACCACTGAATGGAATGAAACCAAACATGGCATGAATGTTCCTTATGAGGTGCTGACCAAGTGTTGTTACTATGAAGCTGATCCATAATCCAAGATGGCCGCCAGCAGGGGACTTAGTTTAACATTGGACCCTATGGGAAATACATACAAATGTCTTCTTTTAGAGAACCACTGAATGGAATGAAACCAAACATGGCATGAATGTTTCTTATGAGGTGCTGACCGAGTGTTGTTACTTTGAAGCCGATTCATAATCCAAGATGGCTGCCAGCGGGGCACTTAGTTTAACATGGGACCCTATGAGAAATACATACAAATGTCTTCTTTTAGAGAACCACTAAATGGAATGAAACCAAACATGGCATGAATGTTCCTTATGAGTTGCTGACCGAGTGTTGTTACTTTGAAGCCGATCCATAATCCAAGATGGCCGCCAGCGGGGGACTTTGTTTAACATAGGACCCTATGGGAAATACATACAAACGTCTTCTTTTAGAGAACCATTGAATGGAATGAAACCAAACATGGCAAGAATGTTCCTTATGAGGTGCTGACCAAATGTTGTTACTTTGAAGCTGATCCATCATCCAAGATGGCAGCCAGCGGGGGACTTAGTTTAACATAGGACCCTATGGGAAATACATACAAATGTCTTCTTTTAGAGAACCACTGAATGGAATGAAACCAAACATGGCATGAATGTTTCTTATGAGGTGCTGACGGAGTGTTGTTACTTTGAAGCCGATCCATAATCCAAGATGGCCGCCAGCGGGGGACTTAGTTTAACATAGGACCCTATGGGAAATACATACAAATGTTTTCTTTTAGAGAACCACTGAATGGAATGAAACCAAACATGGGGTGAATGTTCCTTATGAGGTGCTGATCGAGTGTTGTTACTTTGAAGCCGATCCATAATCCAAGATGGCCGCCAGCGGGGGACTTAGTTTAACATAGGACCCTATGGAAATACATACAAATGTCTTCTTTTAGAGAACCACTGAATGGAATGAAACCAAACATGGTATGAATGTTCCTTATGAGGTGCTGACGGAGTGTTGTTACTTTGAAGCCGATCCATAATCCAAGATGGCCGCCAGCGGGGGAGTTAGTTTAACATGGGACCCTATGGGAAATACATACAAATGTCTTCTTTTAGAGAACCACTGAATGGAATGAAACCAAACATGGCATGAATGTTCCTTATGAGGTGCTGACCAAGTGTTGTTACTATGAAGCTGATCCATAATCCAAGATGGCCGCCAGCAGGGGACTTAGTTTAACATTGGACCCTATGGTAAATACATACAAATGTCTTCTTTTAGAGAACCACTGAATGGAATGAAACCAAACATGGCATGAATGTTTCTTATGAGGTGCTGACCGTGTGTTGTTACTTTGAAGCCGATTTATAGTCCAAGATGGCTGCCAGCGGGGGACTTAGTTTAACATGGGACCCTATGAGAAATACATACAAATGTCTTCTTTTAGAGAACCACTAAATGGAATGAAACCAAACATGGCATGAATGTTCCTTATGAGGTGCTGACTGAGTGTTGTTACTTTGAAGCCGATCCATAATCCAAGATGGCCGCCAGCGGGGGACTTTGTTTAACATGGGACCCTATGGGAAATACATACAAACATCTTCTTTTAGAGAACCACTGAATGGAATGAAACCAAACATGGCAAGAATGTTCCTTATGAGGTGCTGACCAAATGTTGTTACTTTGAAGCTGATCCATCATCCAAGATGGCAGCCAGCGGGGGACTTAGTTTAACATAGGACCCTATGGGAAATACATACAAATGTCTTCTTTAAGAGAACCACTGAATGCAATGAAACCAAACATGGCATGAATGTTCCTTATGAGGTGCTGACCAAGTGTTGTTACTATGAAGCCGATCCATAATCTAAGATGGCCGCCAGTGGAGGACTTAGTTTAACATAGGACCCTATGAGAAATACGTACAAATGTTTTCTTTTAGGGAACCATTGAATGGAATGAAACCAAACATGGCATGCATGTTTCTTTTGAGGTGCTGACCATGGCCAAGTGTTGTTACTTTGAAGCTGATCCTTCATCCATGATGGCTGCCAGATGGAGACAATGTTTAACAAAGGACCCTATGGACAATACATACAAATGTCTTCTTTTAGAGAACCACATACTGAATGGATTGAAACCAAACATGGCATGAATGTTCCTTATGAGGTGCTGACTAAGTTTTGTTACTTTGAAGCCGATCCATAATCCAAGATGGCCGCCAGCGGGGGACTTCCTTTCACATAAGAACCTATGGGAAATACATACAAATGCTTCTTCTAGAGGTGCACTGAATGGAATGAAACCAAAACATGGCATAAATGTTTCTTATGAGGTGCTGATTAAGTGTTGCTACTTTGTTGCCGATTTACTGTTCAAGATGGCCACCAGGATTTTTTATTAAATTACAGGACCAATATTAAACCAAATTTGGCCTCACTCATTATTAGGGTATCTGTTATGATTTTAATCTATTTTTACATGATTTCCAAAACCAAAGTAGAATCAGGTGAGCGACACAGGCTCTTGAGAGCCTCTAGTTATGTCCCTCTCTACCCCCCCACTTCATTTTACATCCCTCCCTACCGCACCACATTATTTTACATCCCTCCCTACCGCCCCACATCATTTTATGTCCCTCTCTACCGACCAACTTCATTTTATGCCCCTCTCTACCGACCCACTTCATTTTACATCCCTCCCTACCGCCCCACATCATTTTACATCCCTCCCTACCACCACACATCATTTTACATCCATCTCTACCGCCCCACATCATTTTACGTCCCTCTCTACCGACCCACTTCATTTTATGTCCCTCTCTACCGCCACACATCATATTACATCCCTCCCTACCGCCCCACTTCATTTTACATCCTTCTCTACCGACCCACATCATTTTATGTCCCTCTCTACCGCCCCACATCATTTTATGTCCCTCTCTACCACCCCACATCGTTTTATGTCCCTCTCTACCGCCCCACATCATCTTATGTCCCTCTGTACCAACCCACATCATTTTATGTCCCTCTCTACCGCCCCACATCATTTTACATCCCTCCCTACCCACCCTTATCATTTTATGTCCCTCTCTACCGACCAACATCATTTAATGTCCCTCTATACCGCCCAACATCATTTTATGTCCCTCTCTACCGACCCACTTCATTTTACATCCCTCCCTACCGCACCACATTATTTTACATCCCTCCCTACCACCCCACATCATTTTACATCCCTCTCTACCACCCCACATCATTTTACGGCCCTCTCTACCGACCCACTTCATTTTATGTCCCTCTCTACCGCCCCACATCATTTTACATCCCTCCCTACCGCCCCACTTCATTTTTAAACCCCTCTCTACCGCCCCACATCATTTTATGTCCCTCTCTACCGCCCCACATCATTTTATGTCCCTCTCTACCGCCCCACATCATTTTATGTCCCTCTCTACCGCCCCACATCATCTTATGTCCTTCTCTACCAACCCACATCATTTTATGTCCCTCTCTACCGCCCCACATCATTTTACATCCCTCCCTACCCACCCTTATCATTTTATGTCCCTCTCTACCGACCAACATCATTTTACATCCCTCCCTACCCACCCTTATCATTTTATGTCCCTCTCTACCAACCAACATCATTTAATGTCCCTCTCTACCGCCCAACATCATTTTATGTCCCTCTCTACCGACCCACATCATTTTATGTCCCTCTCTACCGCCCCACTTCATTTTATGTCCCTCTCTACTGCCCCACATCATTTCAGTGGAATGACCATAGATCTTGTTGAAAATAGTATTTTTATGTCTTGAAAATATAGATAAAGATAATTTAGGTTTATGGATTTGATTACACTTGATTGATATTATTTATCGTTATTAAAAAAATGAATAGAAAAAAATAAAAGATTTATAGCATATGATCTTTTAAAAGTCACATGATTTTTTTGGTAAAGTTTCAAAAAGCACAGTCTCCAATAAAATCAATGTTGTGCACACATTTTTTTTCATATTCTCCAAAGAAAATATTCTGTTGAAATAATTGCAGGTTTTGAGACCATATTCAAATTTGGCAAACATGAAAATCTGGGACTACTACATTGATGAAGATTTGGCCCATGGTCCACCCTATGAGATAGAGACTGTCCAGAAAGAACTGGCCTTAAATGAAGACGTGACTATAGAAGGGAATGCAAGTTCTAGTCGGGTTGTCAATATATGTTTCGACAATGTACAAATTCAGGAACCTGAATCATTTAAAGTTTTGTTACAGGTACAGTATTATCAGTTAAAATATGAGTGAATTGGTCATAGTTTAGTTTTTTTAAAACACAGTTTGAACAGAAAGAGTTATGTGGTAAATACCAAACAATATATTCCATACAAAATATCAATTTCACAGAATGGCCTTCAATAAAGAACAGGTGCTTACACCACATGGAGGCTCAAATGTACTTTAGAAGAAGAAAAAAACTGGAAGGTCATTGCCCAAAAAAACATTTTTAACATTACACTTACATCTATGGAAGAATAATAACTAGTAGACTCACATAGGCAGCTGATGTTGAACAGACAGAATCAAACTATTGTTTACCTTAATATGTATGGGATATATATTGTCCCTAATCGGCTTGAATATAAAATAAGGAGATGTGGTATGTTTTGTAATAAGACAACCATCTACCAGAGACCAAGTGACATAGAAATAAGCAACTATAGCATGTATAGGGCACTGCACGGCCTTCAACAATGAGCAAAACCCGTACTGCATAGCAAGCTATAGAAGGTCCTAACATGACAAAGAGTGAAACTATTCAAATGAGATATTATGATAAAACAAGCAAAAAACAAATATGACTGACAGCAAGCAAGGACAACCACTGAATTACAAGCTCAAGATTGCTTCCTGTGAAAAATGGTACATTGTATGGCCAACTTTGACCAGCAACCTCTGATAAACTTTGGATATGTGTACATCGTTTCAAAATATGTTGAATATTTTCTTTTAGAGGTATGATACTTGACACCTGTGATTAGGTCTGATCCCAGATTTATTTAACTATTAAAATCAGTTATATTATATTTTGATTTGTTTGTAGGAAGTACATAGAGTGCAAACAGATTTAGGGCACCTGCAACAGAAATGGCGGATAATCTGGGACAAATTAGAAGGACCATCACGTGACTCTAAGAGACAAGATGTCTCATTATCTGTTCTCAGATCACATGGCAGATCAATTCATAAACGTTCGACATTAGAAATTCTAGTGAAAGGAAAAATGCTCGGTGAAGCAGCAAAAAGGTTCGGTCAGCCACATCGTTTTGAGAAATTTACATACACTACACCTGCTTTTTGTGATTATTGTTCTCAGGTGTTATGGGGATTCCTTAAAACGGGTGAGTTTGTTAACTTTACTATACTCAGGTGTTATGGGGATTCCTTAAAACTGGTGAGTTTGTTAACTTTACTATTCTCAGGTGTTATGGGGATTCCTTAAAATGGATGAGTTTGTTAACCTTACTATTCTCAGGTGTTATGGGGATTCCTTAAAACGGGTGAGTTTGTTAACCTTACTATTCTCAGGTGTTATGGGGATTCCTTAAAACGGGTGAGTTCTTTAACCTTGCTATTCTCAGGATTTATCGGGATTCCTTAAAATGGGTAAGTTTGTTAACCTTGCTATTCTCAGGTGTTATTGGGATTCTTCAAAACAGGTGAGTTTGTTAACCTTGCTATTCTCAGGTGTTATGGGGATTCCTTAAAACTGGTGAGTTTGTTAACCTTGCTTTTCTCAAGTGTTATGGGGATTCCTTAGAATGGGGGAGTTTGTTAATCTTACTATTCTCAGGTGTTATGGGGATTCCTTAAAATGGGTGAGTTTGTTAATCTTACTATTCTCAGGTGTTTTGGGGATTCCCTAAAACAGGTGAAATTGTTAATCTTACTATTCTCAGGTGTTATGGGGATTCCTTAAAACAGGTGAGTTTGTTAATCTTACTATTCTCAGGTGTTATAGGGATTCCCTAAAACAGGTGAGTTTGTTAATCTTACTATTCTCAGGTGTTATGGGGATTCCTTAAAACGGGTGAGTTTGTTAATCTTACTATTCTCAGGTGTTATGGGGATTCCTTAAAATGGAGGAGTTTGTTAATCTTACTATTCTCAGGTGTTATGGGGATTCCTTAAAATGGGTAAGTTTGTTAACCTAATCTCAGAGTCTCAGGATTTATGGGGATTCCTTAAAATTGTTGAGTTTTAACTTTACTAATTTTAAAAATAAGGAGATGTGGTATGATGAGTGCCAGTGCGACAACTATCCAAACCAAAGGATGAGGATGTAACCAGCTATAGGTCAATGTACAATCGTCATTAATAGATATAAAAACCTCTGCAGGTCAAATGTGAAGTAATTTAAGATAGAAAACTGACAACTGAATTACGTTAAAAAAAAAAACAAAACAACAATTATGACAGACCTCAACACCAACTACCACTGAATTATAGAAGAATGTGGTGTGGTAAGGTATGAATGATAGGGCTCTTCCAACCCTCCCCTAACCTGGGACAGTGGTGTAACAACAAAACACAAGAACAAACTGTAAAAATCAGTTGCAAATGGCTTGATTCAATTGATTAGCATGAAGCACAAAAAACAACTAACATAAGACAAAAGACACAAATTTCTGATCCAAAGTACTTGCAATTACTGAAAGCTAGTTGAAAGCCAATTACAATTGATAAATAAATCATGTTTTTCTAGACTGAATCATGTAAAATTGTCTTCTGTATTTATGATATTTACAGAACTTTAGTCTAGATCTTTTATAGTGATTAAATCCTTGATACAATGTAAATTTATTCGATATCATTTAAAACTTTAAGAATAATGATTAACACATTGACGCTAGAAAAGAAATTTTATTGATGAGGTACATAAGATTGATGAAAATATTAATCAACTAGATTAGACATGTTCAGCAAAGAATGTTTTGACAGAAATGAATAAAAGTATGCATTACTGTTTTCTCATTATATACAATGCATCATTGATAGTAAACTGTGGATGAATTATTAGTCCCCTACCGAAGAAGTCGAAGGGGACTTTAGGTTTGCACTCTGTCCGTCTGTCTGTCTGTCTGTCTGTCTGTCCATCCATCCGTCAGTCTGGCAAATCAGTTTTCCACACTTTTTTTCTTCGTGCTTGAAGATATTGATTTGATAATTGGCATATAGTTTTATCATGACAAGTTACAGATCAAGTTCGAATTTTGTTCTGGTCTGATGATTTGGTGCAGAGTTATGGTCCTTGGACTTAGAAAATTCACTTAATTAATCTGTTTTCCACACTTTTTTTCGTCATGCTTGAAGATATTGACTTGATATTTGTTATATAGTTTACACCATGATAAGTTATAGATCAAGTTAGCATTTTGTTCCATTACAATGAATTTTTAACTGGTAGGGGACTATGTATTGCCATGCAATACTCTCAGAATGCTTGTTATTTATGGGATAGCAATTTTAGTGGACTTCTTGGGTAAAGGTTAACTACAAATATTAAATGTTCAACAAAGTACAAACTTCCTATAGGAGTGAATGCAGACTTTGGCAAAACCACAAATTGAATATGGACCAAAAATACAAATTTTCCTCAATCTATGAAAGATTGGTACCAGCAAAAATAAAACATCAACTGTATTTTATTAAGATAAGTACTTGCATAGTAGATCATGACAATTTGAACGTTTATTTTGCTGTAGTAACCCAAGAAATATTCAAAACCATATTTTTGCTGTCTATTGCCTCTTTTACTTTTGACTGATATGATTGCCATGAAAAATTTTAATCAATATATTTTGACTGTTAATCTTACAGGTATGCATTGTGGTGATTGTGGATATAATTGCCATGAAAAATGTATGTCTCATGTCCCAAAGAACTGTACAAAGTTAAAAATAGTAGCTGAATCTAGTAATAGTAGTTCTAATGTATCTCGAGCTGGAGGCTCAGAAAGCAGCTCTGGGTCAGGAGGCATGTGTAAGTACAAAGTTAAAAATAGAAGCTGAATCTAGTAATAAGAGTTCTAATGTATCTTGAGCTGGAGGCTCAGAAAGCAGCTCTTGGTCAGGAGGCATGTGTAAGTACAAAGTTAAAAATAGTAGCTGAATCTAGTAATAGTAGTTTTAAATGTGTTTCCAGCTGGAGGCTCAGAAAGCAGCTCTGGGTCAGGAGGCATGTGCAAGTACAAAATAATAAATAGTAGCTAAATCTAGTAATAGTAGTTCTAATGTATCTCGAGCTGGAGGCTCAGAAACAAGCTCTGTGTCATGAGGTATGTCTAAGTACAAAGTTAAAAATATCTGATACAGTAATGATATTACTTGTACATCACATATTAGAAGTACAATAAGTGAAATATGTAAACACTTGGCTGAAACTATACAGGATGCACAAAGACATTAAATTATCCAAATATTCCAAGAATAACGCACTAAAACGGGCAGTTAAAAGAGGAAAAAAAATGATTTTCTGTGAAATTTATTAAACAGCAAGGGGTTCTTATCAGTTTGATATTTTAGATATATATGTTTAAGATTCACTTCTAAATGTTAGGGATGGATTGATTGAATGTTTAATACAACTTTCAGCACTATTGACTATATGGTGGTGGTAAGTTTTTATTGATGGGGGAAGTCAGAGCGCTCTGAGAGAACCACTGACCTTCGGTAGGAAAACTGACAATCCTAGTCAATTAAGATTGGAGTCGAACTCATAATCCCAGTGTTGACAGGCTAGTGATACAGTAGATGAATTCTTAGACCACTCAGCCACAGAGACCCCTTAAATGTTAGAGTGACTTGATAGTAGTCTAAAAAAGTCCCAGATACAATATGTGGGTTTGTGGTCTAGTGGTTAAGACAGATGGCCTCAGTGCTGAAGGTCCAGAGTGTGATTCTGACTGAGGGTGCTGGAAATTTCAGTTCATCAGAAGGATGATTTTCACCCTCCTACACCCATCTCTGGTACCAAGACCGGAGTTAAATCTAGTATGGGTACATTGGCGGCCTCAGTTGATGAAAGGTGCCCTTGACTTTGACCTGGAGATCAAACTTCTGGTGTCTCTTCAGTTTGTCTGTTTCTGCTGAGCAGCCCGGTGATTATCTCCGAGTACTTCAGCTTCCTCCACCATAATAACAGACTGCCCCGTGTCCTAGCACTCCCTTTGTGTTGGGGTGGGGATTGTCCTTGTAGATACTGTTGTAAATATGTTAGTGACACATCTCCATTAATCCTGATAAGGAGTGTATACCAGGATTCCACTGTACGTCGCAGCTCCCTAGGGTTGCTCCGAAAATGGAGGGATCTATGTACATACTGTACATACATACATACATACATACAAACAGAGTTGACTGGTAAAATTAGACTATTAATTAGAAGTAAATATACACCATGGTCTGAATAAAATTGTGATTGTCTTGTCAGCCTTAATTGTTAGTTTATTTTTTCTGTTTCCGTCATTTAAAATCCTATGTTTATTGAACGTTTAGTGTAATGCAGCAATTTAACTTGGATAATGGTAATTGTTGATTTTATCTTTTGTTCATGTTTCCAGCTATAGCAACTTTAACAGGAGCACACCCAAGTTACGAGAACTTTACACCAACCAATAGCAATACTGAACACAGAACATTAGAGGGGTATCTGTACAAAAAGGGAGCACTACTAAAAGGCTGGAAGCAGAGGTGGTTTGTACTGGATTCAACTAAACACCAGGTGAACTTTTTTTAACATGTGACAGCTTGTAGAGACATCTTTGGCCTGCAAGTCTTAAAAAATCAACCACCCCAATTTTTTTGTCCAAAGATTACCATTTCTTATAGAGGGGAAAAAAGTTATAAATACTGTTGTTAAGTCTGTAGAAAGAATTTATACCTTTTAACTTACCTAGTTGTTTAAGGTAGCAACCCTTGAATTTTGTCCTGGTCCCCAAAAAGTGTTGATTATAACAAAAAAGGCAGAGGGGTGGGCGAAATATTCCATAAGATCAAGTGTTTTTTTTACCTGTGTCACCAACAGCAAAAGGAGGTATAGTAACTGCTCAACTCTGTTTGTCATTCATAGACCTTGAGTAGAAAACGTTCATCAAAATGTCATTGCTTATATGAAAGGGAATGATTTTAAAATTGTTCTGCAGCTTTATAATATTGATTTGTAGCATGTAGGTCAATTCTTGCATCTGAGGTGCAGCCACCATTATTTTTTGCTGAAAGTTTCAAATTTTACAGCTCTCATTGAACACAGAAGATTATTGTAAAATTTGTTATTGGTTTCTGTGGAGCCAGTAATTTTACATTTGGTCTGAGCTTGATAATGTTGAGTTGAATTGTATGAGCAATTTTTACATCTGCTATGCAGCCACTTCCTGTTTGTCAATATTTTGAAATTTTCCTCAGAGTTTTACATTAATGGAAGTTCTTTATTCAAGTCCAATTTAACATAGTGATGGAAGTCATCTTCATCAGTTTTGCTTCAGTACACATGCTTCCTCAATGAATTGCTTGCAGTGACTCTGGTCAAGAACCAGGAATCGTCTTGTTCAAATTTGTAACAGATTTCATGCTATTGGAAACATAGTTGTTTTTTATGCTCCACCTACGATAGTAGAGGTGCATTATGTTTTTTCGGTATGTGCGTCCGTTCGTTTGTCCGTTCATCCGTCTGTCCCGCTTCAGGTTAAAGTTTTTGGTCAAGGTAGGTTTTGTTGAAGTTGAATTCCAATCAACTTGAAACTTAGTACACATGTTCCCTATGATATGATCTTTCTAATTTTATTGCCAAATTAGAGTTTTGACCCCACTTTCACGGTCCACTGAACATAGAAAATGATAGTGGGAGTAAGGCATCCGTGTACTATGGACACATTCTTGTTTTTATCAGCAATGCTTTGCTTTTTAACCATTTATTTTTTGGTGGGTCTTATGTAAAAAAATTTTGATGTATGTGCAGATAAGGCTCTACTTGAAACCCCTATACTTATTCCATTATTTCAAGTGATTGTTGGGACAGGAAACATAGATATTTTAACATAATATTTGATTTAACAAATAACCTTCATCAGACTTCAATATTTAGTTTGTCAAGCTATTTTATATACATTTGTCCATTGATAAAGACTGTATGTTTACCTGTAGATATCTTTGGTTAAATATGTTCTTGTGTTGCTGTGAGAGTGCTCTTCACCGTTTATTTATAGTATTGATCATTGTTTTCAGATGAGATATTATGATTACAAAGATGACCCTACTTGTAAAGGCTATATTGACTTATTTGATGTACAGGCAGTCCATCCTATAAAAAATGTTCAGGGACCACTGAAGAAATCAGATGAAAATGCAGCTTTTGAGGTAAGGTTGGTAAGACATACTGCAGAATGAAAAAAGTCAATTACAAAAAAACACTTGCAAAACTGCCAGTATTTTTGTAGAGCTTGCACACATGGTAAAAATAAAGAACATTTCTACACACACTTATTCTTGAGGAAGAGATGATTTTAAATAACTTTGTCTTATTCTTTTTAATCAATTTCAAAACATTCTGTGTTTAAAAAGAAATAACTATGGAATGATTGTAAGGAACTATAGAATGATTGTAAGGTGTACATGTATGTCTTGCAGGGTTCATATGACCTTGACCCCATTTTCATTGTTCATTGGTTAATGTTACGATTTTGTGGTTTGATCTGTTTCTGAGGTGCCATTAGCGATAGGACCACTATACTTAATGTATGGAATGATTGTAAGGTGTACATGTCTGTCTTGCATGTTTCATCTGACCTATGTGATACATGTCTGACTTGCATGTTTTAACTGACTTATGTGATAAGTAAAACAGGCAAGACATTTCAGCATTTGCACTCTTGTTAATAGAATACTTATTTGTTATGAAGCTATCATAACTTAATAAAAATGTGTTGTGTAGAAGACCCACATACCTTCCAAATTTTGAAACAACAATCTACACCAGTATAATGAAGTCCTACACGTTTGTGCTTATATCAATTTTAAACATTGTGAGGGTGAAAATTTTTAAAGGATTCAATAAGTTTAGTGCATATAAAAGGATAAAAGGATAAGATGAAGGTACAGTACAATGTTTTGCTCCTGTTTTTTATGTCAGAAATTTCTAGGGATAAAGCAAACATTGTCCAGAAATGAACTATGGATACCTTAATCGGCCTTGTATAGTTTGCACTGGTACATTTTCTGCACCCCCTTCTCGCCATGAGAATTCAGGAAAAAATTTTTTTTGTAACTTAGAAAACGTCTAATGAAACTCCGGTAATTTCAAAACGTGTATGATCTTTTTGCGGTATTTTCAAGGAAAAACCCGTTTTCCATCATCAAATAGAAGTTGAAAATGCTTGTAAATGATTCTAGAACACTTCACGAGTGTTAAAATAGGTCAAAATCCCAAAAAAAAAACCCCAATTTAGAAACTTGTATATGTTTAAACCGGAAGTTCGAATAGCACATGTAAATGAAAATAAATACGGTGAGAGTGTACGGAAAATTTGTACTTAATAGATATCACTAGAATACGACTTTGAAAGTAAAACAGTTCTATCCTTGAGTAAAATAATGTTTAACATATCTATCACATTAATGTTTGAAGGATCTTATGCTAAAACAAAACACCTGCGTAAGTATGAAACACCAAAACAGAACGAAAAGCAGGTTCAATTTTGGAGAATAAAATCGAAGACTATACAAGCCTGAATTCTGTACTTTAATTGTCTATGTATTTTCTTGAAACTGAATGTCTTTTGAAGGAACAGTATCAGAAAGATAAGTAGTATAGTTGACATGTTATTTTTATATGTTTCAGTTGAAAACCAGTAAAAGGATGTACCATTTCTATGCTAGTGATGCAAAAACAGCACAGGACTGGATAGACAAAATACATAGTTTTATATGAAAATAAATCATCTAGGTGTCTCATATCTTTTTAATTATGGTACAATTTTTACAGTGAAAACAGAAAATCATATTTTACTGTAATGTTATGTATGTTAGTGGGTGACTTCTTACTTTTTATGGAAGACTTGTCAGTAAAGGAGAGCTTGAGCTTCTTTTTTACAACTCAACATTTTCACATGACAGATTTGATATCATTAGAAAATTTCAACTGATTGCTCATTAGACAAAGATTATCATGTGATCAAGATGCTCTATTATGTGATACAGAACCAGAGCTTGTGCTTTTCATGTCCTGTTTAATATTCATACACCATTAACCAGACTTAGTGCTCGTCCAAGACTTGTACATGTGGGAAAGTAGACAAGCCTTGTTTTTAGTTCCAGCCAAAGTTCATTGAGATTTTATTTCCTATATTGAGCCAGATGTCTTGATATAGAAATATGGAATTGTGTTATTTATATATCATACATTTTACTTGCTATCATTTGCAAGGACATGTTGCATCATATCTATTTATATATTATTGTATGTGCCAGAATAGGATACACTGGTCTGCTTTGGAATATGAAAATGTTTTTATACATTTTAATGAGGTTTAATCTCATGGCAATGTTTTAACATTAAAACAAAGAATGAAAAATTATGCAAACGTTTTTTTAAGTTAATCAAATGCATGACAGCTTTGTATTTGTTGTTGTTTTTTAGTCTGTTTCATTTGGGTTGATCTAAATGTTTCCTTTTATCAAAGCTATTTTAATTAAAGCTGTTACTTATGCAATGGTATAATAGGGTCAGAGGTCACTTCAGGTTATCTATAGAAGTGGTCTTTTTAGAAATCAGTGGGATAAAGTATAGGACAAAATGAAATATTAAGAACCAATTAATTGTAAGGCAAAACATGAAGTGATTTCCAGCCCTCCTTTTCCCCTATATATTTACTCCAAGAAAACAGCTTAGAGGTTTATGTATTAAATGAATGGTAGTTTGGGAATACAATGTTATGCGTGTGACATCTTGAAATGAGTCAGTTCCTTGAGAATTGAAAGATAAAATGTTAAATCGAATAAGATGGCAAAGGATAAATCTTTTGTATTTTATTTATTTATGTACTGTAAAAAAAAAAATGAAATTAAACGTATAGACTATATATGAAAAAAATAGACAAAAGTAAATGTATGTTAGAGTTATTACAGAATAAAGAGAAAAAGCAAAGAAAAAAGACATAAAAAAAATTAAAAAATCATAAAAAGCTGTAAAATAATGAAAAAATGGATATATTTCTAACAGATTGAATTCATTTAATTTATCCTCTGCCATCTCAACATTCCCCTACATGAAACAAACCCCTCTCTTTCAGTATTGGTGTTAATTTTATAACCCTATCCATACATTTAGACTTTTGTCTAACATGAAGATTACTAATCTAATTGTTATATTTTTATTTACCTTGAATACTGCAGTAATTTGATCTCTAACATTGTATGTTGTTTACATTGCTTGCCAATTTATTTTATACTGAACACCATGTGTCATATTATTATGATTTATGCTGTAACTTAGTTCTCATCAGTTTTATATGAAGCTTTGATTAAAGAAACAGAAGAGAGATTTTCCCTTGGGTCTTCATTAGGAAACACATTTTTTGCTTTAAGAAAATATGCAATAATGACATATTGGAACAAAAAAAAAAGACAAGCATTTATAGTAATCAGAAAAATGGATCTAATCATAGAATATTCTTTAATAGTTTACTATGACAGGTACACACTAGTTCATTTTTGACGGTGGTGGTTTATGTTATAAAAATGGAAGCGTATTCCAGGAGCTTTAGAAATAAGAATAAGCATTCATTTGTTGTATAAGTCATACACTATGGGAAATTAATGAAAAGGAATTTATATTTCTCTAGATAGATAGATTTACATAATTGTTTTATGCTTGGTGAAATATATTTGTCAAAATGCACCATATAGGGAATTTTAACACTGTGCCAATTTTAGTATAGCAAATATTTTTCTGGTTGCATTTTTTTCAAACAAATATATGTTGATAATAATAAAATTTCTTGTATGCATTTTCACAGGGTCATCACTGTCATCAGAAATCTCTGATTCTAGTTCATATATTTATTTCTGTTTTTGTGAAATTTCGCTCCTTTACTTTTTTTCGCTTTTGTGTAGGCTTGAGTTGAGAACTACAATTTTGTGGCTTATAATTCTACCTCTTTCGATGTAACAAAATCAGAAACTAAATGTTACAAAAATCAGAGGTTTCTAGCCATTCTTCTCTAAGATAATCTTACTGTAAACTTGTGTAGTAATAAAAATATTCACTTTATATATTCATTTTGCTGGACATGTAGCTGAACTAAGTTGAAAACATTTAGTCACAAATTTCATTCCTTAACTGTTTTAGTAAGATTTTTTGCATTGCTTTGAATGTGGATAATATTGAAAAAAGTACTCATTTATGAAATTTGTTTTTGATTTCAAAACCGGTTGATGTGATGCTATGCCATGCAAATTTTTATATGTTGTTTTTTTCAATCACATTTTAATTGGTTATTAAGTAAAAGTCTATCCCCCCTAATATTTAAGTGTTTTAGAAAAAATCAAACTCTTTAGCGATAACTTACTTTTTGATGTCTTTTTCACTACAACTTATGGATGAATTGTAACTATATGAATTACCTACAGTGCTTCTTTTGGCAGGTAACATTTTATTTATTTAATCACCATTAGCAGACAGACAGAAATGTTATGTGAATAATTCAGCTTTCCTTTGAAGAGATGGATATTTTTATTTACATTTACTTTATTTCAACCTTTACAATACCTTAGTGTGAGCTATTACCATTAGTTTGGGGTCCATTGTTTGTTATTGTTGGTTGTTATGCATGTATCTTGGTCTGTATCCTGGATCAATTGAAATCAAATTCTGATCTTAATTTCCTGTTGTTATCTTCTCTAACAGTCACTTATAGTTCAATCATACCAACCAACCAACCAAAGAACCAACAGGGTAAGGGTTACTATAAATGAACAGAGATTTAATTCTTGGCTGTTATACAGCCAAGGAGAACCTTGTGTAGTTGATTTGAGTTCTTTTATAGTCCCTGCTCATAATTATGTTTGCTAACCTGCCCTGGAACCAGTATGGCCACTGTCAGCATGGTTTAACCATCAATATCTTCATGAATTTTGTAAAAACACCATTTCTCTAATTTATATGCTTACATCTCTGTGCAATAAGAAATTATAGTTGTAGCAATAGGATATTTGAATATCAGTCATCATACATACTTTCAGTGAATATATTTTCCTACAACTTGCAATAGATTATAGAGTGTACACTCAGGTAATTAGTTTAAACACAAAAATAATGAGAAATTTGTTTCAGGCTTCTTTTTGTGAAGTGCAGAATCATCATTACTAAAGGTAGTAAGGGAAATGTGCTGACATCAGAAAAACACGTCTCAAATTTTACATTTCAGTGTACATTTAGTTCAAATGTCAAGATCTGAAAAAATAAGTATCCATGACATCCCAGTTCAGTCACCTTTCATATTATACATAACCATTTATGTAAGAACTCAAATTTTACATTCATACAACTTGCATCCTATATATAATCTTCATTCTTACACAACCAACTATATAAAATTTAAACAGAAAATAAATAATAATTTATGATGAACCTACCTCATTTAATATAATAGAAAACTAGAAAATTGTCTTTTTTTTGCCACAAATGTTTTTAACCAATTTGAACTTTTACAATATGGGGTAATGACAATAATCTGTTGTTCACTCGGGAACAATGTATATACGGGGACATGGTTAATAATTAAACCAAAAAAAGGTAAGTAGTCAAATTGTATCCCTATAATAACAGTTCCCTTTATCTTTCCATTAGATTTTTTGATAGGGAATTGAAGATACATTTAGGTGGATTTTAAGACAAGGTATAATACATAGGTTAATGATAAAAATTTGTAATGCCATGTTGTCTTTGTCTCCTGTAAGAACAAATAAAACTCTCTGTATCTCCATATACATTTATGTTCATTATTATTTATTTGTTAAATCCATGGTTATTGTGTTGTTGCTTTGTAAAGTTTTCAGTTTGTTTTGATAATATTTCCCAGTTTTTATAAAAAAATCAGTAGGAACATTTACTTGTAATATTGTTTAGAATAAATTGATGCCTTAATTCCAAATTATTTGTTGCTGTGTATTCATGTAAAAAAATATGAAAATAAATAATAAATCAACAAAATTAAATTTAGAAAAGAAACAAAAAATATACCAGGTATTAATTTATTTGTTACTCTACAGTCTTACACATTGCCTTGAATTCACTTCTCATATTCATGTTAATGCAAGTCGATCTGAACTTGATATGTTTATATAGTTACACTATGTTGTTTATGTGTATGACTGTCTTAAGAAGATTAGACAAGTAAATTGAGCCTTATGCATAAGAATAATCATGGAACTGAGCAGTACTAATAAAACAAACTGAATACTTGGCAAAAGTTTTGTTATTGTATGCAATTTGCAGTGTGATGTCTGATTGGTCAATTTTTATGTAGTCTCAACCAATGAGTGACAAATATGTTGTTTATTGGTTTTTAGAAAAAGCATAATAAAGGAATTACAAAAATGTGTTTATGTTGCCTACAACTACATGCCCTATAAGCATTTGTTAAAATAATAATATACTACCATGTAGGGGGTTATTAAATAGTGTTAATTTTGATATATACAAAACTTGTTTTAAAACAATCAGTAATTGACGCAGAACTATGAATGCTTTCAGAAATATTAACCTTACATTTAATTGATTGTCATTAACCTAATATCATTGGAAAAGTCATGATTTTTGACTGCCACTTGAAAATGTGTTTATTTTACCTGAAGATCCTTCATATAGTTTTTGCCAAATTTCTTTAACATACAGTGGGTGGCACTTTCTCTACATGAGGCATTAGATTTAATATCTCTTTCCCAACCAGACGTGGCTGTGTATTTATTCATTTGTATGACTAACTCAGTCAAATGGTGCCTTTTTGGAGGTGTCGTACCCTCAGAAGAAGATTAGTAGCCCAAGGATACTTTTGACATGTGCAAGCTAATGGAAGACACATAAGAGGTAAACGTAGTTTACTGTTGTCCAAATTCGTAAATCCATATGAATATACGAAATTGAGGGAATCACATGAATTCAAAATGGAGTGAGACCTGGTGCTTTGACATGTTCAGTGCTTACTGCTATGCATGCATCTTCTGATATGTGAATCCAGACTCTATCAAAATGTCATGATAGGGAATAGGACACCATCAATAAATTTAAAGATCAGACGTTTATTCTGGCATCTTAAGATTTGAGACCACAAGAACAAGACAAGTATATCATAATAAAGAAAAGAGTATATTGATTAGTTGAGGGGATACTCCTTATTTGTGAAAGTCATATGGAGATTTCGAACTAATTTTGTTTTGTATTTTCAGTTTAAGGTTATCTCCTTTGGAGAAAATTAAAAACATTATAATCGCACGAAAGCAATAAGAGAATGTACTTCCTAGGCCTGTTATTTACTGTTGCATCTTTACTTTAGGTAACATATAATCTATAGAATTATGGAAGGGCAAATGCATAAAAGAAACTTGTAATTCTAGAAAAAGTTGGTCAAAGAGGATTTATGAAAATTTTTACAATTTCCTCCGGTATGCAGAATGAAGAGGATTTTGAAATTTGTCACCTACATAGATCTCTTTCATTGTCGAGCCTGCGACTTTTTGTTGCAGAAGTGAGCCATAGTGATTCTACATTTCTTCTTTGGTGGTGGCGTCACTATTTTAGTATATAAGTAAGGAGATGTGGTTTGATTGCCAATGAGACAACTATCCTCCAGAGATTGTTCAGTCTGTGGTTACAGGTTTTTTGAACATCAGTACTTTTGTTAAATCTTAATGGAATTTGACGAAACTTTGACAGCTTTTTTTATAACCAAGAGTATCCAGAACAAAAATGTGGAAAACGTTTTTTTTCTTTCGGTTTTTTGATTTTTTTTTCTCTTCATAAACTGCTGTGGCCGAGTTATCGGAGAACGACTGAAATCGACACCACATAAGATCACTGATACGATTTGTCAGTATCACAACTCACCAGCGATATGTTTTCGTGGTCTCAGATACTTAATACCAGTATAGTCGTCTGATCTGTAATTTTACCGATTGTGTCGTCTTCCCGATTTTGAGATTTTGACAGAGTTTGATTTCGCATGGCAATCGATGCATACATGGTAGGAGACGTTTACCTTGTGAACGAATTCGGTCTTTCGGCTTTTGGAATTGATGCACTTCATTCAGTGTCTATTGGTTACCTTGGTTTGTCTCTTCATAATCACGATATTTAAACATTGGTAAGCTACTGTCGCCTTAATATTACTGATAAATGGTACAGTTAACATTAGAATACAAGATTAAACTTTTTCAGGCCTCAATAACTTCGACAAACCTTCATGAAATTTTACAAAGTTTATGCTTCTTCATGATCAACACAGTCCAGGGCAAACTGTTTTTCTATATATAACTGATAAAGGAACTTAGTTTGGGTTAACATTTGGATATAGTCTGTGGTTAAAGTTTTTTAAGACATCAATAAAATCTTCATTAATTTTATGGAACTTTCGCAAAAGTTTTTTTATGACTCAGAGATAATGTTTGAAGGACAATTTTTAAGATATATTTTTTTAAACATTAATAACGATGTCAAAGCATCATGGAATGTTCTGAAAAACTTGTTTGACAGAAGCTTTTTCAAGATCAAGAAATAGTTTTTAACCAAAAAAGAAAGGTTCATTTTGTTAAAATTTTGCCATAAACATTACACTGACAACATTAATTGCAGGCGATATACATGGTTCCCCAGAGCCCTTTACGAATTTTTGGTAATTGTATCAAAGTTTATTCGTTTTATTCCATACAAAGTATAGATGTATAATAATGTATTTTATTACAATGTTTGCTTAAAGGATAAAAATTTCAAAACAAAAAAAGGAAAAATAATACTGTTGCTTTGTGGATTACAGTATCAGTTATCACACCAGTATCAACTTTCTACTTCTAACATCTTTTTTTTCATTGATTTAGGGTTTTTTTTTCTCCGAGGAAGTTATCAACCTTCGTTCTGAATGAAGAAGTCTGATCGTTACATGTATGAAAGCGTTCTTTCTTATTGAGCTGATCAGTTTAACACAAAAAGGCCCGTTTAACCCATTTTCATACTTCACTGACTTGTCACAGTTGACATTGAATTTTCTATCTTTATATCGATTGTTGTAGGACCTTGTATATCTTGTATGGATTTTTATCTTGGAAAGCAAGGAAATTTTTTGATGCATTGACCTTTAATGTTATTTACAGATGTATTCATTGTAGGTTTTAACAGTATTTAATTATTGACAAATGATGTTACAGTAAGGACAGCTGCATAAACTCTAAAAAAAAAACTGCTACCATGCAAAACTACAATGGTTTGAGTTGAAGCTGATGAAGCAAATTGATATACATTGCAATTGGTTTTGCCTATGTTCATTTCTTAATTTAAGTAAATAGATTTAAAAGAGAGGCGAAAGATACCAAAAAGGACATTCAAACTAATTAGTCAAACACAAATTGACAATGACAAAAACAAAAATGATGAAAAGACAAACAAATGTATACAACACACAACATAGAAACCCAAATAATGACCAACACGAATCCCACCAAAAACCAGTGGGGATGTAATTGAAATGACCATTTGAAATACTACGACATGATCAATCTATCAAACAAACAGAGGTTTTGTTGCCGTTTTCCATATTTGAAGATCAAGACAATCCCTAGCTTCGATTAAAACGGTAAACATTTATCAATACAAACACTCATTTTCAATCAATGTGAGAGACGATTTATATTTGTTGATTTTAAAATTTTTCTTTGAAACAACAAGAGTAACCTATGGGGTAACCTTCATAATGTTTGTTTGCGTCTGTATCAATAAGAACTTATAGTTATAACAACTTAAAAACAACAAGGGATTGTAATTGGCAATGAAGTATGATGGCTTGCATTAAAATTTTCAAACCACATGAATGTCGTAATGACTAATGCGACATCTTGAAAAGTTGTACTAGAAAGCTTTAAGAAGGAAATATCGTTTTACTGCATCTGCTTATATCGTTTTTTTTTTAATTTGACGCTATTATCTTTTTATGTTTAATTTTTAGGCCTTCCAATAATGTGGTCTCAAACGCACCTTTTGTTTTTTTCTTAAATATTATATAAGCAAAATACTAAAAATTTACCAATTTTCCTAATTTATTAGGATTACAAAGGAGTGAAATGTTATTTCATCACACAAATACCCATTCAAACACAAGGAGTATTTGATTAAAACACTATATCAGAAATAAGAGATGCATTTGATAAAAACCCCATGGAAATTTTGAAGAGTTAAAAGGTATACAGTTGGCATCATACGGTTTTACTACTACAACTGGGTCGTTTACTTTACAAACAATTGATCTCGAACATACATGCTTAAGTTTTTTCCCACAGAAATGTATACATGTTCCGTCAGTGCTGAAATTCTCTTTTGTAGTATAATCTCACTGAATCTCAATGAATGACCAATCAAACTAAACTACTAATTTTTACCCATGGAAATTGGAAGGTGATGCCATGCATATTTAATAAATGCTATGTTCTAGTATGTATACTAATAAATAATGTTCGATTAAAAGAGAAATGCATGTCCAAGGAATAAACACAACCTTATCTCAGATGCAAAGACTACAGTTGGTATTGCCGTGTTTGTTGAACTATCATCCTTCGAGGGCACTATCAGTCTAGGAGTCAATGCTTCGTGACTGGCATGATTTAAATAGAAGTTTATACTGCAAATTTCAGTTTGAAAATATAAGTTAACCACAGCAATGTTGTAACCCCTTCAAACAAATATGATATTGGAAACAATTTTTAGTGTTTAGAATCGTTTTGATATGTATATACTTATTTGTTTGTATATTCTTGGGTTTCCAGACTGTTGTTTTCAATTTTACCAGGTGAGGGTTATTTGACGTGACATGCATATTACTAATATGCACTGAAATCGGTAGCATACATATATGTATATGTAAAATAAAATGCAAACTATTTTATACATTTGAAATGACTAAATGGCTATCACATAATGTCAATCAAAGAGAGTATTTTGCAGCAACCTTCAATGACTGATGACATACAGTAGAAATATAGAAACCAATATATTAGAAGCAAAAGTAGTTAACTGATGTACAAATCTCGTAAATCTATATGAATTATTTATATTAGTGTTAGAAGGCAAAATTTATATATCCACAAAACACTTACAACTTTGTTTTTAGAAGCTGTTTGAATTTGAATCTTGGTAATTTAAAATTAATTTTATGGTATTAATGTTTGTCAACCTTGAATGACCCTATGCTGATCTCTGGATGTTTTTATTTTTGGATTAGTTGAGTTGTGTAGGCTTTCGCATTATTGACGTTTGCTGTAACTCTTTACACACAAGTTATTTACCGTGCGTTTACAAATCATACTGGTTTACGATCAATCAGGAGTTCCTTACATTAAACAGACTTTTGAGTATTTCATTTTCTAACTCTACTTTTAGTATGAGTTATATTTAGATAGTTCCAATTAGTTCATGTAAACTTTAAATGAACCTTGCATTTTTCGTTTATAAATTGATAATCGATATATATCTTTGTGTTGAATACACCACAATATCCTGAATGTGCTGGTATACATGCCAGCGTATTTTGTAATTTAAAATCATATTCCTTTATTAATACAAGTTCAATTTGGACATATAAAACATAGCAAAAGTTGGACTTTACAATAACAAAAGAACATGCGTGCCTCAGTAAAACTCAATAAAATCTAAGATACAAAGATCGTTCTTTTTTGATTAACTAATAAATATATTTTTTTCATGTTCAATCTGCGAAAATTTTCCATTGATTGTATAAAACAATAACAGTCTTACATCATCGAGTGTAAACCTTCATTTGAAGTGTTTTATATAATGTTCCATACATTTATGACGTACTGAAATAAAGAATTTGAAGTGTTTTCATGTCACTCGCGTAAAGTTAATTAATTTCTGTTTTATAAGTTTGAAAATAAATCTTGAAAGTATATTGAATATGGAAACTCCTCAAATACACTTTGTGGAACGAATTTTATTTGTTCAAGTATAACAATTACGATACAATTTTCAACAAAATGAACTAACTTAAATGTAAGTGCAGTTTTTATAGGCCTGTTAAACCAGAAATAGCAAAACGAATATTTTATCGGGTTTTGCATGCAGGTAAATAGACACTCATTATCGTGGAAAGCCAAATAGTGGCATGATTATGAATAATGATGAAGATTCAAAAAAATAATTCATCCCTCTCATAGCTATGTTCAAATATAATATCAGACAATGAAGTTCTATACAGAATATTTTAACATTGTCTGTTTAGCTGTTTAAAGTTTTAGCAGCATCAATGATACATTGTATTATCTTAGCTACGTGTTTATGAATTTCCACATGACACTCAGTTGTATTTTGAATGTCAATACATTGAGTAATTCCACCTAAACCAGGGAATGCCACACCACCGTAATAATTTGCTGAATCAGGGGAATGTAATAAATGTCTGAAAAAAAGATCGAAAGAGAAGTTAGTGCAAAACCACCATCTTTTTAAAATTTCAAAGCGGTATATTATGAAATACCAATTGGACACATATAACTTCAATTTTTTGTCTTGGCTGCGATGAAAGTCAGGAAAGCGAGACCAAGCGATCCTACATTCCGTCGCCTTCTTAGGATTGTTGTTACTTGGGACAGAAGCTTTTTCATTTAGAGATAGCATCGGAAGCAAAATTTAAAAATACATTGGTTTTTTCTTCATTTTTCGTTATTTAAATGAGAGGTGCATTTATTTTTTTTCCAGTTAATATTCACATACAGTCTAGATTTCAATTTCCTTTTCAAACATCATAGAAATGATACGAAAATTACGCTGAAGCTCTTCATTATAAAACTAGAGGCTCTAATAAGCCTTTGTCGCTCACTTAGGTCTATGTACATCTTCAACAATAGACCCTCAAACATAAAGGACTAGAATAGAATTGATGACACAAAAAAAAAAATCTTGATCTTGTATTACTGATCATTTTTTCTGTTTACAATTTCTCTCTATCTTCTTAAGTTTTTGCCTCCCCCCCCCCTCCCCCTAAAAAAAATGGCAATTACTCCTATACAGAGTCTACTTACCATTTCGGCAAAATTTGACTTATTTGTAGATCTAGTCTTGCTGGTCATTTTCAAAGCAATTGCTTTAATGCCATCGCGTATGGCCATCTTTGTGACGCAAATCAGAGACTCCGCCAAGATCAAGCCATAGTATTTTGTTAAACAGTCTCCTGGTCTGTCATTCTTAAACAACTATGTATGTTTTCTAATGCAATACATAGCTTGAAACTTTTGAAAAACGTTAGTGGATTTAAGAGGTTTCAGCATATGTTCTTGTAGATGTATTTTTGTATTTAGGGGGACAACCGTTTGACTAACAAAAAACATATAAGTCCGAGTGAAAAAAAGTGCATTTTTATACCTGCGATTCCGTTCTCTTTTCGTACGATGTTACAACAAAATATGGAATAATTTCAGTTGTTGATTCAGTATTGAAAATTTTACTGAATTATCTCTTATTAAATACGGTTTTATATGTTTAATTGGTGTTTCTCTAAGAAAGAGGCCAGGTGCTATTGTTCATTCATAAAATTATCGTTCATTCATAAATTTATCGTAAAATCAAAATCACTACACAGGTTATACGTAGTGTCAAATGATTACCTGTAATATGAAAAATAGGCAAACTTAACTGACCTATTTTGTTGATTTGTTTGCGCAAATAATTTAGCGGAACGAAACCCTTATTAAAAACACATAACAATAAGTTCGTTTTCCTTTTTTGTCATAACTCCGTAAGATTTATCGATCACCTTACTAATGAAATGGACCCGTCAAAAAGTGGTAGATTCCAAGTCCAGATGAAGAGATATTTACAATTTGGAATTTTCTAGTTTCATAGATTCATAGATTGAAAAAAGTACGTCCTGTTGGATATCATAATCAAAACTGGGTATGCATGACAAATGATGAAACCATTATCCTCGTCTTTCCAGTGGACGAGTCTACTACGTGTGTTGACACTCGACGGTCCACCGTGTTTACAATTTTATTTCACATGTTTTCGAAATATTGAAGATAATTTTTCGCAATGTTTCCTGAAAATTGATAAATATCAAAGCAACGAAGAGCTGTTTGTTTTTGTTCGTATAATGACGATTTAATGTCATGTTTGTCTGTGATGACCCACCTTTTCGGGATTCTTGAGAATTATAGTTATCTCGTACCGCATGAGGATGACACATATCAACTGAGCAATAATGTTTGGGACTTAGTTGTAAGAAATGAAGACAAAGTAACATTATGAAAATATTTTTAGTAAGCTGAAATATATATTTATTTTTTACATGTTTATGTCTTGTATTAAGATTCATCTATACACTTTCACAAAAATGGCTGTGTTTACACCATGAAATTGTCTTTAAATGCAGACAAAACTGTGTAATTCTAATAGTTTAAAATCCTGGCAGCACCTAGATATATACAAGTTGTATTCATTTTGTGTTTTAAAAATAAAAAAACTTTTGAGGATTTTGCTAAACATTTTCTTTCCTTGCCACAGGTGGTGTAAAAATCTACAAAGTCATGTGAAATCTTTGAGATGGTCCCCCTCAGGTAATGATTGTATTGTATCATATTGATTGATATGGATAATAGAGTGACAATAGAAATCTACTCACAACACAGGTGATTTAAATAGTGTAAATGAGTGGACTGTATCAAAGAGAACTCAGGTGTTTGTTTATTTCACCATCTTCTGTGGCAAGGAAAGAAAATGTTCATCAAAATCTATAAAGTGTTTTAACTTTTTAGAACATAAATTGGATGGAACATAAATTTATATAGGTGCTGCCAGGCATTAAAACTTTTAAAATTACACAGTTTTGTCTGTACGCAGAGAAAATTTCATGGTGAAAACAGCCATTTTTGTTTAAGTGTATAGATGAACCTTAAAGATATTTTATTTCTTTCCCGTTTTTCAACATTTGCGTCTGGAAAGTTGAAATGTTTTAATTGAATGGTTAAATTTAAATTAATTATGATAATTGTTAAAATTAAATCAATAAAGGAAATTATTGCCCAGTTACAAACACTACCAGGGGATAATTTCTTTTTGAGTTATATGTTTCAGCACATGTAAATTTGACCCCAACTTTAGCCTGGTAAACGTGTTGTCTCCTTGTGAAATATAAAACAAATGACTTTCTGCTAAAGTCTTTTATTGATATAAAGTTAAAACCTTCTTACTTCTCACTAGACAACACTCCTGTCAGGTTTAATTCTTATATATATGTGGATGAAAAATAAAAGTCCCCAAAACATTAACATGGCAGCAATTGCTTTTACAGCCTTTAAGGCTTTGATTTTTATTTTAATGTGTGTATCTATTTTTTAACAATTTTCAAGATAATAGGCAATAACACCAAAAATTGGTAAAAATTGTGAAGAGTAAGGAGTCTACTGACGATTTCGGCCATGTTGACTTATTTGTAGATTTTAATATATTGATGATTTTTGCTATTTAAAGAGTTTATCTATCTACTTTAGTTTTCAAGATAATAGGCCAAAACACACTAAAAATCGTCATTAAAGACCAAAAACTCCAATAAGGGGTCATCGGACAATATCGGTCATTTGACTTACATATATGCTAATCGTTTTTGCTTCTTTAAGTTTTTATCTATTTATTATAGTTTTCAAAATATTAAGGAAAAACGCAAAAACTTGATGAAAATCGTCATTTAAGGGCAATAACTCCTATAAAAAGTCGTCTGACAGTTTAAATGAAGATAGAATATAGGTAGATCTCAACATTCTGAACATTTCTGCACTTGTCAGATTTTCTCTATTTTTTAAGCAGATTTCAAGATAATAGTTGAAACTTGTAATTTTCCCCAATGGTCTATTTTTAGCCACGTTGGAATCTTAGTTGGCCGGCTTCGTAATCGTACACATTTTTGAAACCAATGATGATTGTGGCCAAGTTTGGTTAAATTTGGCCTAGTTGTTTTAGAAGAGAAGATGTTTGTAAAAGTTAACGGACTTGTTTGATATTAATGACAAAGGGTCTTATCTGAAATTATTATCTTTTTTAAGTTATCTCTAACACTAACATATATATGTAAATTTTGCTAATATTTGTTTGTTTCATTTTTTTTTAAATCTCGAGGGCTCACAAAAATCTTAACTCCTTATGATGCACTTGTATTTTTTTATTTTAGATTGCGTATCTATATTATTCATGCAATCACCTTAATCTTTGTTTTACTCACTTGTACATAGAATTTCCTGGCAATCCTTCATCGATCAAAAAAGTACGTTCTAACCATAACAACTTGTCATTTACTTGTCTAGCATACAAAGGACTGTGAAAAGTTAAAAAAATATATAAAGTCAAAAAAAGGGTATTTGTCAAATAATCAATTATATTGACCAACGAGAAACAGATGGAATAAAAGTAGATTTCCTAATATACGAATCAGTTGCTCATATTTCATTGGCATATAAATGTTTAAGTATGAAGAGCTGATATAATAAAGGCAAATGAAACACTTCGTATGAAATAAACGTTTTCTTCATTAACAGTCTTGATGATATACTTCAATCTTTGAATATTTCACCTTAGTGGAACAGAATCAGCTTGCCATTCTGAAGTATCGGAATTCATTCGTGTTGCTCAATCTTTAGTTTTCTGTGCATCTTTTATTCATGGTGGCTACTGTTTATTTGTTAGTTCATTTCTTTTAAATATATGTATCAAACTTGTGGTTTTTATTTCCTCTTGGTATCTTTTCTTATTTCTTCTTTTCATTTAAATGACAGATGATAATTACCAACAATGTCGTAACTTTATGATACGGTACACTCTTCTCCTCTAAAAGGGTAAGATCCAACTGATATAGTTCATTAGCTTTAGAATCGTATGTTGGTGTTTGATTTTAATTAATGAGATTTGTGAATTGATTTGTGACCTTTTTCATTCGCATAAGCTTTGTTCTCTTCTGAAACAAATTTACTACGCATTTCTTGTAGGCTCTGAACTACAGGGCATTCAATGTTGAAACTGAAAATTTTTATTGTATCGAAACATAATGAACTGTTGAATTAAAAAAAACCCAACATTTGCAGTAAGATAACTTTTGCTACTATAATGTTTGTATGTTCATTACAAACTTCTAACCCTTTTTTGATTGATTTATACTGACTCTAATTTTAACCATATACAATATATGAACTTACTCATCATTGTCATTGTTTATTGCTGCGATGATCGATTTCAAACGAGAAGCTGATACATGAAAGGCGTTAACAGATCTATGTATCCACTCTGCAAAAAAAGAAAACACTCCATGGCATTTGTTCAGTAGACCTACTAATTCTTCATCACCATCATATAGCAGAAAACCGAAATAGAGCAAAATATTGCGACTTAGTTTTCGTCAACGACAACAGCTCCTAGCTATTCCAATTTAATCCATCAAGCAATTGTAGTTATAGCTTACTACATACGGTATAGTGGGTCATTATGCAATGAGTTTAAATGAATCAAAAATACATACATAAACGGAATGGGTAGTATACATGATATGAGATTATAGAATGGCACACTTGAGACATATCGTAACATATCCTTAATACATAAAAACAAAACATCACTGACACATTCTTTTAACATTTGTCAGGAAACATGTCAATGATTCACGAAATAAATCAGGCAATCTGTGTTATGACGGTCGCAAATGCAAATTCAATGGCGAAGCGGAGCAGAGGCAATAGAACAGGCATTTCGGAACATATTTATATACATTTGAAATTGGCGTTTTTTCATGTGTACGAAGTTGTTGCAATTACCAAGACCGTTAACTATGTAATCGATCTCAGACGTTATACTATCAAAAGTTGCAGTTGAACACATTATTTATCCAGAAATAAGCGGTATGAAATGGATATTCACGACAAAACAATCTAACTAAAATACATGGATATACAAACAGCCTTACATAGCTTCATTGTTATCATTTATCTTCACAGTTGATGGTACGCTTAATTGTTTTATAAACAATCTGATCTTAAAACCTGAGATACATAATGGGACAAAACTTACCGGACTTGATAAAACAAAACTAACCTTCTACATTAGGTAAACTAATACCATACAAACCTTCCATCTTTGGTCCAACTACTTGTCCTAAATGGTTCAATAGTTCTTCCACTGCGTTGGAAATATATTCAAGATATCTATCAACGTCGAACGGAATTATTCGGGAATCAGCCAAATTTCTAATGCTCTCAGATATAATGGATGTCATCGTTTTTGCAAACTTCAGTTCTGGATCAATCATTTTGAATGCATGATAATTCTCATAACGGGAATGATAAAGTGGTGTTGTTGTAGAGTCCCAAATATCTTTCTGAAACATTTTACATGTTTGAAGGAGGCCATTCAACAAACAGTACATAAAAAAATACAGACATATGGACAAATATCTAATTTTTAGTGTCTATCAGAGGGTAATTGTTAGTTTTCAATTTCATCAGAGGCGTAAAAAGGAAGGGTAGGTTCTGATGGTGAAAACCGAACTCCCGGGGTCGAAACAAAACAGAAAACACCACTGTCAAAAGAGAAGCGATTAACAGAAAAACAACAGCTTACAAAACAATACACAGTGAAGCAAAGAATGAGCAAACACAAACTCCAACAAAACCCCAAAGGAAATTTAAGCGTCCAAGGAAGTAGATAAGAAGTACCTGCTCTACTATTGACACCGTCTTGTTTGCCATGGCATGTACGAATCCGTTTAAAAGTCGACGAAATATGACATATTGTTTCGATGATTTGACAATATCCGCGGTAAAAGAATTTTAATTTTCGTTCCATCAGCAATGCTAAAATTAATATTACTGCAACCCGTTGTATACAGGTATCAAGTAGACAAATGAATCTGTTAAAATCTCCGAAAACCGTTCAAAGTATAATATACATAAAATGGAAACAAAATGTTATCATGAACTGTTAAGCGCTGATTTAGGATTTGTGGATAAATAAACGGCTTTCACTAAGTTAAGAAGCTTTGGCTGTTCGGTAAAGACCCTTTATTTTATATATTTTGCTATCAAATAGTTTGGTCTCTAGTGTACCAAAAGAAATACCAAATTGAAATTAGTATCGAGCGTTCATGCTACTACCATTGAGTAGATACCAGTAGTTGCGGAATGCCAGTACCCAGCGGATAAATACGCTAGATGGTATCAGCAGTTAAGTAGTTCAGTTAGGAACTGTGGATATTGTTTTATTGAAATTTGCTGTTATGAAAAAGAATCTTTTGTAATTAAGGAATGTATCTCCTTAATGCATATCTCTCTGATTCGTTGTCCATTTTTGGCTATTAGTATATATGGTATCGTTTGATTTTATTAGACAACATTATTATATGATTAAACAGCAACTGTGTATACTAATTACACTATTTGGTGTCATCCGCCTCTCTTTAACAATTTTTAATCCTTTAAACGTTTTCCACATTTTGTTTTTATTCAATTTGATCTCTAGCATGTGTAATGATGGTGTTTTCAGTAACACTTCTGCGTATTGCCAGCGGAATCATACGGTAATATGTTATAATACAGAAATTGTGAAACTCCATCACGTATTACTCACACTTTACCGTGACTGGGTAAATGATAAAATTATTAAAAAGAAGTATACATACCAAGTACGAATACTTTGGGTACATAGATGGTATTCCAAGTCCTGCGAGGAAAGGGACGTGATCACTACCACCACCCATTTTGTACACTCTTTGAACCAAAAATTAAAATATAAGCATTCAACAAAACTATATATCAAAATGTCACCGGTGTATTAGGATGTTCGCTACTCTGTTTCAAAATAACAAGCTTTTTTAAAGACTTTTATAAATTGATAGTCTATAAATAAAGGAACTAAAAAAGCAGAAAAAAATGAAGGGTCCGTGTGCATGTTTTCGAGATATAAGCCATTGAAAATTTGGCGGGAAATAATTCTCTCTAGATTTTTCATATATTTAACATTGGCACCCTTTTTCTTTAAAACAATATGAAAAAATAGCAAGGATTTTATAGCATTTTCAAATATGGCTTTGAAAACTATATGTAATAAAATTATGGAAAGAAAAGTAGGGGTTAGCGGGGAAATATTTTTTTAATGGCAGTACATGGATAAAAACAGAGGATTCCAAATATCTGGCAAAAATTCAGAAACAAGAGGAGCGAACACCCTTAAAGGTGTTCTTGTCGCGTAATCTTTAGATTAATATATAATATTTTAAAGATTTTTTTGCTTCGTCCTTATTATTTGCTTTTGCGTTGTGTGTTCTTCTTTCTCCTAATTTGAGTTTTGACATATTTCTATTTCTTTAACAAATAAAGAGTCGAGTCAAAGTGATCTTTACGTTGTTTATTGAACTGAGTATATGTATAAATCTAGAATGAAGATGAACCTTATGAAAAATGTACGATTAACTGAGTAGTATAGATGGTTTTGTTTGTGCTGTTACGTATATGTTAACATGTCCTCGGCCCTGCAGTGCTCGAAAGTTGTGTATGACTCAAACGTTTTCTTGTTGTTCTTTCCTTTTTCTTTTTGTGAAATCTGATGTCCGGTATTTTGATTGATCGGAGAGAAACACATGCGTTTAGTTATTACATTTGAATTAAAATGTACAAACCTGAACCTTGGGTGACTACTCCAAGCTTCATATACACTTTTGTATTTGCCATAAGGGTCAGGTACCTGCGTATAAAAAAGCTATATCAATGAGTGTCAGTTCTATATGAAATATTTGCACTCAATTTTAAATATATGTCAATTTTTTCTTCGGCTTATGAAGTTTGTGGTTCAACTAAAGGTAAAAATGTTTTATTTGATATAGTATTTGGTCATGTTTATACATTTAAAGATGATTTATATAGATTTGATATTAATGCGACAAAGCAGCACAAAACATTTCACTAAAATCATCATCGACAACGAGTAACGTTGAAATTAAATTCTTATTTTTGTCTGTGCGCGCGGGTGTTACACATATTTAAAAGTACATAAGAATATATTCTTCTTCATAATATAAACTCATTGAAGAAACATATTTTCTTGCTCAAAGTTGCAGAATTTTCGACACCTCAAGTTCAATATCTATTTGAAACGAAACAAACGTTATAACTGATTAAGATGTCTGTAAAATACATCTTTTATCGCGAGATCAGGATTCAAATATCAGCACGGACATTTATCGGATTTACACACAATAATCCTATATACCTTAAGTAACTCTTGACGTAAAAAAAATAGGTCCATATTATACTTCTAAAATTTTGAAAGCAATGTCAAACAAAACTATGAAAAAAAACATAACAAGAAAAAATAAACAGTTGTCAAAACAGACGAATTGGTGAGTTAAAATTATTGTTTTGACAATTTACAAAAAATTGTTAGTTATAAACTCATTATTATGAAATGTTTGATATTATCAAAATATATAGGAAAATACTGAAAAGGAATAACTTTCGTCCATGTACTGTAAAATATCGATTTTTTAGGTTGATATAAGATACTTTCAAAGAATGGTTAAATAACATGCCAAAACAATTAAGAAATGAATTACCTTATCTGATGCATCCTCAAACACCTTTTGAAGCAATGGCACCGTTTTTAAATGAATTGTGTCATTCCCTGCACGTCACAAAATTACATTAAATTATTTCATAGTTTTTCTCAGCTTTTCAGCTCAGCAAGACTTAATCATACGCAGGTTCTTTCAAACTAAAAATCGATGTGTTGTGCTTTACAATCAGCATTTCTTAAGAGCTCTAGTATGGTGTTCAAGTTTACTAATCATATATTTGTACATATTGTATTTTTTTGTTCATTTAGAAAAACATTTTTTTTGTTGTAACCCCGAATGTGACCAACCAAATTAGACTTATCACTGGATTTGTACTTACATGAGCAACACGACGGGTGTTCCATGTGGAGTAGGATATGCTTACCATTTCGGAGCATCTGAGATCATCCCGGGTTTAGAATAGGGTTCGTGTTGCTCAATCTTTAGTTTTCTATGGTGTGTTTTGTATAGTGTTATTTGTCTTTTGATCCTTTTCTTTTTTTTGCCATGACGTTGTCAGTTTATTTCCAACTTATGAGTTGGAATGTCCCTTTTGTATCTTTTGCCTCTCTTTTACGAAAACAAAATCAAAGTTTTATTACATTTTTACGTTATTTTACAATTTTGTTGAATGAATGCAGTCGATGTTTCCTGCATATTTCAAAGCTTTTTTTTCTTAATTTCCTAGTTTTGTATGAAAACAGTTGCCACCTTCAATTTTGCTTATATCCATTTTATTAGCTCCACGCAACACTTTTACTGATGTATTTCAAAATCATCTCAAAGTCACTGAGAGGACTTAAACATGGAGCAAAAATCTCTCCGCCCATTGCAAATTCAATATCTCTAGCAACAGTTCGAGCGGATTTCTTTACTAAATGTCAATTTCTTTTCATCCGTGCATTGTAGAGAACGGCATTACATAAAAAAATTCTATAGTCAGGAATATGATAGTTGTTTTCCATTCGTCTGTTGGTTGATATAGTCTAAGTATGATTTTGTCAGTTTTATTAGACTCCCCCTTTTTGAATTTACCTTGGATCCGTTATTTTTGTTATTACTTTTTTGACACAGAAAACTAACAAATAATTCTCTAAATTGACCAACACTCTAAATCTAAAATTCAAAAACAATACCAGGAGGCATACCAAGATGTATGTTACAGACCTTGTCAGAAAATTACATATTAATAGAGTAAATACCATACCATTTTTATATTGAAAATAGAGGCAGAAGATACCGAGAAAAAATTTAAAAATCACAAGTCGAAGAAAAACCGACAATGATATGGCATAACATGAAAAGCGACAAAAATACACACATGACACAACAGTCTACAAAATACGTCATAGAAAACTAGAACTGAGCAACACGAATCCCACCAAAAACCGAGGGTAATCTCAGATGCAATTTACAATGGCAAAAATTATAACAGAACGGTCAATCATAAAATAATGATAAAAATATAAATAACGATTAAGCCTACTCGAGACAGTCACATTTACAATCTGTACGGTCTGTATAGTTCATGTGTATTCAAATCACTTTAAAGATGTTGTTTACCATGGCGTTGTCAGTTTGTCATGGTCTTATGAATATCCGTTTGGTATCTTCCGCCTCTCTCTTATTATTGTTCAATAAGGATTATCTAAGTCAGTGCTTGGAAGCACTTTAATTATCTTTCCTTTTTGGATATATATGTACTTTAAATTTAACAATATGCACTTAATGAAATTATGATATATGAATTATTAAAAGAATGTTATAAAGTTAAGGATGAAGGTTACTACGTTGAAGAGTATATAATATTACCTGATACCGCGCTATCTACATTTATATATGCAACAGCTTGAGATGTCAACCATTTGCTGTTATCCTGTAAAACAGTCCTCATTCTAAATGTATAATTATTTTGCAATTTTGTAATTCATTCAATCGTTTTTTATGTTTTGTGGTGTCATAAAATAAAGAGGAAATACACCATAGAACATTCAGTGACAGAATATGTTTCTTTTTGATATCTTTCAAATGAATATACAATAAAAAAAAAGCTATTTAAAAGCTTCGAAAATGGCACAAATGCATATAACTTTAAATAAGCGTAAAATTGTCCAACGGTGTATATTCTTAATGTAAATGTTGGTATAAGTGTTTCTGAATTTATTTTTATCAGTGATGGTAGCATAAGTGACGAGTGTCTTGGTTGACACATTATCATAACTGAGACTAAGCATATAAGTTTAAAATCACAATAAGGGGGAAAATTATCAACCCCAGTTTAAAATGTCTAACTGTATTTAATAATAATTTTCCACTGATGACCTATAGTTGTTTATATCTTCATCCTTTGGTCATTTCTGCATAGTTGTTTTATTGGCCTTCAGATCATTTCTCCATATTTTTATAATTAGAACAAATGGTCCATAATATAGATAATGAGAACATCAATGTAACAAACTTTAACTTGCTATAAATACAAAACGGTGACATTAGTGGAGCCGAAACTAGTGTTCTTCGAAGAACATAAGTTATGTTTTTTGACTGTTATTTTATTTTTCTTCGTTTTCCCTTTGTCCATGTTGGACTTCTGCTTTTCGATTGATCCATTGGTATCTTTTCCTCCTATTATGACCATTTTACTATGTTTTTGCAATTTAATTATTTAATGAAGGACCTGAAGTGTTCGAAACATAAAACAAATATATAAAAAGATTATAAATACCTCCACCCATTCAAAAGATCCTACTAATCCAAATTCTTCGGCATCCCAACTACAAAACAACACCGATCGTCGGGGCCTCCATCCTATTAAAAAGTACAACACCAGTTAATAGTCCATCACTAATATATATTGAATATGGCAGACCGTTTACAAAAATAATAAAAGTGATTAAGAAATAATCAACTGTAATTAGATCGTAAAAAGGTAATTAAGGCATATGTGACCAACAACTGCGGAGGCAATTTATGATAAACAAAAGAAAGCAGTTAATTTACAATAAATATACTGTTTACGATACTCATATATAAAAAGTAAAATCACAAAAATACTGAACTCCGAGGAAAATTCAATCGGAAAGTCCCTAATCACATGGCAAAATCAAATGACAAAACACATCAAACGAATGGACAACAACTGTCATATTCCTGACTTGGTACAGGCATTTTCAAATGTAGAAAATGGTGGATTGAACCTGGTTTTATAGCGCTAAACCTCTCACTTGTACGACAGTCTTATCAAATTCCGTTATATTTACAACGATGCGTGAACATCTTATTTTATGAACATCTACCTTACTTATGCTTTTTCGATATTGACTCATTTTCAAAGCTATGAATATTCATAATAAGCAGCAACTTTTGCGAATATAGAGCAATCTTGTTATGTCAAAACTTTCTCATTGTTTTATTGTGTTGTAAATCGAGAGACGAAACCAAATTTTTGTAATGCTGGAACAAATGAATAAATGGGTCCAGTAAAATTATGTACAAACCATTCGCTTACGCTTCTTTTGATAGTTGTAAATCATTAGATATTATTTGTATCAAATGTAAGATGCTGGCTAGTTATTGTTAGAAGCTAAAATGTCACCTCTTAACATTAAAAATACAAAATATAAAATGCTGCCTAAAAGATAAATGGCTTTTAAAACCTGACAAAAACCGATAAAGAGAAATTTAAGGAGAGAATTAACGGTTCCAAACTTCAATAAGTAGCAGTGCATTGGATTATATTTAATAGGTAATTTAAATTAATATTTTGAATAATGGATTATAAGAAATAACCTTCTTTCAATAATTGTCCATAAACCCTGGCTGTTTCCATCATAACTATGGTACCCGACATCGGATCTATTGAACCGAAAACCCAGGCATCCCGGTGGTTACCGAGCATCACATATCTATCTGCAGATATAACACAACAACAACAATAATAATAGCACTATCTGATACTTGGTTGAAGAAATGAAACAAATAAAAAAAAAAACACCTTTCTGTATGAGACAGGTTAATTTGCTGATTTTGGAAGACTTTTCATTTTTCTACGTAGGTGAAAAATAGGTATTGTATATGTTTGTATACTGTTTATAAAGTGTTTCATGTTTAGAAACACTAAGTGTTTCAACCATAACATCTTAACAACTTAGGTTTTCAAAGCTCTTTATCTTCGTACTGGAGTTGACATTTCAATTGTTTTAATTCCAGCTGCACTAATTGGTTTGATGTAAACGAAACGCAAGTCAGGCGCAACAATTTTTGAGCCCTTATATTTTCTGACAATACAATTGAGAAAAGAAACGGGGAATGTGTCAGACAACCCGACCAAAGAGCAGAAAACAGCTCAAGGCCACCAATTGGTCTTCAACACATCGAGAAAATATCGCACCCGGAGGCGGACTACAACTGGACCCTGAACAATAATGTATACTAGTTCAGCGAAAATGGACGTCACACTAAACTCTGAAACTTACTAATGTACCAAATAAAAAAAAAACATACAAGATTAACAAAAGTTAGAAGTTCCTGACTTGGGACAGGCGCAAAAATGCGGCGGGGTTAAACGTGTTTTGTGAGATCTCAACCCTCCTCTTATACCTCTAGTCAATGTGAAATAAACAAACACACAGCAATACACACACTAAAACTCAGTTTAAAAGAAGTCAGAGTCCGATGTTAGAATAAGCAAAATGACAATGATCAATATAAATTACTTGAAATATGAACATTAAATCATTTACATTTTAATATAAATTGAAAGCATAATGAAGTTGTTTGCGACGTTCTGTTGAACAGTATGATATTCTTTCAATGCAACGTTCTTTTGCATAAAACTTCACTATAGCTTAGATCCTCAGTTTGTATTTTTATTTTTGAAACATAAAAGGTGCTTTCATAACATACTTTGATAAGCATTTGAATCTGTTTTAGGATATACTTGAGGAAATCCTATATGCTATGTATGTATGAAATATCCCCATATGTAAGACTTGATAACGTTACTTAACAGCCCTCAAAATTAATTTTAAATACTCCTGGCTGCTAATATTCATTCTGATTGACATATTGCCTATTGCTTTTTTTTCATTAAATTATCAGCTTTCTTGAATATACATAAATAATATTAAGATATATAAAGTTGACTCACCCGGTTCTAGTTCACCTTTAATTTTCCCAATAACATTAAAGATACGTTTGTATTCAAGTGTGTTACTAACTTTGAGATTTATTTTCCTAGAATAATAAACACATTTTTATCTCACATAAATTTGAATAGAATTTGACTGTCCCCTTTAAATGATGGCCAGTTATGAATGAAGCATCGAATACAAAAACAAATGAAGAAAACATATTCTTGAAAACATTTAATCAACAAAATAACTTGAATTCAAGATAAACCCTGAGTAAGGAGATAATCTTTACTATAAATTTTATTTGAAGACAGCGATCACAAATGCAAATTATTGAATCAATTACAAAATCCAAGTTATAAAAGACACTTTTACCAATCACTATTGCATGATGCTGTTGCGTCAAATATAACTCATTTTAGGATTTTTAACATAATCTGCAAGACGGGGTGATAATAATAGAGCAGGAACTGTTCAATTGTTTAGACAATGTGAGTTCTAGTCTGCTCTTTTTTTTTTAATTTAGTGTGTTTAATTGACCATTGATGGTTTATACGTCCTTGTAGGTTTTTTTATAAATAGAGAATTGTGTCTTTCGATTTTTCCCAAATGGTGTCTTTTTTATCAAATAATTGTTGAACATCTTATTAGATCTTTATATACCACAATAATTGTCTGATCCATAAATTAACGATTGTGACATTTTGACTGAGTGTGGATTCGAATGACACATACCCTGTCGACGCGTCCGGTCTATTCCCTTTTAGAGTTCGTGCGATTCCATCAGTTTTTGATTTTTGATTTGTATCTTCTTAATGGGTTCATGATATTTGTACATCGGTAAACAACCGTTGTCTCTAATTTATTATCTATTATTACTGTTGTTGACAGTCAGATTTCACAGTGGAAACCAAAAATATACTACTGCTAATAATAATACAGTAACATGGAAATAAACAAGGATGAAACATTCCTGCAAATTTCAATTGAAATGCATTATTCGTGTTAAAAGCACCTGGAAATGTGTTATTCAACTTAGATAGCTTACCTTTTATTAGTTAAACCTGGACCAATTCTATAGGTGATATTTAGACTACCTTTCCATTCGTCTGGTACTTGGTCACCAGTCATCAGACTTTGACATAGCATTGAAATAATTAATTAATAGTACATATAGATGAAATGACAGCGTTTTTATGTTTTATCTGAAGCATACATTACGGTTATTTGTGTCAGTATGAAAATGGTTTACTTTTGTTGCTGTCCGCTTCATTTTCTGGATATATTTCCAAACTCTTGATTCTTTATATGATATGTTTATTCAACAAGAAGCTGCACGCTTTGACATGCTAGCATACCAACAGTCGTAATTCAAAGTATCGGAAAGCAGGGAGTAAGCGTTTGACAAGTCCGAAAAGCGCTTTCGCGTAACAAGTCATAAGAAAAATATGAGGAAAATATTTGTTAGGCTAACGGACAGATAGACGGATGGACAAACTGATTGTAATTTAGAATTGTAATGTTATTATCATAATTATAATTAATAAATTTGGTTGCTATTTTGTAAGCACCATCTACGTATCCACAACAACAAGACATTTTCCTAAATGGATGATCTATGCAAAGTAAATTTTATAGCAACTGGGACGAACATTTAAAGGTTTTTGATACTGATTGTGTTGATGTTTCAAATTATGGTTTTCATAAGTTGAAGATTTAGGAAACTTTTGTGATTCATGATTTGAGTAACCATAAAAATTATACGTTTCATTATTTTGAAAGGACAATTTTATTTTTGTATTTTGCTTATCGCATTCGAAAGGATAAGTTACCGAATTTGATAATAAACAACAATGCCAACAGAAATTGATATGACTGACGAGAATAATATCGACATTCCCAAAGCTTATTCCCAAAGCTTAATGTGATAGAAGACAACAAAACAGTTAAGTCATTTACACATAGTATTTTGGCAAAGATTACATAAAGCACATACTTTTGTCATTAACGCCATTAAATAGTACACACTTATACCTCAGCAGGCTATACGCATTACTATAACTGATGGGTAAACACGGGATCTTTGGTAGCCGAGCATTTATTTCATGTTCTCTTAATCTGTAAGAATATTCTGTAATTTGAAAACAATAATTACAAATAACAAACTCAATTCAAATGACTATTATACAAGTTTTTCCATTTTACGTTGGATCAATAACGACAAGAATGTTTTCGATCACAATTTTAACTTTTTTGTAAAAATCGAGAATGACATTTTATTTCTGATACCAATCATTGTTCAGAATGTTCTTGTCAGACATGTAATGCTGACGTAAGGAGGCACTGCTGTCAATGTTTCAGATCTAAGCTAAAATTGATTAGTTAACGGTAGACCTGTAATGCTGACGTAAGGAGGCACTGCTGTCAATGTTTCAGATCTCAGCTAAAATTGATTAGTTGACGGTAGACATGTAATGCTGACGTAAGAAGACACTGCTGTCAATGTTTCAGATCTGAGCTGAAATTGATTAGCTGATGGTAACTACGCCGTTACAACTTAGAACAGTATAAGAAATACGTATCCGTTGAAATCACAACACTGTAGTAAACTTTTAGTTGTGTTTCGGTTTGTTTTTTACATAGAAGTTCTACTAAGGAATAAACTAATTAAAAAGAATATTTTTGAACATTATTGATCGACTAAATGTGTTGAAGGGATCAGATCCGTTTGCTCCATGAATAAGACTGTAGCGTGCACAATCTTACACCAATCGGTCTAAGTATATGTTTGTCAACAAATCAGCGGTTTAGTTTCTTTTTACAAAAAAATCAACATTAAACTCACCATTAGCTGGATATCCAGGTGTACTCTGGTCCCCTTTATTAAGAACAATATTTCCTCTCTGTGATCCGTCGTTTGGTAGGAAAACTGTATCTGGATATGTTGAATTTGTACCAGAAGGGGCATAATCACCAGGATCAGAGTATAGTATTATACCTACAGCTCCTGCTTCATATGCATTCTTAACCTGTAGGAAAAAGACCATTGTTAAAGACCGTATGTTAACCTTAAGATGTCTTCCATTTTTGTGTTGATAGGTTGCTGTTTGACGTTTTCTTACATCTCCTTGTATTTGTGATAGATATTGCATATATAATTAATATTAAAATATTATTGGTGTTTAATTTAAAGTTAAGATATGAAGATTTTTGTTTACAGACGTCAGTAAAAATATTTCAAACATTACCGAAACAATCGAAATACCATGAACTCTAAATGAAGTAAGGGCAGATGAGTCAATATGGTATGTCCTTCCTCCAATACATGCATCACTAGTCATGAGATTCGAACCAATATTGAATAGCAAATACTGAACTGTTATACTAGCTTATGTGCATATGCAGTTTACAACTGTATATGCAAACTTTGCGTTGACCCTCAACATATTACATTAGTACACAATGAAATCCGACGGAAATAATAGAGAACATGTTTTTAAAATGAATTAAAAAATAAAATAAAAACAATTTTCGGTAGACGTAAAAACACACTAAAACACACTTGGAACAAGTATGAACAAATAGGTCTCTTAAAATACTAAATCCCTGGGATGTTTTTAGTTGATTTTAGTCTCTGATGCATGATTTGTTATTATTAATTGTTTTGGGCTTTTAACTAGCTGTCAGTAACTGTGAGTACTCTCAAATCGTACTTTCTTGTTTATTTGACCTGTTGATACTAATTGTAATGCTTTTTTGTTACTTAATGTTTACTTATTCAGGGTTATATCTGGTCTATATACCAGCTTTGATAAGTGTTTGGTATTACTATAAATTTTCACTTCTTCGTACTATGAACATCAAAATTATTTATTTTGTAAAAATATTTCCTTTCTCCATTTGAACTGTACACGTATACCTAACAAAAAATTTCATTTACCCGTGTTTAAAGTTATTGCAAATTTTTGTTCAAGCAGCATATTGTTTAACATTTCACAGCGGTATAACATGTTACTTTAATTATTCTTCCCTTAGTTTATCTATTTTGTATTTGCATTGTATCATAGATCAAATTTATTTGTTCAGTGTATGTTTACTGGTGTTAATATGTCTTTTGATTGAGTTAAGCCATTTCAATTGATATTTTATAGTGTGTCTTTCTATGTTGTGATGTTACACTATTGTCTCAGATAAGGGTGAAGGTTTGGTACCATTAAAACGTTTAAACCCGCTGCAATTGTTTGCACCTGTCCTAAGTCAGGAATCTGATGTTCAGTAGTTGTCGTTTGTTGATGTGGTTCATAAGTGTTTCTCGTTTTTTAAATAGATTAGACCGTTGGTTTTCCCGTTTGAATGGTTTTACACTAGTAATTTTTGGGACACTTTAAAGCTTGCTGTTCGGTGTGAGCCAAGACTCCGTATTGAAGGCCGTACTTTGACCTATAATGGTTTACTTTTATAAATTTTGACTTGGATGGAGAGTTGTCTCATTGGCACTCATACCACATCTTCTTATATCTGTTAACGGTATCACCACCATTGATGAACAGACGTTTGCACTTGGTATATGTATTAAGCTCTTCGTAGCCATTAAATAAACAATGTATGACATAATAGACGCAAGCAACTGAATATGATTATTGAAGTTCGCAACTTAATTTAAAATCAATCAAGAAAAAATGCATGTTATTCAATTCTAAAAGATCGACACACAACATCTAAAATGTGAAATCAAAGGACTTTTGACAAAATACCTCTATCAAATCCATACCACTTTCAATTCGGGTAAATTGTGCCAAAATTGTGAAATTACCATTAAGGCAAAATTTCAAAGAATTGATTTTACATTCACCCTACAAAATCACAGAGGAAAAGAGAGGTTCACACTAAATTAACTTAACTTCAGATAGAACTTCAGTTAGCAAGGCCGACTGAATTTTCAATGTGTGCAGTCATATCAGTACAATTTGGGGAATTGACTTAGTCACATCCGTAGTAATTACGGTAATTTCCCAATTGTAATTAAGCTGCTACAACTCCAATGGGGTTTCATTTAGAGAATTCTAACCTCAGATACAATATGCAGAGATCAAAGAATAACAGCACTTTTGTTTATGTATTTACCTTGTTACCTCGGAAGCCTTTTCCATACTTTGCTATAACAATACTACCGGAACAATTGATGTTCATATCATTAAGTTTTTGAAAATCTGATTCCCGAGCATAGTTGACAAAAACCAAATTTCCCTGAAACGAAAATTTCAATATTCTGATAGGACTAATTAAATCTAAAAATTAATTCAAATTTGTAATCGGATATTATTGAATGCTTTCCTACTTTCATTGAAATATTTGTAAAAGTGTTCTGTAATCTCTTGTTTATACCTATGAGCTATTGTATATATGTTCATGTTTTAATATAGCTGTCTACATACCAGTATATACTGGTCAATTTATGAAAACCTTTTCAACCAATTGTCACATACAACACAATGCATTATAATATGCTATACTGTAGAGTAAATTAAGACACTTCGCATATGAGTGATTGATTAAACCAGAGTGTACGGCGCCTAACTTGAAACTTGTTTAACAGCTAGTCACAGTTTCAGGGAACGGTTTCATTTTGCTTCGCATCACGTTGCAGAGCTATTAGTTTCAGTCGATATACACGCCATCTTGAAATAATTACTTATCATATATAGGTTCTGATTGGTTTCTTTATGATGCGGCTGAGATACAGCAACAGCTAATGGCTTAAATGAGATAAAGAATTACAGACTTTTCTCGTCTCAGGATACGACATCAAATGCCGGAAAATTAACAATGTGTATTTTAGTTCCGATCTATTGGACATTAGATTTTAAACGAAAAATTTATCGTCAATGGTTATGCAGTAATTAAGGAGTTTTAAAAAAAATGTTCCTATTTTAATTTATTTAATTGCTAAAATGTTGGAACAAAATATCTTTTATCGTTATCAAAATACAAATTGAAATAAAAAGAAAATAAATTAGAGAAAAACAAACTGAACCTTAAAGAATCGTTGAGATGTGTGAAATGCAGATATGAGATATTTCATTTCTGATAAACATTTAACTTATGAAAATATTTTTAGCGGTATGATGAGGATTCTGAAAGAATAATTAAATTTTAAGGCTTCATATCTGAGATGACGGATAACAGAAAAGTTGATTATGCATAAATTATGCAATAGCAGGAGTGAAATACTAATACAAGTTCAGAGATAAAATAACGATTGTCTTTTATAGAGACTGGGTGATGATAGATACAGTCAGAGATAAGATAATGAATTTCTATTTATATTAATTAAAGCTCTACGTTTGTATCAAACTTAAATATAAATAAGGGGAAAAAAGCAATTAGAATAAAAGACAACGCAATGAAATCAGGCAGTTAGTTTTCTCATATGATTGTTTTACATTTGTCATTTCGAGGCATTTTGTAGCTTACTATGCGGTATGGGTTTTGTTCATTGTTAAATGCCATACGGTGACCTATAGTTGTTAATTTCTGTGTCATTTGGTCTCTTGTGGAGAATTGTCTCATTGGCAATCATACCATCATTTGCAATCATACCACATTTTCTTTTTTTATATAAAGAAACCATACGTAATCTTATTGCAAAATACTAGTCAACACTGGAAAGTATGACGAAATTTAAAGCACCTTTTAGGTGTGTTAAATGCAGAAATTATATGTCATATCGAAACAGTTCATAAATGAATATGCGTTTGAGTCCTTAGAATAATTCTGACACTGAGTGATATTCTTTGGAGTTGAGGTGATGACTCTCTATTTATTTAAAACTTATGGTCTATGGAATAAAAAAAATGAGGTCTGATATATTCCTCGATGTTTGGATTGAAAAATATTTTACTTAAGTTACTAACGGTATGTGATTGCAAAAATATTAGCAATTGTCCAAAGAATTATAATAACAGTGAGATGAATATTATCTATTCCAGATTATTTTATAAAATTAAGAGATGAGTATGTTAATCGTTTATAGGAAAAGCACGTGTGTCGACTACTCTCTCCAAAAAATATAGTTATAAATGGCATAGCTAGTCAATTCTTTTGTTTTTATTATGTTACACCCCCCCCCCCCCCAAAAAAAAAAAACCCAATTCTTTTGATTTTGGTATGTAGACCCCCCAAAAAATCAGATTTAAAGTTGAAGTAGCTGGTGCACAACTTCATGTCCACCCTAAAGAAGAATCAGTGCAAGTTTCTTGGAATTCTGTCAATTTGTTTTCAAGAAGTCGAGGCAATCTGTATTCATAAGTGAATTTAGAGTGTCTAGTAAACAGAGGCCTACAGCGTTTTGGCGACAAAATAGGACGATACAATAACAAATAAGACAATACAAAAACGTTTGTATTCATAAGAAAAAATAGCACAACTTAGTAACCAAATATTTTTTTTCTTAAAATCAATATCCGTATTCAACGTACATGCGATTGCAAAAACATGATTTTTCAATTGCGTACTGGACATGGGCTATACTGAATTGGCACTATTATTCCTGCTTCCCTCTGTCTGTCGCACACTCGTATAAAAACAAAAAATGAACAACTTCGTTATATTTTGGCTAATTTACAAAGAACATGTTATGAAATGAAAAAGTGAGATTTGTTTGAACAAACTGATTTAAGTATAAAGTTGAGGTTTCAAACTGTTTCTACTCTAAATACCTGACTGATTGGAGTATGTTGCCTGGGTATAAATAAATTGAGATCAAGCATATCTTGAATATGATAGCCAATTACCAACCCATACAAACCAGTGTAATTGGTTTTCCCAAATGGTTTTAGTTCGGGATTAACAAATAAGAATATAACTTAGGGTTTTGAACTATTTTCAAACAGGCTACAACAACTTATAATCATGATTCATTTCATTAAACTTCTTTACAACAAAGACACTTTTCACAGTTACATTTCGACTTCGGCCAGGAAGCTACCTCTAATTCCCAAAATAGCACATCAGAAAAGAATTAACATACAGTGTTTGCCTCTTATTTATCATGTTGTAATGTTATCTATCGGAAGCGACTGAGGGGTGGGAAAGAGAGAAATTATTTCTTTAACAAGAAAATTATGCCTAACATAGAACATCAGTTTCATAAAGAATCCATGTCAGTTTATCTACATCTTATATATATATATATATATATATATATATACGTATAAAAATTGCGGTTTTTATCCAACGCAATCATAGGTTTGAACGTTGTTTTCAATTTAGACTTGTATATATATATATAAAGAAATGACGTAAAATCATGTATCTTTATAGAACAATTATCTGATCTTTCATTCCAAACAGGCATAGAGGTTCATGATTGCATTTCTTTTTTAAAGAAAGCAACTTGTTCGTTTTATTATGCATATATTGCACACTGAAATTCAATATTGAAATATCAATTATTAATACGTGTTTATTTGCTTTGTTAATCTGCAATATTCACGATTTGATTTACTAAACAATGTTCTATACAATGTTTACAAAAATGCATTATCTGTATTTTATAACTTCTGCCAATCTAGTCACAACTCCAGAGAGGCACACCTCCACAGTCGTGTCTATTTGTAAATGTTTTAATTTTCAACAAGTAAATTGAACAAAATGTTAAAAGCATGGGTGAATAACGCATACTCAAAGTAGAACAACATCATTTTCACTGAAACGAAATATTTATTGCTGTTTCTTATTTATTTTAACTGCTGTAAATATCTTTTGGTTGTACAGGTCTTTGTTTACTCCTTGGTTTTGATTGTTATTGTCTTCATCACTCGAAATCATGTTACTCTTAATCAACATACCTAAACATTCATATATATATAAATAAATTATTTACAGAACTAGAAATCAAAATAGCATGTCAATGACCAGCTGAAAGAACTAGAAAACCACACTCCACAAAAACACATTGACAACTAAACACTGAATAGCCAGTTTAAAATTTCAGAAAAGTTCATCCTAATATATATACAAAAATTGATATTCCAAGTCTAAGACATCAATTTTATATCAATCAATATCTAAAAATACCACATTTCCAACACTAAATCAACAAACACATGCACACATATTACCTTAAATTAGGATAGAGCGAAGCAGTCACCAGCTTTTTAGAAAGCTCAAACTTGTGTTCTCTTATTGAGGCGGGTGACTCTAATAAAGTTAACGAATTTGCTGTCCAATATGAAATAACCAACGTTTTGTGCCTACCATAACATTTCCAGATGGTGAGAATGCATTGTATGGTTGTACTTCATCTCCTTCAACAATAACAACTGTTTTGAATGTTTCTGTCCCGTCTTCCTCGATTACAGAAACCTAAAATGAAAAAAAGTAAAAGAAATTCAGATTACACGGAGTATCATTGAAGTCTATCATTCAATTTGATATTTTATATAATTCACTACTACCTTAACTTATGTTTTAATCTTTTAGTTTCTTGTGTCGTAATTTTGTTAATTTTATTTGTGCATTTTGTTATCTCCACGAATTAAACATTCTTGTTAACTTAATATTTCCGGGGGGAATTAAAAATTAGGACTTTTTGAAAATAGAAATATTAATGGAGTGAACGGATAAATTAAACTACTTTTTCAACGAAAGAATCTGAAATGAAATTTTGAATATGAACAAATCAAAAACTATGATTCAATTCAAAAAACTATGTTTTAACCATTTATCAAATAAAATTGTAGGAAAAAGTATGTGTATGAGCTAAATTTCCACTTACATAATTATCAGCAGTTTTGTCAGGGTATGATAAAGTAACGTTATATTCTATAATTTCAGACTGCAAGCCATACTGAAGAAACTGTCGGTGAACAAAATCGCCACTCTCTCTATTGTTCTCTGTCCCTGCTAACCGGGGTTTTCCTGTTAGTATTCTGAAACAGTACCACTAATGCAAATTCCTTTGCCTGGCAGAATATGGATTAATAAACACTATCAGAACAATAGCGTGTTAATGATGATGTAACAAACATATGACATTTCAAATGCATGTAAATGGAATTTTTTTTGCCATACCAACCATTTCTAGATGATCCATTGTTTATTTTGCTTTCGCTTTGTTCTTTTCGTATTTAGTGATTTTTAACGCTTTATATTTGGCTTTCAGAAATTTTGGTCTTGAGAGTCCAGAAATACGTATTATGCGCAATAATAGTGGTTTCATGCTACTATATTGAAAATACTCTTGAGGGTAATACATAGGATTTATAAGAGTTTTTCTTGCTTAGCAATTCTGTATTTCTGTTGTATATTTGTCATTTTTGCAATTTTGAAAAATAAAATATTGTTTAAACTAGCAGAATTTTTTTTGGGAGTCTGTGTTAAATCTATTCACCACTGGTCTATATTCAGAGCACCTAAGAGTTGGACAAGAGGTATATATATATGTATATTGGTACCGTTAATTTTATTGTCTAATGTTAAGATTGTATGGTCACTTATGTTTTTTGTTGTGTTTTTGTGTCTCTTTGAAGAATAACTCACGTTTCCTTGTAATTAAATTTAAAGAATTGTTATTACTTGTATGGCTTTCAAAAACTAAAACAACATACCTTAAATTACTGTCTATCTGTCCTGTATCTATTTTATCAAATAACTTTTGTGTTATACTATTGTCCCCGTCTCGATTGAGTTTGTCTAATAACTTCGTCCTGGAATCCGGCTGAAACACTATTGTTCGTGAAAAATAACCTATCAAAACGCCTATTATAAACGCTAACAAGATTAACAGAGCTGTCCATATAACTTTCTTATATTCTCTGGAAGTCATCTTTACTTCCACGCGCGTTTACAAATAAACTTCACCACTCAAAGTGTTGTATATAATCAACAATTTGTTAATTACGTATTATAACAGCGTGCATGATATAAGTATGAGGCCCAGTAAGGGAAATGGGTGTAAATGAATTTCTTTGCTTTAAGTTTTGTATTATATTAATGCGAAAGGTCATTTATGTGCTACAATTCTAAAATGTACTGAAATTTCATTGATGTATGTCTCAAAGGATAATTTTCTACACAAATTAGAGGTATTTATTAAAAAGTTTGGAACGCCATAAAAAATATAATTTCTTATATTCAATAGTCAAATGATAAAATATGTAACACATACGTACACAATATCTGAATCAAATATGAATGACATACAAGCCAAAATTACAATTATACGGGATAGAAATGATCCACCAAAGCGAAAATGTATTTTCAACAAGTTATATATTAATTTTAGTTAAATTATTTTTCTTGTCTTCAAAATATCACATTAAATGAACTTTCTAGAAACTAGTTTTGTTCTGCAATCGGCCCTTTATTTGGCAAATAACAGTTACAAATATACTGTAGAGTAATCATAGCAAAATGACTAAACAGTTATTTTGAAGATTTTTTTTTAATTTGACCAACTCACCCACAATGAACGAGACTTGATATTAAATTTGTGGGAGGTATTAAGGCGGATTGTATACATCAACAGTCTATATAGAAATTACCTTTATTATTTATAATTCTAAAAATCAACTAATAATAATGTCCAGGTAAAAATATCATTAAACGACTGATCGTACAATGTAGTGTCCTTGTATATCGCTTTTATAATAAGATAATTGTAAATTTCAAATTACTTTTAACGCCATATATAATTTTGGTGCGATGTCGAGTTCTCTTAAAAAATAAGGACAACAGCTGAGAATTATGAAACTCAGTAAAAATTCAGCATGAAGAAATAAATTGCAGAAAAAAACCCCAATACACATGCAATGACGGAAAATTTCAGATGCATTAGCATTCGCTACGAAACTAGTGAAACAGCACCGTTATCTGTAGGTATATTGTTAATGTCTATTAGACTAACATGTATTAATATTCTCTACTAGAGCCAACATACTTTTTAATCAGTTTTTTTTGTGACGTTCGAAGCGAAAGCAAAGAAAATAATGCTCCACTTTTATTTCTTATGTTTTCGGTTTGTGATCAATTTATTCAGATACTTTTTTTATAATTACTGCAAGACATGAATCCATCATATGTTTCCAATCACTGAAAAAAAACATCCTGTGCCGTGTACTTAGCGGAGAAGCAGCTAATACAAATTTGCAAATATTTGGTTTCATCCGCCTGGGTTCGTTACCACGCCCTTCTGTACTAGCACGCTACAACAAAACCACCGAGGTGGTAAAAAATTGAAATTAAAATCAGTTTTGTAAACCATCATGTGTTACCATCTGTTTTGTTACTACCCTAATGACCTTAATTTCAATAAAAAATTGAAATCTTTTGAAAATTCGTTTTAATAACACCCCTTGAAAAATTTCTGGAACCGCCTCATGGGTTGGGCGTCTGGAATCATTTTAACCCCCAACTTTCTGTATGTGCCTGTCCCAGTCATGAGGCTGTAATTCAGTGTTTGTCGTTTGTTTCTGTATATCATATCTATTTTCCTTTAATTGTTTTATACATAAATCACACTGTGTCTAAAGTACCTCGGCAAAAAATGTTTGATCTAGATAGTATCTAATATCCGGTACGGTGACGGACCAACTACAAACAGAGAAAAGGTAGGATTTCTGTACTTTATTTATTTGTTATTTGTATGCATTTGTAGCATACTACCGGTCCACCTCTAGTACAAAGCAAAGTTTATATGCATATCACATTACCATGTTTTAATTCTGAATATGCATTTAATTTGCCACTGGACATTTAACAGCCAACCACCCTTTTCATCATTATCATTTTTCTTTGATATCTGCATGCAAAAGCGTAAAAGATTATATCATGCATCAGTGTTTTCTCGCCTATTTATGCACGCAAAACATTTTCAGGAAATGAGCACACAATTTGAATGCTCACTTTCGCAGCTGGTTACTATCAAGTAGACAATTTTAAGAATGACAAATATGTTTGGATGGTCAAACTGGTTGCATTTGCAATGCTTTAAAAGTTGCTAACATTGACAATGTCTCTTAAGCGGTTTGCCAGAAATACAACAACATTTTTTCTTTGGAAGAAAGCCAACTTGTCTAAACAAGACAAATGTATAAAAGGTTTTAGCGCAATGAGAGGACATTTTAGATAAAAAAAATCGCGCCAAAGTATAATCCATTTTAACGCAAGATTTTTTTAACCCATTTTAGCGAAAAGTGTATTTATTAATGCTGATTTCAGCGACAGAAATCAATTCGTAATAGAATAATAAGTTTTAATAGAATCAAGACACCACAATATAAACAATAGTATGTCCATTAAAAATACAGCACTAAGAGTCTAAAAGGTTAACTCAAAATTCCGTTCTAGCCTAGAATTTATATCCTAGGGAATGTACATGACGGGCTCTTGATATACCCCCTGCACAATACTGTTCATAAAATGCAATAGGGACTGTATCTTCTCTTTATCTCGTCTAGATTAAGATGCATATTCATCTTTACTTCTTATTTTGATATACATTTGTATGCTGTTGTTTGCAATTTGATGATAGTATCCAGAAAAACGTAAATGGCTGATGACAACTATAAAATCGCTGATTATAATGAGAAGGTAACGACTCTGGACTATTATTTCCTCGCTTTGAATTACATGGAATTTCTGCCCAAAGCTTAAGTGGAAACATAGTATCTTCAGAACATTGTATTTGGTCAGATAATCTGCGAATTCCAACACATTTCTTAGATATCTTCTGGCGCAATGGACATGAACTCTCAGTCTACAAAACAATTAGATGCATATGTCTTGATCATCTAGAAATGCTATGACGAATAAAACAACTTGCACATTAAGCCAACATAAATTACTGTTCATAGTTTTAAAATGGTGAGTATTATTTAACCAAGTAAGTTCCCGCTAAAACGGGCTATCAAAAATACAGGTAAACGGATTAATCCTGCGCTAAAATGGGCTTTAATGTCTGCGCTAAAATGTCCCCTAGTAGTTCAAAAAAATTCTCTAAAATGTCTTGCGCGCACGTTGGTTAAGTTTGTCCTGGGAAAGATTTTCTTGTGCTGGTCTTTAAAATGTTCTAATTTTGTTTCTGATGTGTTCAACAGTTCAAAGGCAAGCAATAAAAAAATGGCCATATACGCTGTTTCAGTATGTGTAACACAAAAGTGCTCCTTTACACAGCATCAGAACAAAAAAAAAGTATCTAGAGTTCGTTCTCTATACCAAACTCCGCACGACAAATATTATTTGTAAAAAAACCGTAGCAATTTATCAACATTGTTGTATTTTCTCAGTTTTTACATGTCCTGATTCTGTGTTGGTGATTGAAAATCTAGACCTACTATGTTCTGCTATTTTACAATGTAAGAATGTGAAAGATACCCATACTACCTTAACGGTATGGTTTTTCTATTGTTGAAGGCCGTCAGTGACCTATAATAACGTCATTTGGAGTTTGTTCGGTAGTTCTCTCATTGGCAATCATATCGTTTCTCCTTATTTCACACTGATATTTTTACAAACATCATTTGATATAAATTGATTCTCCAGTCCGGTATATTGCCATGTTGAGGAGAAGTTTCATATTTGTTCATCCATATTATTCTTTTCAATTTGTAATACACTTGTTATCTGCTGGTTTACCCTGACAAATATCATGGGCTGAGTCTTCTTTCGTGAAGTTTTATATTTTCTTAAACGTGGGAGTAATGTGGGAGTGAGTGACATTGTGAGCGTTTTAAAAAGTTTGATGTTTATCACCATTACCTAATACAAATAAGTTGTTTCATGTTGTATTTAGAAATCACCTAGATTAATTCCTCTCCATTTTGTTTTTTTGTTTCATTGACAGTTGTGAAATTGTTATTTTGTTCATTCATAATGTTCCTAGTAAAGTCAATTATCCACATGCGTTATTTCCTTTACAATGGTGTTTGATTTGATGTAAAGTAACAACGAGGACTTCTCTTGTCATAGCGTTACCTTGAGATATCTATAAATCAAGAGGAACGATTGCCATTTCATGGGGGAAAACGCTGATGCATAATAGTCATGTACCGTTTCCTTTTGTCAGTGTATAATTTGATGTAACACATTTTATTTTACTGTTAGCATTCTCATATCTGAATGGAGTCAGCCACGAAGCTATGAGACGATTACATGTTATTTACATAATAGTAATAAATAATTGTTTTGTCGTTTTTCTTGTTATAAAAAGAGCAATTACTTTTGATAAAACAAGAAAAGTGTCATTATCTCAAACTTTCCTGATGCACTAGCACTTCCAGAAGATGTTTTATAGTTATGGATTTGGAATGAAATCTTAATTGTGTCTATTTTCTGTCATCAAATAGATACCTTATCACTGCTTTTGTATGACAATATGAATCGCTGTACTATCTTGCCATTTTCTGGTTTAATTGCCAAAATCTGAACTGTTTGCTGATAAACGATAACACTTCTATGTAAATTCAGAAATTAATGTGTACATTTGTTGTTACGAATCACTGATTACTGGTTAATATGTGTTAAATCAAATTATGCAGTGACAAAAGGAAACGGTACATGGCTATTATGCATCAACGTTATCCCCATGAAATGGAAATTGTTCCTCTTGATTTATGAATCACCTTCCGTACGTAAAAGTGCCGACCTTTTTCTACCTATACTCAATTTAAGACATAAGTGGGAAAAGTTGGGTAACAATCCATTGAAATATGTTATGCTCCATTTTCTGGAAACTAGTGATTAAGTTTCCTTTTCAAATTGAATACTGTAAATTCAGAAATTATTGCATGTATTTATTATTGCAATTTTGAAGAATGGACAAAAAAGCGAGATTAATTATTGCGATTTCAGAAAATCTGCATACAGATATATGTAACAGATTTCAGAATGCGAGTTTATATTATTGCGATAGTCACCAAGTCACATTATTCGCATTAATAAAAACCTCGCAATAATTTCTGAATTTACAGAATAGTACGTAAAAGTATAATACTATGTGTTTACTTTAATGCTACCGACTAATACTCCATATACTAGTAGTGTAACGTAGCAAATCTATAGAAAAATAATACTCCATATACTAGTAGTGTAACGTAGCAAATCTTTAGAAAAATAATACTCCATATACTAGTAGTGTAACGTAGCAAATCTATAGAAAAATAATACTCCATATACTAGTAGTGTAACGTAGCAAATCTTTAGAAAAATAATACTCCATATACTAGTAGTGTAACGTAGCAAATCTATAGAAAAATAATACTCCATATACTAGTAGTGTAACGTAGCAAATCTTTAGAATAATAATAATCCATATACTAGTAGTGTAACGTAGCAAATCTATAGAAAAATAACAATCCATATTTCTAGTAAGATACGGCGTTATATCCTTCATAGATGCACTGAATATCTCATTTCATCAAGACCTTCAATTGCTATCGTTTAAATATATGAGACGTAAGGATTCTGTACAACCTCGATAAGGATAATAGATAGACAGAGACTTTCCCTTGCAAAATACGGGTATCTGAGTCACCATGGAGCCAAAAATATGAAAGGACAGATTAACTTCGAATTCAAGGTAATGTTTGAATGGCCCCGCCGACTTAGGTCGGGCATACAGGTATACCCTTGTCCTTCATTCTGTCATTCCGTCATTCCGCAACGAACAGTTGTACGGACTTTTTTCTGAACGCCTTCACATATTCAGCTGATTTTTAGTATGTGAGTCTAATAGATGAGTTACAAATAGAGTTTACGTTTGGCTTCGCTCCGCTAATTTTCCCGAAATTACGGGCTTTGGACTTTGAAATTTTCGTGAAATAAAAGTTATCGACAGCATTTGTGATATTCAATCTTTATGACTGAGCTGCGTCGGATAGAAATCGACCTTATGCAAGTTCACGTATACATGTACATGTATAAGATTTTGATTAATTTTGGAACATTCAAATACGAAATAGAAGATGAGTTTTGGTCTATATTGTAGGGTTCTTATAACAACTCAATTTTCAAACAGTTACAGACTTTCCGTAGAGATTATTTCAACCCGAAATAGGCTAACAGATGTATTGGTATATTTATTTGCATAAGGTCGATTTCTATCCGACGCAGCTCATGTTTAAATAAAAAATAAGAAGATGCCAATGAGACAACACCCCACCAGAGACCAAATGACGTCGAAGTTAATAACTATAGGTCACCGTAAGGCCCTTAAAAATTAGCAAAACCTAAATAGCATTGTAAGCTATAAAAGGCCCCGAAATGACAAATGTAAAACAATTCAAACGAACGGACTGATTTATGTTCAAAACAATAAACAAAAAACAAATATGATATACAGCAACAAACGACAACCACTGAATTACAGGCTCCTGACTTGGGACAGGCACATACATAATGTGGCGGGGTTAAACATGTTTGCTGGCACCAAACCCGCCTCCTAACCTGGGACAAAGGTGTAACATTTCAACATAAGAACGAATTTTAAAAATCAGTTTAAAAGGGCAAAACTCATCAGATCGATAAAAAGCACAAAAAACTAATAAAAACTCAAAAGACCATAAATTACAGATCTGAGAGTACTCGCAATTACTAAAAACTCGTTCAAAGCCCATATCAACTAATACAAAAACTCATGTATCTCAGACTAAAAGTATGCATTATAAATGTTTGGTGGTATACATTATGGACAATGCATCCATGTTAGAAGCAGCTGTTTATCTATCTTTTTTCCCTTATAATTATTCTATCTTAGCCCAATTGTTCGTACACTTGATTAAATCCCTTTGAAGACTTTTTGATGTTCCTGTATGTTATTGATTTTTTTTTTATTAAAGTAATAAAATCATACGGTTTGTCCCCCGAAAGTGAATGGTCGGTACCTTAAGAAAATCATTCTATTGATTTAGAGAATTTTGAGAGTTCTAAAGATGTCACATTTACGCAGGCTAAAACAGCGTAACAATAGGAGAAAAAAAAAGGATTTTGAAAATGATTAATGGATTGATTATTGATTGCCTTACGTCCAGTGGCGTATCTATACATCCCTGTCTTTCCAATATTAAAGTTTGGGCGTTCTCGTTAGTGTCATTTTGATTTCTAGAGTTTGTAATGTTTTAGGTTTATAAGATAAATATTTCATTTAAAAGCGTTTTATCATTTCGTGAGATAAATACGATCGTTTTATTCTAATTTGAAATAGCCAACAGTTCCATTGTTTTTTCAAATAAGAATAATTAACATGTCTATCTACAATCAATAATTTAATAATGGATGCAACACACCATCTGATTGGCTGAAAGTTTTTTGTCAATCAGCTCATAGACATAATGATGTCATGTGACCGTGACGTCATTAAAGTTTTTTTCATGATTTACTCCTTTAAAATGGAATTTAGAATTAATTTTTTAAGAAATGCCTGTAATATTTTTTCTGTCTATTCGAAATAATCTAAACAATGTGGTGCACACTTTTAAATAACCCGCTACGCAGGTTAATCAGTGTGCACCACATTTTTTATGTTATTTCTTCATAGACAGTAAAAATATTACAGTCATTCCTTAAATAAACAATAATTTAACGGACACGTATAATGATAAATCTAAATTAAAATCTTTCTCTTTATCGTATTCTATTTGAAATCTTTAAACAATCATGACATTAGGGGAAATTATGTACTTTTATTTATATTAAATAAAAATAAAAATAAAAATACTTTACTAATTTTTATTCCAATACTAATTATTAGTAACTAAACAAAATTAAATATTCCAGTGTTCACAAAATTAAATGAATTAATATTAATAGAACAACGAAGCGCAGTTATCCATAGGAAATTTACCTTCGGGTTTTCACCGTATACCACCTATCACTTTCTTCGCTGATTAATACCGCTCATATTTTATCTTTCTGAAGTAAATTATTTTGGTTTTGTATACTTTATCTATGCTTGAGTTTGTTTTGGGTAATAAATGTTAGCTATGCTCGGTGCTCGTATTGGCTCAATTTGTTTCTGTTGATGGTAATGATGATGAAAATTGAATTGAGTGTTTAACGTCCAGTGGCATATAGTATATGCTTTATCAGGACGAAACATGTTAATCTTATATGAATGTAAAACCTACTATATACTAGACCAGGGACTTTCTATACTAACTTTAGTATAGACTGTTCCTGACTAGACTAACACGCTGAGCCAGAGTTTTAACGTGCTAGTTCAGAAGGCAACAGTCCACAGGAAGACATGTCACTCAGGAAACATCTATCTGAATGCGAGCCGACCAGTCTTTGCTCTCCCTTCTAAATGTCGCATGCTTAGCGCAGAAGCAGCAAATACCGATTTTCAATTCTTTGGTTTGACCTGATTGGGGATCGAACCGACGACCTCCCGCATTTTGACATTTTTAAGGTCACATTATAAAGGTGTATTTACATTATTCAGGCAAAATACTGGTCACAAAACAATGAATATAGCAGTTACCAAATGACTCATTTATGCTCATTTGCCTTTGCACAAGGAACAACACCTTTTAAAAAAGTGTCTTGTGTCCTTAACAAGAGTAGGAATGTCAATTATAACAAGCAGTCCTATCACAACCGTCAATATCACTACGCCAACATATCCAATGCTTTGAGCAGAAACACGGTTATCGGGGGCGCTCGTTAATTTTCTTTTATACGATGACGTTTCCTTTCTGTCAACTGTTAGTTCTGTCTGTATTTGATCTATTTTTGCTTGTAATTCTTCCGTTGTAATAGAACTACTAGCAACAGTAAGAGAACAGGGACAGTAGCATGTAGACGAAGCTGTCCCACTCACAACAAGGGATGACGTCATAACTCCACTGCTTGAAGTAGTAGCTGAAATATAAATATTTTATTAATTTCCTGTCAGCACACTAGTAATGATGATCTCTGTTAACTTTAAGGATTCAATAGGCAATGGGCGGTTCAAATAATATGAGGAGTTAATTGCTTAAAGTTAATATATACCAACAGATGACTTGGTTAAAAACAAGCTTCTGAATGTGTGAGAAGGCCCAATTGAGAATTTTGCAAAGAATCAATATCATCCATTTTTATGATGAAATAATGTTTAATATGGGAAAAGCAAAGTTATATAAAAAATAAAACCAAATAGATTTGCTTCCAATAATATTCCAACCCAAATCTACACGAATATTTAATGCTCAGATTTATGTGTGATTCATTTGTTAATATCTTTAATTTCGTACATTTATTGTTTATAATAGATTATTCCCTAGATACCTTCTACATCTTTTTGTAGACTAACCGCTCTCATGAAAAGCATAAAAAGGTATTCATTTAATAAAGTTAACCACACTGACTGTAAAAATGTTCAATATAATTCTAAGCAAGAACATATATCAGTAGGACATTTTGCCCCGAACGCAGTACCTTTTTCCATTTAGAAATTTCCATGATCAGAGATCCGTGAAATCGAGGTAAAAACTGTAATTTGGGATAACTAAAAAAATCACATCAAAATGAACATGTGTACAAAGTTTCAAGTTGATATGGCCACAACTTCACCTTATTCAAACTACCTTGAACAAAAACTTTGACATAATACGAGACGTACAAACGGCGGACACCCAGAAAATAAAACCCAAACATTTAATGCCCCATTTTATTGTAGGCGGGAAATAATTATAGATTATATATACACTGTATAGCAAATTGAACTAGAGGCTCTAAAGAGCCTGTGTCGCTCACCTGCATTTTCAACAATGGCTATTTTTTTTTTTTAGTAAAAATCATCATTAAAGAACCTAACCGACAATTTAAGTCATGTTGGAATATCAGTAGATCTTATCCTGCTAAAATTTTTTCCTTTTTAAAGTTTCTATTTTTAGTATAATAGTTTTCAAGATAATAAGCAAAAGATGCAAAAAATGTTAAAATTATCATAAAATGGGCAATAAGGTGTTGACTAAAAATTTCAGCCGTTCTGGCTTATTTGTGGATCTTGTCTTGCTGATCATTTGTGCTATTTAAAATTTCTATCTATCTATTACCGTTTTTAAGATAATAGGCAAAAATGGAAAAAAATCGTCATTAACTTCAATAAGGAGTCGACTAACAATTTCGGTCATGATGATTTATTTGTTGATCTTGTCTTGCTGATCATTTTTGCTATTCAAAGTTTCTATCTATCTAATATAGTTTTTAAGATATTAGTAAAAAACGTAAAAAAATTATAAAAATCGTCATTATAGGGCAATAACTCTAATAAAGAGTCGACTAAGGATTTCGGCAATGTTTTGACTTATTTGTAGATCTTGTCATGCTGATCATTTTTGCAATTTAAAGTTTTTGTCTATCTATTATAATCTTCGAGATAATAGCCGAAAACTTTTTAAAAATGGTAAAATTCATCATTTAAGGGCAATAACTCCCACAAGAAGTCGTGTGACTGTTTTGACTTACATGACCAATAGGTAGAGCTAACCATTCTGAACATTTTAGCCTGTCAGATTTCCTCTATTTATAGCGGTTTTCAAAATAATAGGCAACACTTGCATTTTACCCCCTATGTTCTATTTTTAGCCATGTCGGCCATTTTGATTGGCAAGCGGGGTCATCAAACACATTTTTAAACTAAATACCCCAATGATGATTGTGACAAAGTTTGGTTGAATATGGGTCAGTAGTTTCAGAGGAGAAGATTTTTGTAAAAGTTAACAGACGACGACGGACGACGGACACCAAGTGATGAGAAAAGCTAAAAATGCTAAGAAACGATAAGTTGCTCTTAATTCAGATGTGTATTCTTCAAATGAATGTGCACATTTTAGATAAACTGCCCCTTTTTTTTATCTACAAAGAAGATCGTATAATGTCCAGGGTGCAAAGACATAAAACCTAAGAAAATACACAACCAAAGTCTATAATAAAGCTTTTATTGCTGTTTTTCATTTTTTCAAATTTAGATAAAATTTTAAGCAAACTTGCTCTTTTCTTTTGAGAATTTTGACAATAAGAGGTGTGTCATATCAAACATATTCATCTATGTTTAAGTTATTGATGAGCTATCGTTTTAGTTCAAACTTAACACGCAGTGGCGGATCCAGAATTTTTTATAAGGGGGGCCCACTGACTGCCATAAGAGGGGGCCTGGTACAGTCATGCTTCAGTGATTCCCTATATAATCAACCAAATTTTTCCCACGAAAGGGGGGGGGGGGGGGGGGGGCGCCCCCCATGCCCCTGGATCCGCCTATGACACGTCTACCCTTCGTGTGACAAAAAAATCTGACTACACAAATTACTCGTTCCTTGAAAACAAATAAGAATACCTACAAACAGTTTTAGTCGTTATATTTTGTTTGTAACGCATACATGTACATTGTTTACTTTATTTTAAATGCATTGCAGCTGTTATTCAATAAAATTGAGAATGGAAATGGGGAATGTGTCAAAGAGACAACAACCCGACCATAGAACAGACAACAGCAGAAGGTCACCAACAGGTCTTCAATGCAATGAGAAATTCCCGCACCCGGAGGCGTCCACCAGCTGGCCCCTAAACAAATACATATACTAGTTCAGTGATAATGAACGCCATACTAAACTCCCAATTGTACACAAGAAACTAAAATTAAAAATAATACAAGACTAACAAGGCCAGAGGCTCCTGACTTGGGACAGGCGCAAAAATGCGGCGGGGTTAAACATGTTTATGAGATCTCAACCCTCCCCCTATACCTCTAGCCAATGTAGAAAAGTAAACGCATAACAATACGCACATTAAAATTCAGTTCAAGAGAAGTCCGAGTCTGATGTCAGAAGTCTACATTTACAAGTCATAAATGGAGGAAAAGGTGTAGTGATTTCATTTTCTTATTCAAAAATATATATTATACTTATACATGCATACTTTGACTGCTGAGTAATTCAGTTGATATCATTGTCGGATCGGAGCTGTAGACTGCAATATGTGTAGTTTCACTCAATGTTGACGTTGTTATATCGCTGATGTATGATGATGATGACGTTGGAACTACAGAAGACGAATACATTGGGCAATAATAATTTGATATTACCGGTGTGGTGGATGAAGTTGCGTCATTTAATTTGAATATATCTGAAATATAAGCCAAATAAAGAATGACATTAACAGTTTTATTACTTCAATATCATAAAGATATGTTCCGATTATCAGTAATACTCATATGACGGTCAATACCATTGTGTTTAAAATCTAAACGATTCTGTCAAGTGGAACATTTACCCTCCAGAATTAAATCAAAAAGTTTTAAAGAAACATCATTTAAAGCAAATTCTTTTTTGTCCTGTTTAAACTGTTTTTGCTGTACACTAAACTATTTGAAATTCAGATAAAAAAAAGTATTACGTCGGTGATGAGTCCAGTTCGAAATTGTTCAAGCGGGGTGAGGGTCATGCATATCTGACGTCACAAAGCCGTATTAAGCAATTTTAATAAGAGTTTCGAAGATTGACACACGGAAGACTTATAAATGGAATGCCTCTCTTTATACAAATGTACACTTCTATTAAGGGCATACGATACAGTTACAGGGGAAGAAATGACGTTGCTAACGTAATATGTTATTTTTCGCGACGTCAAACGGCGACATATCGGGAAAACATACATTTTTCGAGTGATTTTTAAATCATTAGCTTGAAAAACGAGTACAAGGACCACTCGTTTTTAAAAAGGACATTTGACTGAACACTGGATGAAGACTATTTGTTCCAGTTTTTATGAAAAAATCACCGATGGTTTTTTTAAAAGTAGATAAATATGCAGCAAAAAAGCCGTTTTTTACCAAAATCATGAAATTTTAATAAAAATGAACTATTTTCAAAAAATTGTTACATAAATTAAGAGCATACTTTTGAAAAGCAGATATTCCAAATCTTTTTACAAAAATCCGCATGTGTTTTTCATTTTAAAACAAAAAAGTTAAGTATGCCTGTCCAAAGGATAGAAATGTCTAACAAACCGAAATTTTAAGTAAATGTCTAAAATTTCGACCCCATTTATCTCTAAATTTAGCACATGAAGGTATAATTTTTATTACATATTTGAATTAACTAAGTGAAAAATAGCTTGTATGCAAATTGTCGTAAAAAATTCACCGTGGGATCAAAACTATATCGTATGTCATTAAAGAGAGTTTGTCTACAAATTTAAAAAGCTCAACTTTACAAGCTACCAGCGTGATGTTTAAGTTTAAATGTGTCTTTTATGTTTATGACAAATATGACTCGGTATTGCTATCTCGTAACTTGCATAGTTATGTCATGGTTTATTAGGTTAATGAATATTGTGTTCCAAATTATAGTCCGTTAGAATCCTTTAGGCCTCCATGAATAAATAATTAAAATAACTCAAATAAAGATTCTTGAATTTCTATGTTTATTATGGGGTGTATTTTTGTATACAGTTAAATTGACAAACACATTTGGTTTATTAATTTTTGCTCAGGTAATTAAAAACGTGCCGATATGAAAAATAAATAAAAAAAACATATAACGGAGAACAAAGAGGAAAATAACCAAGGGAGCAACATATAACTAAAAACTCAGACAATATCATGGCAAAATGGAAGAACGAAGAAAAGACTAAAAAGGTCACAAAAGACTAACTACCGAAGAAACTCCATATCAAGCAACATGAACCCTGTAAAAACGAAGCATTGAAAAAGTATAACAAAAATATCGAACTCCAAGCTAAAGTTGCCCACCCAACTTCTTCATACAGACTTCCAGTTCTTGTAAATATAGACAAACCAGTAACTATTCTAGCAGCTTCACTATAACATATATACATGTCAATAATTAATGTATTTTGATATCAAGATGTCTTTTGGTTAATTTTGTCTTTGGGTTTATAGTGTGTACATTCATATTGACATAAGAAGCAAATATGACTTCCTCTACAAAAACACTCAAATCTTTGTCTATAATAATATTACATATCAACAGTATTTGTAATTGAAATTGATCGTGTGGTGGTAGAATATTTGCGTTTTAATAAGTCACTCTATTACATCAAGTATAGAAGATAGGAATAAAGCCTGAAACATATGGTCTATCAAATGTGTGCTAAGATACAAGAAAGACGAATATAATGATAAGCTGTATCAACACCGATATGAAAATTTTAAAACATACTTTTTATGAAAACAACCTGAGGTGTTCTCGTGAGAGATACGCCACCAGATATATCATAATAGTGCCTGTAACACTTAACATTTCCAGTTTCCAATTTTCGTTGAAATGCTGAACACATGCCATCATTATAACACAATTTAGCACATTCTTCTAACGATGCGGTATTATCTATATCATCATTAGACCCTATCCCAGAGGGTACATCTGTTGATTCAATCGAAAGCTCGTCATAACAATCACCAGCATCTAAAGCAGGAAAAAACGTTATTTATACTTATATAGTCATACGATATTTCGTAGACAACAAACATGTAAAAGTTAACTTTAACTTTTTAGTTACTAGTATATAACATATTGGGATTCGTTTTAGCTCAGATTAATAAGATATTCGTTACGTTACTTTAACCGATCATTGATTTACTTGTAAAGAATTCAACAATTAGTCACATTCAATACAAAACAAGACTAATGCCGAGTTTTTTAAGGTAACATGTACGCTGATCATAACTGATCATTCCTTTCACTGAAGCTAAAAATCTTTGACACTAAATGATCCTTGTGCAATGAGTGCTGTAAAATTTCAAACTATCGACAAACAGGAAATGGATGCATGGCGGATGTTAAAATTGCTTCCTCGCTTCAATTCAACATTATAAAGCTGGATCAAATATTAAATCATTTCCTTAAAAGGTAGCCAAGAAAAAGTTGACGAAGATTTCACTTGTACAATGAGTTTTGAAAAATTTCAAACAATTGGCAAACAGGAAGTGACTTAACAGTGGATAAAAATTGCTTACTCGCTACAACTTAACATTGTTAAGCGACAGACAAAATACGAAATCATTTCATTCAATACTATCTAAGAAAAGTTTGACTCAAATTTTTCTTGCACAATGAGTATTCTAAAATTTCAACGATCGACAAAAAGTGAATGCACGGCTAATGACTCGCTACAACTCAACATTTTCAAGCTGCAGACTAAATATGAGTTCATTCCTTTTCATAGAAACCAAAAACACTTCGAAGAAAGTTTTCTACCCAAGATCTTTCGGACGGACGGAGTCGAGTGGTTAATAGACCTGCTTTTGCCTTTAGCTACGCAGGTAAAAATATGTCATCTTCCTGAGACCATATTTACCCATCCTTACCATTTGACGTATCTTCACATATGAATGGTTGAGTATTGGAACATGCATGTATAGAAAACGTGTTGTCTGTAGAGTTAAATATCACACAACCTTCTGAGTTTCCAGTTGACGTTGACCATTGATTAGGATTTATAGTATACTCATCACATGTATCCCATACTAAGCGAACTGGATTTATTTCTTGATGAAGTCCAATCCATAATGTTTGACTAAAACAGTGACAAAGAAAACCATGTAAATCTATTGTAAATATACACAATATTTATAACGGTCTTCATCTAACATCCCATCTCTCTCTCATGGACATTAAATCGAATGTTGATTTAATTGTCAAAAACCACCAATCATAATGGCATTCCTCTTAAACTTATGAAATATACTAGCTGCGGAACCGTAGCTATTAGGTCCTTGTGATATTTTTTGACAATTAGCGAACCATAGATATCACAAGGACCTAAGAGCTACGGTTCTGCAGCTAGAAATATACAAAATACATAGTTTAGTTTAAGGTAGCACTACAGTCAGAATTTTCTGACTCCAACCAACAGTCTTTACAGATTAATTTCTCCAAAACTACTCAATGGATTTTAAAAATCTTTAACTCATTTTAAAGCTGAAATATAACTCTTTCTTAATCTATAGATAAATTTATTTTTGGTATGATTAATCTCAAAATATAGCTCATTAATTGCCAAAAAAGTGGTCTTCCAACTTGGATGAAAACGGCACATTCAGGTCAAATGGTAGTAAAAACTTGTTTTCATCCCTTTAATCAACCATTCACAATCTACAAAACCGTGTCTCAGATTTTTGATATATGCCTCCAGTAATAAGATATATTATTTTTACTGCTGGATGCCAAACCTCATTTCACATTTCATCTTTGGAGACCTATAAAATCATTTAGAAACAAATTATCCAAAAACTGGGACACGGTATTGTAGAAAATACTCCCTTCAATCACATATATCAAAGTCAAGCCAAAGGGGGTACCCATAAAGTTTCTATTTTCATTTTTTCCTTACAATTCTCATGAAAAATTGTTCTGAGAAATGACCTTAAAACTGAATTTCCTCTTAAGAACCCCTATAAATGCCACATAAATACAAAAATTCCACTGGGAACACCCCAGGAGTGTTCTGACACCATTACTTTATCAATAGAACCACACACATTGTGTCTTTGATGCTCTAATGCTGTAAAATTTGCATTTTGTGTGCACTGTATAACACTAACTTGGCATTTGGCGGGAGTTTGACGTCACAGATTTGACCAACATCTGTGATGTAGTAATTGAATAAAGACAAAGCTCCGCCTCTGTCCAGACAGTCTAAGATAAGAGAATAACAGGATTGGCCAGCTGCATCATAATTGATATTTAACATCATTATTCTCACAATAAAGAATAATTTTCATTTGAATTTTAAAAAGAAATATAATATGACCATGATGACTGAAATTAGCTAAAATATTAAAATTAAAATACATGTCCATAAAAAGATCAAGACCATCCCCTTCTTGAAAATAGACTGTCCAACATGATTTATGAGTTTCATGGAATTAAAAAATTTCACATAAACTTAAAATTAGTTAAAATGCCTAAAATTATTTTTAAATGTAGAAGACCAAAGACGAGAAATTTATACAGGCAGTCAGAGGCTTTCAAAGATACTTTCACACTCTTTTCCATAGTTTTTTTTTCATTTTGGTAGATTTTTTCCCTTTAAATTTTTTCCTATTCATATCTTTTTCTTTTTCTCTGTTCTAAACTTCCATGTTTTATAAATTAGTTTTGTTGCAATGCAATGAGATATTTATCTTGTGGTCAGGGATTAACAGCTGGACACTGGTACCAACAGATGATTGACATATTAGCCCCTCCCAAATGCCTATATATTTAGATTAATTACATGTGCTTTTATTTACATACGTTCATTATCAATTTACTCCCTGTTGTGATATGATAATGACTTTGGGATTTTTACAAACTGTGCAGAATAATACTTACTTCAAAATTATGTGATAAAAAAAATATCTTCAAAAAATCATTGTTAGACTGTAGTGCTACCTTAAACAGTATTTTATTCAAATAAATTGAATTGGATTGGGCAACAGGCAAAGCCTATGTAAGCCCTCTCCATAAAACAAGATACAATATATTACATTCAAACAAAACAACACATACACAAACATAATGACAACACATAATTATTTTTCAAAACTACCTCATAGCTGACTGGAAGGATGCTTCAAATAGTTAACTCAGAAAAAAAAATATTAATATTCTAAGTAATAAACTCCAAGTTGATTAAGAGGCCTTACATTAAATTAAAATGGCTCCAGTGAGCTGTTCAATATTATTATTATAAAAATTCATTTTTCCAAAACAACATGTTTGATATCATGTGCTTGTTTTTACTAATTTTGAAGAATAACGACAGTGAGTAAATAACCATATTGATACAATAAAAAATAAATAACATAAAAAAAGAATTTAGAATGTAAATAAAATATATATATATATACAAAAGATGGTTTGAATGATAATGAAAATAGAGGTGCATTTATTAGGTTTTTTTTAGCTTTTATAATATCAATTATTACAAAATACATACATGGTCAATTTCCAGGAAATTGCACGAAAAGCGAAACCGGGTGCGTCGACAGGGTAAAAAAATTATCATAGATACAAGGATTAACATTTTGTACGCCAGACGAGCGTCTCGTATACAAAAGACTCATCAATGACGCTCAAATAAAAAAAAAGTTAAAAAAGATAAAAAAGTAAAAAGAGCACTGAGGAGCCAAAATTCCGAAAAGATTAGCCAAACAGCAACTAAGGTAATCTATTCCTGGGGTAGAACATCCTTAGTATTTCGTCTAAGCCTAAGATAAGCGTCTCCTACTTATGCATGCATCACGTCACAATCGGGAATATGTTTGTCATAGTTTCTAGTCGTCCATCTGTGTCAATATCGAGGAAAGATCATGATACGAAGCAGACCTACATTCGGTAGTATCCTGAATCACAAGTGCACAGGGATATATAAGAATGAGATGTAAGCACTCATCGAAATGTGGGTTGTAGAGTGACAGAAAATTATCAATATACTAGTATATGAAAGTTATTTTTAAGAACTTTGCAAGTTGGGTTTTTATTTTGTCTTTAAGAACAATTTGTATGAATTCGCCTTCATATGAGTACAAAAATTAGTCGGCCAGTAGTAGGGCATAACTAGTACCCATTGGAATATCGACTGTCTGCTGAAATATCAATCCACCAAACTCAACAAAATGATGTTGATCAATAAGTCCAACATTTGATGATATCTTCGGTGAATTTGTTTTTTGGAATCAGTGTGGTTCTTCAGAAAGTAAGATTTTGCATGACCTAAAACAAGAAATGTCGTTTCTCATTTTTGTAGAAAAAGCTCGGATTTTGTGATTTTCAAAAATCTCCTCTTTCTAGTATAATGCAGGGGTATATATTGGATACCCAGTTTTGCTGTGAATTCAAAGTTATTCAAAATAATGGTTTTGCAATTAAAACTATACTGTTTAAGGCTTTTTCTGTTTTAACAACAACATATTGTCGTGAAGAGAGATTAAAGCATCCACAACCTCGTTCTTCTTGAAAGGGTCAGAAACAGTTACCAGTTTTGGTTCATCTGGCTCGCGCTTTACGCATTTTTTGTCATAGTCCTCACCTGCTTCCATCAGTAACCTTGTTATCGTCTTCCAGTTAATGGGCTGGGTAATTCAATATTTCGGACTTATGGCTAACAACTCACTATGCTGTACATTGTTTACGATGCCAAGGTCACCAGTTATAACATGACCAGCGGGACAATATTTGTATGGGGACAATGCACAAGAGCAATCGGTTGGTTTGGATTTTTTATCCTATATAACCTCTTGTGGTTGAAAATCTTAGAAGCATTAGGTTTGGTGTAACCCTGATAAAACGGAAATAATAATTTGTTTAAAAATTGAGATTCCAAATGATAAAAGTTTTTCTTTCAATCGAAGATCAATATCTAACACACCAAGTCATAAACACTTAGGTAATCCCAGGACGAAAAGTTAAATGACTACGTAGTAGTCATAAGAAAATTAAAATTTAAGATGAACAGACAGAACTTATAAAAAACATTGTATCTGGTCTATATTCTACCTATCTTTCAGTATGCTTTTGAACGCGGGACAATTGTGGTCTTTGCTATTCAAAGAAATTAAAAAGTTTTAAACTGCCAGATTATAACCGGATTGCCAATTTTAATTTATAAACAATATCTATATCTAAAGACTGACTGGGAACCCTTACATACTAGAAGATACACAAGAAAACTAAAATAAGTTATATACAATAGTCTTGCCCACAATATTTGTGGGATGTAATCCCCCCCAACTATACAAAGTACAACTGTTTATCCACTGCGTAACGGCAATGAGTTAATATCTATTTTTGTAGACTCTCCTTAGCAAATTCTTCGTTTATCCATTCGTCTATCAGAGAATGAAACAAATTGAAAATTCTATCCGTACCCTTGATACCCTATCTAAGTTCAAACGAACTTTGTTGAATAATACATTCGAAACAAAGATTGTACATGTACCTGGACATTTCATGTATGGTCCATGGAAATTGAACGTAACCTTGACACAGCTGCTAGTCTCATTTCTAAATAATGATCTATTTAAATCAAATATAATATAGTCCAAATTGTTTATGTGGTGCTACTCATTAGGATACTTTTCTTTTCTTCTTTGTTTGCAGTAAATACATCAATATTAGGAACGATCTACAAACTAACATTCGTCGCATTCAAATGACAACTAAATCGACAATTGCTCACTTAGAGTAGCCAAGATTTAAGATACAAGGAAAACTGAAACCGGTGAAGAAGACTTAGGTCTTTACATTTATCAAAAAATCAAAAAGATTCCTCGTAGTATAATCGCACAAGACACAAGCAAACAACTATCAACGGGTCCACAGAATTCCTTTTATTTGTTATTTTTTTCTATTTATTTTTTTTTTCATTTTTTTTTCTAATTATGTTTGGTTTTATCTTTCGCACTGGGTGAAATTACCTCTATTTACAAATATCTTCAGGTAGATCTACTCAACTGCGCATGTTCTATATAATTATTGTAATTGTTATATTATGTAAAGAAAAATACTTCATAAGTGAGTAAATCTTACTATACTGTATGTACTATCAACTATAAAAACTTTTTGTTTGGCGTTTTTGTCAGATTTTTTTGCATGTTTGTTTGAATTTTATTTTTTTTTATTTGTGTTTGTATGTCTGTAAAAGAGGGACGAAAGATACCAGAGGGACAGTCAAACTCATAGATCGAAAACAAACTGACAACGCCATGGCCAAAAATAAAAAAGACAAACAGACAAATAATAGTACAGATGACACAACATGGAAAACCAAAGACTAATCAAAACACGAACCCCACCAAAAACTGGGGGTGATCTCAGGTGCTCCGGAAGGGTAAGCAGATCCTGCTCCACATGTGGCACCCGTGGTGTTGCTTATGTTATTACAAATCCGGTAAATAGTCTAATTCGGTAAGTCACGTTCGTGAAAAGGGAGGGTATTGTAGTTACGACATAAGGAACATATCCGATATCATCTGTGAAACGGTTATTCCATAACGGTCAACCAACTCGTGATGGCGTCCGCAAAATTTACGAAGGGATGACTTCAACTTCACCATTTGGAACTCTTGGTTTAATAGCTTCCTTGTGAGCAGCAATCCTCTATCAAGGAAATCATGATAGGAAACACAAGCCCGGGAATATCGTATCAATTGGGAGATATATACTCCGTATGCAGGCGCTGCTGGAATGTTGCTACATAGAAATGGAAAGTTCACAATTGGGAAGCTGAAATCATCTCTTTTGTCGTAAAGTTTTGTTTTCAACCGACCCTCATTGTCAATTTCTAGATGTAAGTCAAGATATGAGGCAGACTTAACTGTATCTGTAGTATTCTTTATCTCCAGTTCGATGGGATAGATTCGTTCAACATAGTCACCAAATTTTGTATCATTTAGTGAGAGAACATCATCTATATAGCGGAACGTAGAGTTAAAGGATATTGCTAACTTCTTATCTTTCTTCCTAAGAAGTTCCTGTATGAAGTCAGCCTCATAATAATAAAGAAACAAGTCGGCAAGAAGAGTGGCACAATTGGTTCCCATTGGAATTCCGACAGTTTGTTGAAAAACACGTCCTCCAAACGTAACAAATATGTTGTCAATCAAGAAATCAAGCATCTTGATAATGTCAGTTTCAGAGAATTTTTTGTTTGAATCAGAGTGATTCTTTATAAAGTAGGATTTATCCCTCCCCAAGACAAGATACTTGTATCTACGTTCGCCATTCTTTATAATGAAACAAAGTAATACCAACTCTTTCATTTTGTCTTTTAGTTTGGAATGGGGAATACTTGTGTAAAGTGTAGAAAAGTCAAATGTTTTAATACTATTGTAATGTGTGATTACAAAGTTTTAGCTGCTGGATCTAAATTATTGTCACGTCTGAAAATTATGTCTGTTTGGGTTGCTCACACAATTTTGTCAATATAACGGATCTATAAGCAGCTGTCATAAAAATGGGAGGCTTAGCTAGCTATACACCCAGGTTTCACACACCATTTTCTTCAGAAAATGCACACCATTTTTTTTCTTTAGAAAATGGTTGTAACAAGTAGGAATATGAGAGTTTTTACATTTGTTCCGTTGGCTGATATAGTCGAGCGTTTGATTTTGTTAGGATTTATGGACTTTCCCATTTTTTGAATTTACCTTGGAGTTCGGCATTTTTGTTTAAATACTTTAGTTTTATCCTATTTGTATCTTTCAACAAATGTTTATGTTTCTCTTAATTAGTCTGAACAAGGCATACTTATATCCTCTTATTTAGACAGTGATAATGTGATGTTGGTTGTTTCTGTTAGATGTGCATATGAATAAGCTAAATTAAAACAGAATACGTATGGGGAGAATAATTCGGTGTGTATGTGTATATCCCCAAAAGTCATCTTAATATGTGATCCCGACTCAGTATTTTTTTTTCATCTATTTCATGAAATTAAATATTCATAACTTCATTCGTCCATTGAGCTATTTATGAACCTGTCTGGTTTTAAGCGATTAAAAGCTTTCCGTATATATTGTAGTGTATACGTCGTTGGATGTCACATGTTGTTCTTTTGTAATTTTGTTAGCTTTTCATATTTTTGTAGGTTGGATATAACCAAATTACACATTATTAAATTATGTATAAGTAAGTCCTGTTATGTGAACATCCATTCTATTATTAAACTAAATACCTGATTGGATTAGCGTCTGGTCTGACTGATTCAACATGAGGCATAATAGTATCTGATATATTCGTCATTTCAATAGAACTATCGATGATTAGTAAAGTTCTGTTGGTCCTTTCACATATTTCTCGAGCTGATGCCCATGATACAGCCGTATAATGGTAATGGTATCGACACAAATGACGTGTATCTAAAATGTTAATAATAGATAGGGTCCTGACAGGGAATATGATCCCATATCACATGTGAAGCCTGAATAACAACTATATTAATATACTAGAGTGTACTGATTTCAAATAATTTTTGTTCACATGGTATATGGGTCGTCTTCCTTGTCAATTTTATCAATTGAATTTTAGAATTAGCTGTGATATTTCATTCCAGTATTGCGTTTTGTGTAGTTATATTAATCTTAAAATATTATGTCCAGATACTTCCAAGCTTTAAATAAGTCAGAAACTATCAGGTTTTTCTTTATTTTATAAAGATTTCTTAGAAACACGATTTTAAAATTAAATTATTTCACTATAGTTCAAAATGGACGACTCTAAAGTACACATATTATAGTTATGTAGCATCTATGTAGCAAACAAAAATAATGACCGGAAATATTAACTTTTTTTAGTTCAGTTGTTAAACTTCTGACTAGAAGCAACTACGATTACTTTAACTGATTTTATATTAATAAGAAAAAAAAAAAAAACAAAAAAAAAAAAAACTCCAAAAAAAACAACAATATAAATAATACTTCTTATAATGATAATTATTATTGAACTTAAATTAAATGTCAATTTCCAAATAAAGAGATACTCACAATCTAATGCGTCTGTTAGATGAAGATACAATGTTATAACACTCAGAAGGGTTGATGACACCATTCCCTAGAAAAGACCAGTATCATTCACTTAATAAGGTTATGTTGAATGTACAACCATTTACACAAAATTTACCAAATGATGTGGATGTGGAGGCTTAAAAACATCAAGTGTTGCTGAGAGCAATCGGTCAACTGTTACAAATTGTGACCAATCACTGATCTATCGACTTGTATTGATCAGAGAAGCTATGAAATGTGTTATCTGCAAATAATCTACTTAAAAGGATAAGACTTTCATCAACATCATTAATATAGATAATAAATAAAAGAGGACCTTCTTTATTTATATTGGTTGATTGTTATTTGCTAATCGTCTAGTGGCATGTATTCAAGACGATAACAAACATAATTTACAGTTTATTCAAAAGGTAGGTTTTGAAAGATAGACCGAAGGATGCCTCTTGTATGTTTTCGATCGAAATAGCTGTTTCCTCAAAACGAGCCAATAACAGTGGTGTCTTCAAAAGTTTTGTCAATAACAGTTTACTGACACTTCAATTCAACAAGATTCTGAACCCATAAACGTGTGGATTATTTATATTTCTCTCTGACAAACGCAGTAAAACACCAATGCTCTATCTAGGAATGTATTATTTTACCAGATTTGTTGCCGAACAATTATCGGAGTGAAACATATATTTTAGTTATGTAATTCTTATCTGTTTCCTAAACAGCAATTACATTTTTTCTATCCAGTGTGGTTTGTCACTTCAAGTGTATCGTCTATATTCTTGATCATATTTTATTTGCATTTTATCAATTAATTAATTTTGTTTCTGTTTTGAAATCGGACACAAAGTCAATGAGATATCAGAATTCATTGTGCGTGTCTATTTCGTCAGAAATGTCAGGACAAAAAGGCGATCATATTTACATTAGTTTACGCCAGACCACTCTGTAAATGGAATTCAATTAACTTTAGATCAATTTCTTCACAGTGAAATTTTATTCAGATTTTATCACGTAAAATGATATGTCATAACAGAATCCCACCCTGTTTTAGCACAAGTACATCTCCGGTTAAATAGAAGAGACAATTTATGTTAAAGTGCATAGATACGCGAGAGTGTAGCGTCAAGAGATTGTTAAATTTGACACCAAAGCTTTGTTTCGAAATGTTCGTGGAATGTACACCTGTGCACGTTTCAGGGTATAAATTCTTTTCACGTTTTCTACAATCATGTTATTAGTGGGAAACTTATTTTCTAGATTGATATAAATATTAGATATCAACCATTGGTTATAATAAAACCAATTATTCAGAAACAATGCTTCAATTTAGGTTGTTATCAGTTTTGGTAAAGAAACAAACGCAATGGTAAGATAGAAAAAAAAAAATAATAAAGGGCTATTTTTCTTCGCAAATCCCTAAAACGTCTACTAGTGATAGAAAACCAATTTCGATAAACAAAGTCCACAAATTATCAATCAGTAGAATGAATAAATAATAGATAGTAAAGTAAGAAATAAATTAGTGCAATGTCCTAATCAAAGTAGGTCCAAAACACTACAGAAGTGTGGTAAATATAACTTAAAAAAACCCCCAATAAACAAGAAAACAAATTGGACACAAAAAAGATATTCAGCACGTATATAATGTGTACAAGATTGGAAAAAAAAAGATTTCTGAACACGCCATATAAATCCAATTACACGCACAAAAGATATCCAGTACGAATATAATGTCTATAAGAAAGTTATTTGAACACGCCATTTTTGAAATATGGTTGTGGTACTTATTCATATGTGTTTAGTGGAAAATACAATTGTTAATAGAAAGTTTCATTTGTATCTTACAATTTTTCAAAAAAAAATTCAATAACATATACCGATTTCCAAGGTATAATTCAAAAAGGGGAAGTCCCTAAAAATTCACGAAACCGGCGTTTACAGAAGCCGAAGAAAATGTTGGGTTAAACCCGATTTATTTTTAGCTTGCTAAACCCCTCCAACTTGTTTGACAGTTAGACATTTATATATAGTTCCGTTATATTGACAAAAGATGTGTAAACATACATCATTGAAATACAACATATTAACTAAAATAAATAATCCAAGCAAACATAAAACCAAATTGCACACACAAAAGATATTCAGCACGTGCATAATGTGTAGGAGATTGGAAAAGAAAGTTATTTGAGCACGCCATATAAATCCAATTACACACACTAAAGATATTCAGAACGTATATAATGTCTATAAGATTGGATAAGAAAGTTATTTGAACACGCCATTTTTGAAATATGGTTGTGGTAGCTTGCTAAACCGCAAACTTGTTTGACAGTTGAACATGTATATAAAGTTCCGTTATATTGACAAAAAAATGTGTAAACATACATCATAGATATACAACATAACTAAAATAAATAATCCAAGCAAACATACAAATAAATCTAACAAAGAAGCAAAAAAAAGTGTTTGTAGTTGAAAGAAATTAAAATCTAGTACAGTATATTAAAGCACATTTTCCCGATAAAGTACAAATCAATTAAAATATACATACGAGGGTACACAAAATGGAAATAACACTATAGAGTAATTTTATGCGTCCAAAGCGCCTCTCTAGATCCACACGTACCAAAAAACGCCCAAAACCAAAAATTCGAAAGCCGGGTGCAGAAATACCGAACCACTTCAAGAGTAATACGACCAAAATAGACATAATTGTACAAAGACAATGTAAGGGAAAACCGCAAAAGTTGATATGTGATACACAACGTTAGCACATAGAATATATAACCTGAGACCATCCTGTATCATTTGTGAAGTTGACACTGAATATTCATCTTTTATGTCTTTGTATTTTCCGATTAACTCTTTGAGTAAAAGGACGAGACGTTCTTTGACAAAACATTGGCTCATTAAGATTTTGCTCAGACACCGATGCCGTTTTACTAAGTCTGAGAAGCAGTTGCAAGGTCTTGAATATCGCATGAATTTAGAAACGTATATTCCATACACGGCTGAAGTTGCTGGTAAGAGGATGGAAATATATAATTTCTAAATTAAAATCGTCTCGTTTGTCCTAGACTTTTCACTTATGATTATGTAGTCTCAAATTCATCATCATATTACTAAACATTGTGTGTCTTCCCGGTCTCCTAAACCAATGTTGCAGTAAATTGTTGTATCTATGGAATTTTACGAAATGTAATTAATTTTAAAATTCAATTAATATGTTTGATATCATGTAAGTAAGTACATTTATCTTCTTAGAAGAATGTGATGCTTCCTTTGTAAAACTTGTACAAACTCATATGAAGTATATGTAAATGTACTTAATTCAAAATGTTTCATGATTTTTGGCCACACTTAATTTAGAAAAATTTATTTTCATTTACTAGCAGTAGGTCGATACCACTGATGGTGGACGATCAGTCTCCGGGATTAAATCAGCAGTGGGTCGATACCACTGATGTTCGACTAAAACCAAAAAAAGAACAGTCATGTCGGACCCATAAAAAAAATCCTGACCATATATCTATTCGAAAATTATAAAATTTAAATATGTGAATCTGTTTTAATTGAAAGATTTCTTTTTTACAGCTGATCTGAATGTGTTGAATGTAGCCATTACAATGAATTGGTCTCAATGGCAGTCATACCACATCACCTAATTGTTATAAAACAGCAAAATACGAATACGAAAGCTTTACATATAACAGTACAAACATAAGCTATTGAGAACTTTTTACCGAATATAAATAACATATACATACCATTAAAACAGAGAGCTTATATTTCAATGGGTTAGATACAGCACAGCATGCAAAGCACTACTATACTACACATCTAAACATGCCAAAAACTGAAGCATAACTAAAATTAAAGCACAACAAAAAATTGAAACCATTTATATTATATTACTGAAACTTTTAATGAAAATTTCAATGCTTTACATGGTAGCCAAAAAATAGTGTTTTTATTCTTAGACCTAATTTTTTACGCGTGTGTGCCAAAATTTAAGAAGACGTAGAAATGTTATATTTTGTAAATAAAATTTTAATAGTCTCTTATAATTATGCATCGAATGGGTCTCATTTTATGGAGTATTGTTTCACAATTTATAAATATCGATTGTACTTGTTCAGTGATGAGACTTTATTATAAACATTAAATTGAATTGAATTGGATTGCAAAATAGCAGAAAACAATAGATCAAGATCTTTAATGAAATATGCAAATGTTTATCTAGATATATAAAATGATGTGTTTTATCTTACTATTACGATTGTTTTTACAAATACAGAATATTTTTTGTTTGATTCATTTTTTTCCAACTTATGCAGAAATAAGGGGATATAACTCAGATAATCTATCTTTTATCAAGGAATGTGTAGTAAATTTAGCTTTTTTGTTTTGTAGCAAGTAAACGAGTACCTGACCCCATTTTTTTTCCATCCATCTCTTATATTTTATCTAAAAATTCTATCCTTCAGTTTTCTCTCTATCACACAGAATTGTTTTCCATGTGTAAATTATTCAAAATCTATAAATTTTGTAAAACTTGCAGCTTGAAAAAAGCTCCGTTACCGATTAATTTTATGACAAAGCACGATATTAACTAAACTATTAAAAAAATCGATTTTAATTTCAACTATATTGGTGTAATTTGGAAAATTGTGATGTTATTACTTTAGAGACAATATAGTGTTAAAACTGCTATATGCATTATTATGTAACCCTATAAAACATCGTAAAATATTAAGTGATTTTTTAATATTCCATTAAAATTATAAAACTGTTGACTAAATAAGGCTAAGAATAAGCATTCCCTTCTTTAATACAATGCAATTTTGCGATTTTTTTTCTAGCTGACACCCCCCGCCCTTTTTCCCGTCATTATAGTGATATAATAGAATGATGAAAAACGACTTCAATTTATTTACTTCTCAATGTTTTCATATAATCAATGTTTCATATGAGCTTAAATTAATTTATTTCTCTGCTCTGCTCAAAATAATTATAAAGTTAAGCATCAATTCTATATAAAGAATTATAGGA